GTTGTTGCGTGAAGCTTCACATGTAGCGAGAGTGTGTGGGTGTGCCTTTTGTCTTGAGGGCTTTGGGATGAGGGGCTTTGCTGTGATATGGGCAGGGTAAATCCGGAATTGGATGACAGAGAGGAGACGGAGAGAGATGGTGTTTTATTGTGGCTGTAGGTGAGTTGAGGGTGTGAGATGAAACAACGATGTAGGTAGGCAGTAGACACAGACGACACGCAGCTCAGCGTGGGGTTAGTAGGGGAAAGGTATGTAAGCGGCCAAAACGCCCAAATCGCCTCTCTCTCTCTCACGCACCACCAGGACGGAATTCAATCAAGAGACTTTAACAATTGAAATGAATCAAGAAGAAGAAGAAAAACATATGCAGAAGCATAAAGAATGGAATGATAACTGGTCAAGTCATGGATCAATCGCGGCAGAAGGAGAAAAAAATAGCGGGAAAGCACATGCAAAAAAGGACACACCCACTTCCTACCCCCCCGGCAACAACATGGCCGCAGATGACCAATCCTCTCTCTCTCTCTTTTCCCTCTGCTGCTGTCAGATGTATGAGATCTCAGGACCAAGCAATTCATCCTTTGACGCTTGTTCCATTTGTGGCTTTAGTGCTTTGTGATGCCACCAGCCCAGCCAGCTTACCGGTAGAATCCAAAGTCACGGCATGTTAGTTCCAGTCCATGGACCTTGTTGGAGTGCCTACAAAGTACTACTACTACGATTCCGAACCTCTCCAGGCTTGCACGTGGCTTCTTTTCGATTGAGTAGCTGGTGTCCAATCGTTTGCACACTCGCCCGCAGCCACATTCGATCAATGCCAAAGGGGCAGATGAAACCGTGTGTATTTGAAATGGCGTGTAATCCATCCATCCATCCACATGCCATCTGGATAATATACAGTCCATACATAGTGCCCTTACACTGCCAGAAAATGTTCATGTACGCAAGTATCCCACGCCCGGGTATCATATGCTTGTAATGATGCATCATCCATGGCCTACCTCGCACGGCGGAAATCCCTTGAAACACAAGTCTCCCTCTCCTAACCAGTGCAGAGGAAAACAAAGAGAAATCGAAAACAAAAGGCTGAAAAAGTTTCGGCTACCCAAGCCCAACCGCCCAGGCTGCGTTTCCAAGCTGTTTAATCAGCTGGCAAAGATTTTCGACAAGAGGCGGAAGGGCATCCTGCGGCCTCCTGAAGTTGGCCTGCAAAATCTCCTGGGCAATGTCCATGCAGGCACGAGGATCGTACACAGACGCGTCGCCCGGCGCAGCACCAGAGCTTGATCCAGCCAGTCCCTGGATCAGTGGCCTTCCCTGACCAAAACTCAAAAACTGCCGGATCGAGGTGGCATCACCACCGTCGTCCAGATACATGGGATCGTAATCATACTGCGACGGCATATCCTGTTGTTGGCTGGCCCGTGACACGACGCCGTAGGTCCACAACGCGAGCGCGGCGTGATGAACTGCAATGGCGTAAAAGTCCTTCAGCGTGCCGGGAGGGAAGAGCTTGGCATATCGTAGAACCTGTCCCGCGCACCAGACTGCGTACCAGGACTCGGGGCTGGCTGTCCACTGCTGCAGAATGGGATACATGCGGCGGGCCTCTTCCTCTCCTTGCTTGCCGGAGAAGATCTGCAGGTCGTCCAGGGACACGTGAAGGTGCATCATGAGCAGATACAGGACCACCTGCTCTTGAGGAGAGATGCCTTCTAGCTCTGACACGACGAACTGAAAGGCCTGCAGCTCTCTCGTGAGCTCCTCGCGTCGCGAACTAAGCAAGGCGTTGGACCCTTCTTTCGAGTAGCTGCGAAATTGGTGTATCACGCTTAGCTGACAGTATTCCAGAATCAATGACCAGAAGCCGTGGAGTAAGACGGATACGGATAGCTGCACGTCGATGCGCGCGCTGTCCTCAACTAATCGGCGCGTGTTCCTGACCACTTCGGCAAGCGAAGGCACCCTCGTGTTTTGTCCAGCTGCTCCGGCCAGATACACAGCTTTCCACTCCGAGGCCGACTTCGCAGTCCATAGGGCCTTTCGTTCCGGCAGAGGGAGCGTCAGCTCGGCGTATGACATACAGGGATTCGTCAATGCCGTCATGGATATCTGAGCTTCGCGGATGTAACAATGGAATACAAGCCTGCTCGTTTGTGTAAGTATGCATTCGTTGAGAATCAGACACCGTCTTTCCATCAAAGACTGACCTCTTCCATTGCTCTGCGGCCGCCCAGGCCAACCACTTCTGCTCCAGTACGTCGCCCTCGTCGGATGCACTCACTGTGATGGCAGGGTACATGCATCGCTGGAACATTCGACGATATCTCATCATCTAGAAGCACTCAGTAAATGTACGTATGCCATAGGACATGGGGAGCTCTGGTTCTCTTACCGTTACCGGAATCACCAAATGACACTCGGCAATCTCCATTTTCCTGCGGTTACCACTCCACAGGCCAAGATCTTGCCCGAGAATGAGGGACTGGACAAGACTGAGGTTCTGGATGGCGGTGTTGTTCTCTTCAAACTGCAACCAGAGTTAGAGGTAAGCCATGGGACGATGCGAACGGCATATGCTGGCTGTTTTGTATCTTACCCGCGCAGGTATTGTGATTCCTGACCCGGCGTTAGCACATGTCTCGTACGTGAACACCATGACTGGTGTGTTCGAAGAGGGAAGGCGGCCAAAATACTTACGAACTGCCTCTTGAATGGCGAATCCAAACTTACGCAGAGTCGGAGCCGGCATTAACACCGCACCGGCAGCCACCGCATTCCCAATCCATTCAGGCCACACCGAGTTCAGCTTGAGAGTCGGGTAGTGTATCCATGTCGAGACTTGGCGTACATGAGCTGCCAAAAAGGCCTGAACCATGGTATCCATCACGTCCACCGTCGGAAAGGAGGCAGCCACTCTGCTGGCCATGGAGGCATCGCGGCACGTCTTCAGTACAATGGCCAGGATCTGGTCGCGGCTGGAAAGGTTGAGCTTCTGATCCACCACTCGCTCCAGTTGTTTCTTGGTCTCTTGGTACTGAGCGTTGGAGATGTCGTTGGCAGCGATGGGAATGTTGCCTTGCTCAGTGTAGGCGCTGTCCTTGGTGGTAGGATCCCACTTCCAGGGCAGCTCCCCCCAGACGTTGGCAAGATTCTGGCGCATCTGGGACATTTCCGTCGAGTTTTGGGTAGCCTGGCTCGCTATGGTGCTGCCGTCATTCAGGTCCAGGTTCCAGTGATCCAGGAGACCAAAGTCCATGTCCGTCAGGTCCATGTCCAAGTCATCGCAGAAGTCCAGCACAGCGGGACCTTGAGACTCGTGTCCCCGTGACAGATCCACTGGCTGCTGGTAAAGGACATCACGCAAAAAGTCGAAGAATGGGATGTTGCTCAACTCCATAGGACCAGAGGCAGCTCTGGAGGAAGCATCGTTTGGTTGAGCAAGGCCGTGAGTACTTGTTGTAGTACTACCTAGAAAGGGGGATTGCTGTCAGTTCTTGGCGCCCCTAACACGACTGTGAAAAAACCAGCATATAACACTCCACAGTAGTTCAGCGGTCATTCTCCCAAACGATCAATCGTAAGACATACCTTGATCTGCACCGGTATCCGGAGTGGCCAACTGGCTGTCATCTTGCCTTGATGAAGTACCCTGTGACAGGGGGCTGCTCTTGCTGGCCGTGTGGTCGCGGACGAAGTGTGTAGAAGCACTCGCAATTGCGCTCTGAGGCGCAGGCTTAGAGTCTGCGAATGCTGGAGAAGCCTCGCCGCTTGGGCGTATCTCCGTGGCATCTTGTCCGCTCGCTGGAAGGTGGACAAGGGAACCGGACGTGCTCGGTTCGTATGAAGAACATGGCAGGTTACGGCTGACGCAGCGCCTACACGGCTTCGACTCGTCGCATTTTACGCGAGCAGCGGCGCAAGGACGGCAGGCCTGGGTCACACGGCTGGAGTTTGGCGACGAAATCAGCCGTTGACGCTTCTTGGGCGAGTCGTTCTCATGGTTGGTGACATGGCGCCTCAGCAGATCCTTCCGCGCGAACGACTTTTTACATATATCGCAGGCAAAGCGGCGGCCTAGAGTGTGAGTCTGGACGTGTCTAACAAGGTGCTCTGGCCTCGAATAGGTTCGCCCACAGTCGCGGCACGCATACGGATTGCTTGTCTGATGGCTCTTCCGCGACGACGCAGATCCTGGCTCGGCAGAGGCACGAGCCGTGGTACCAGCAGTGGCAGTCGTGGTGATAGCACCAGGAGGCGAGGTTGGCGATGGTATAGCCTGCATGGCGATGCGACTCTGAGCCCTACTCCCGGCACGAGTCGACGGCGGCGCGGAGGCATCCGTACTTGTAGCGGCAGCATCAGGGCCCACGACAGGTTGCTGTGCCAGCGGGAAGGGCGGAAGAGGCGCAGAGACGGGCGCAGAATCAGGCACAGACAGAGGCACAGACATGCTCGTAGGCGCAAGGACAGAGACAGGCGCTGGCGCTGGTGCTGATGCAGGTGCAGGCGCGGACGCAGGCACAGGCGGCGGGCGAGGATCGCTGCCCGGACCCATGGGATCGAGGATATGTGATAGAGATGGCCCGGCCATTGCGTACTGGCTACGGAGCGGCGGAGGCCCCGACAGCTCCCGGTTCGTCTGGCTGGCAAGGGTTTAAAACCACATCAAGGCCGTTGCAAGACGAGAGGACAGCCTCGCGGGGCGAGTACTTTGAAAGGATGTGGACAGAGGGCGCCGCCTCGGGCTGATGGATGTATGTGGTACGTCAAAGCGGAAAGGGCAAAGGGCCCCGGCGGGTTCTGAGATGGGGACGGAGCAAATAGCTGAGCCGCTGCCGGTAAGGCTGAGTGAGCTGGGACAAGCAATACTGTATAGTAGCAGAGGATCTGAGATGCTGTCCAGCAGAAGCCGATCAGAGCTACCGAGAGGCAGATGGCGCTACACTGGCGCTCCACTGGTGCTAGACGCCGTGGCCGAGGCGTCGCGTGGAGGGTCGGGGCGGGTTGATGGGCTAGACGAGGCTTGGCATGATCTCAGCAGGATGCCGTGCGGGTGTTAGTCGAGACTGTGTGTGTGCGAGGGCATGTTATGCGCGAGGTTTTGCATGAAATGGGTGGACGGATCGTGGTTCGTGGTGGTGGTTGGACGAGGTTTTGGGCCAGTACGCGTACCTACAAAGCAGTACAAGCCGGGTTTCAGCGGGCGGGTTGTCCAGCCGCTCAACCGCTGTTAGCGGTACGGAAGGCGGTGCCGCCACGCGGCCACGCAGCACTTGACGGGCAAGAGCCGGTACTCCTGCTACAACCTTGACGTAAGGTATTCGACCTCGAGCACTTGAGCCTCAACCCTCGAAACCTCGTACCTCCGCCAATGGCCATGCGCAAGATGCTTGCCAGTGCATGTGTCTACAGTACCTATGCTGCATATGCCGTGCCAGGTGAGAGAGGCGTCCTTGCTCACCGGCGGCAGATCGAGACATTGCTACGAATCGAGACGAGCGTGGGTTGCGTGACAGCCGGGGCTGAGGCCGGAGCTGGCTGTTTCCAGTCTCTGTGGCCGACGAGGGTTTCTGTTCCGTGGGGGCCGATCACTGCTGCTGAGGCTCGAACAGGGTACAGACCTAACGGCTGATTGGCGGCGGCTCTGCTGAGGCACTGAAGGGCTCCAGCTTTCATCTGGGGCCGTTGACGCGTCCACGAACAACACAAACACTGCCCTGGAAGACATATCCTCTGAACGTCAGTTTCCCAGGATTCGGGTCGAGGTACGAGTACATGCGGGCTGGCAGACTCTGGGAGGCTTAGAATGGTTAGATGGCCAACATGGCTTCCTGGAGTCGCCACCAGCGGACCGTTAGATGACAGCAGCCCCGGCGCAAGTGACATGCAGCCTGGCCGGAGTGTGCTCGTGTTCAGCTAGTAGCAGTACCTGGTAGCCGGAGATGCCCGGTGCATGCAGCATAATATCCGCCTTCTGGAGTTGCTTCGGTATTCGTGGCGCTGAGCAGTACTAGCCTGTGTGTAGGTATAATGTGTAGGATGAGCCAACCAGAGTGTATGGCCGAGTCTGCATGGTCCTCCAAGATCATGGCATTGATCACATCTAATCAGATCATCCTAGGAGTCCAGAACTAGAAACCCGGCAGGTTGGTAGCATACATACAGCTACCACTGCCGTCGCATCTCCCGAAATAGCAAATCTGCAAAGACAATGTGAGCGCAGGGATGCTGAAACGGCTGCTGCCAACCAACGACTTCTCAACCGTTAGACGCCAAGGATGTCCACACGCACTGCTCCCGGCATCTTGCTTTACCCGGCTTATCCCCCATTGAACCAAAGACGATGGCCCCCTTTCCAGCCCACTAGGAGGCACCCGGCGCCTATGTAGTCACTCTGGAGCATTCAACTGAAATGAAAAGCCCACGGCGTTCCACTGTCTTTACCCATCGCCCATTTCCCTCCCCGGCACATGGTCGAGAGCTAAGAATGGCGCCAATGTAATTTTCTCTCTTCCCCGTCTTCGCCCTGGTCAAATGTGCCGTCGGTGGAGTCTTTGTCAACACCTTAAATCTGTTTCATTCATCAGAGGGCGCAGACGAGGTTATTCGCAGGTCTCAGTTCGTTCAACTGCAGCCGCCTCTCCAATTAGTATATATCTGGCACCAGACCTCATATGGCAAGTTCCGCCTGTCTGTGCTGTGGGCCGTCCGCGGCCCGCAACCCCTGAGATGCGCCCCTCGTGCCCTGATCCATGTTCCACTACAAGTACCTAAATACCTGGCTGTACGAAATTTCAAGGTTGCTTCATACAGATGCATTTTGTCTGCTTCGGAGCCAGCTCAACCATACAAATGCCACCTCACGCCAGCTAGTAGTACGACTTGGCATCGTGCATTACAAGTATATCCGGGGTGCTCCTGGGACATGACATCTTCTCATCAAGATCCCTGATCCAGGCTTGGCAACAGCTCTAAAAGATGCCTGGCCCATGACACCGAGTCCAATCTCTCTTCCAGTCTCCATGCCCTCGGGAGCCGTTCGAGGAGCCGTCGCCTCTCACCCCGTTTCGTGCCCTCAGCCATGGCCGTCCAAGACGATGTAATTGCCCCCGCGCTGGATCCGCAAGCCGAGGAGTCGTTCAAGGAGAAGACGCGCAAGAGAACTCTCGGCAATCTGCGTCTCGTCCATCCCGAGACGAATGCCGTGATTCTCGTTCCCACGCCATCCTCCGACCCCAACGACCCGTTGAACTGGTAAGTACTAGGTCTCCTTCTCTGTTTCATCTTCACGGCATCCACGTCAACGTATCCCGTTCTACGGCTCACGATCTCTGCGTCACCATCTGCCAGGTCAACATGGCGCAAGTACTACGTCGCCGGGGTTCTCTGCTTGGCAATGGCCGTGTGCAACTTCCTCGCCGCCGGGCCAGCCATTGCGGTGCCAGCGACGGCTGCGGACTTCTTCCCGGACTCCCTGACTGACGGCACATTCTACACCGAGGCCATTCCAAAGACGGCGTACTTCTTCACCACTACGTCTCTGCTCATGGGGGTCGGCAACATCGTCTGGGTGCCCGCGGCCAACAAATGGGGCCGGCGGCCGGTGTACATCTTAAGCTTCGCCATTTACTTTGCCACGGCGGTATGGCTCATCTTCGAGAAGTCGTACGCCAGGTATCTCGCAGGCAGGATCCTCATGGGCTTCGGGTCTGGCGCGGCAGAGACGCTTGCGCCCATCACCATTGCCGACGTCTTCTTTCTGCACGAAAGAGGCAGAATCATGTCTGCGTACACCTGCTTTCTGTCCGTCGGCGCCTCGGGAGGGTTGGTCATCTCGGGCCTCATTACCATTAACAATAGCTGGCGGACCATCTACCAGGCCGGCACTGCTCTGGTCGGTTTTGTCCTTCTTGCACTGCTCTTTACCGTGCCTGAGACCAGCTACTCCCGGACAGATGAGGATGCTTCGCTCGCCTTGGACGTGACCAATGACGCGGCTACAATTAGCACGGCTCAAGAGGGGCAGACTTCCCTGAAGAAGTTGAGCTATGTCGAGTCGCTGTTGGTATTCAAGGTTGCGGGCACAAGCGAGAACCTCTTCAAGATGATGATTCGCCCCTTTGGCCTCATCATCCTCCCGCCGGTGCTCTGGTCTGCCCTCGCATTATCAGTCACAATTGGGTTTCTAGTGGCCGTCTCGTCCAACTCGGCCTCGGCCTTCAACGTAACGTATGGGTTTGCATCCTGGCAGGTTGGGCTCTGCTACATTGCCGGCGTCATTGGCTCTATCCTAGGACTGCCGGCAGGGGGTTATCTGGGAGACAAAGTGGCAGACATCCTGACAAAGCGAAACGATGGTATCCGCGAACCCGAGATGCGGCTTCCGGCCGTCATGATCTCTGTCATCACGACTCCCCTGGCTCTGCTCCTCTATGGCGCCGGCGTCCAGTACAAGCTCCATTGGATATGTCCCACCATAGGAATCGGTCTCCGTAAGAACCAGCTGCTCCCGCCACGCTCGGCTTCCTGCATATCATCGTATCATCATCAGCTAACCCATGAAACACACACAGTCAATTTCTCCATCACGCAGGCCAACACAATCTGCGTCGTGTACGTCATTGATTCATACCGGCCCGTTGCGGGCGAGATAACGCTGGCAGTCACCGGCTTCAAAGGTGAGTTGTCTCTCTCCATCGTGTCCTCCAACTGTCTAACAAAGAGCATAGCTCTATTCGCCTTCTTCCTCTCCTTCGAGACAAACCCATGGATCAACACCGCCGGCTATGTAGACGCCTTTGGAGCCATGGCGGGAATTGCGGGGGCCATCCTCATCATGTGGATCCCGCTGTATTTCTGGGGAAAGCAAATCAGGCATAATTCGTGGAATTGGCGAGTCGTCTCCTTTGTCCACTGGGACAATGATCGCGAGGTGGGCGAATAATCTCTGTTTTTTAAGATTATCGTAGACGAGGGCCATTGGTGGTCTCATTAAGGAGCTGGCTTAAGCGAGATGTCCATCCAGAAGAGTCAAACGGTATTAATACGAAGCGGCTTTGGTTGGTCTGCTTTCGCAGAAGCTTAAACGTCCAGTACACCACGCTAGACTGATGCTAGCATCGTCGTAATAAGAGCGCGGTAGTAGAATATATGAAAAAAAGAGATGAAGGCTGAACTGAAGAGATATTACCAGGCTCAAGACATCCCTCTCGTTTACCCCCAAGAACCGCAGCATTGCATTGCACCAAACATGATCATCCAGCCTCGCTCCAACCAGCATCGCACAACAGCGTCAGGTGGGCGCATCCTGCAGTGACTAAGCGTCGCGGGCGCCACCCTCTCGATAAGCTTCAGCCCGCTGCAGCGATAAGTGATCGCGTGTCTCAACCTCAACCAAGGGGGGTTCCAGCGTCGTGATTCCATGCCCCGTGTCTGCGTCTGATTTCCTGCTGCCTCGCCGCGGCCGCCTCCTTCATACCTCAGCAGGTCGGGCGCTTGAACATGACTTGAGCGCCCTCAGCCGGCGTGGTACCGTGTGCATCATCGCTCAGTTTCTCTGCCTCGCGCTTGAGTCAGGCCAGGTGAAAGAGTTGAGGGGCTTGAGCTTTATATCAGCCATCAGCCATCAGCCTCCCGCCCACATCCACGCTTTATTATCCCTCGTTCCTCGTTCCGAACTTTTTGACTCGGCGTCGCCGGTCATCTTCATCACCTCCTCTGCCCTTTTGCTTGACGAGCGCCGTTTGTCTGCACAAGGAACATCCTCGCCATGGCCAGCCCGCACGGTGGACCGAGCACCCTGGCGCCCGGGGATGCAAGGGAGGCGAGCGTCAGTGCAGATGCGATGCTGGACTCGCCGTACTCGAGCGACGAAGAAGCACCTGCCCACGGCTTCCCCTCCTGTCGCTGGAAGACAGCCGAGTTTTACGACCAGGAATGTCAGCGGTACTTTGACTGCCCCTCTCACACCGTTGAGAGGCGGCTTTCCATCGATGACACTGCCGGACCCAGCGCTCAAGTTGCGAGTGAGACTACTGCCGAGACGACAGAAGAGTCCCGACAGGATAACGTCTCTCCTCGGACTTCGTCAGACGATCCTCCAGCATTACATCACGACGCTACGACGGCCGAGCCGCAACAGAGTGACGATACTCCCGCTTCCGATCCTACCGTGCCGCTGTCGGGCATATCGTCTGGGCTCGCGGCCGAGAGGGAGGGAGGGAGCTCGACAAGTTCTGTGCCGGCGAACCCAGTGTCCTCTCCTTCTAGATTCTCGTCTCTGCCGATCCGCACCCGCGTACCTTCGAGAAGCATCGACTTGCGATCCAGCGACGATTTTGGTGGCAACGGCTGGGGCGAGTCTTCCGAGCAGGGCGGTCGGGCATATACTGCTAGCGCTTCGGCTGGTGATTTGTCAGAGAGCAGCTCGCCTAGAATGTCTGCGCGAGATCAGCTCTCCGCCGTCTATGGCAACGATACGAACCAGAGCGGCCTGCTCGAGACCTTGTTTGGACCGCCCGAGCGAGAGCGCGAACGTGAGCGAGACCGAGATCGGGATCTGGAGCGCACAGAGTCGGCGGTCGTTCTTCCTAGGTGGCAGCCAGATGCCGAGGTCACATACTGCCCCATCTGCCGCACTCAGTTTAGTATCTTTGTGCGCAAACATCATTGCAGGTATGATTATGATTGCTGGCTCATGAAACGGGCAAAAAGTCTTGGGGAAGATGGCGTGGCTTGCTGACAGGCAAACAGAAAGTGCGGCAGAGTTGTTTGCAACTCTTGCTCTCCCCATAGAATCATCATTCCGCACCAGTTCATTGTTCGAGCGCCAGGCACGGAGGTGCCACTGCCCCCGGCACTGCTCTACGACAGCACCGGCGGGGGCTATGTTGATGTGAATGGGCTCTCGGGGGGTGAGCGGGTGCGCCTCTGCAACCCTTGCGTCCCGGATCCCAACACTGCGCCCCCCCAAAGTCCAGATTCTCCAGCTCTATCTCCGCGTGCATCGCGGCGCAGGTCTCGGGCCAGTATGGGCGGCGGCTATCCTACTTCACCTGCTACGAATCGATACGGAGGAGTCTTCTCAGCCGGTCAGAGCAATGATCCCCACCAATTCTATACCTCTAGGACGAGGAGCATCACCATGGTAAGGAAAAAGAGCAACTCGTTCCACCGCAGAAACGAACCGTAATATCTGACATGCAGTTCCAGGACCCATCCGCACAAAGAGCAGGTGGTGCTTCGTCGTCTTCTTCCTCTTCACGAAGGCGCAGCAGTGCCAACTACGAAGTGGCGTCCATCAATCGGCTAATGGCGGCCGGACCATCCCCCTTTTCCATGCCGAACCAGCATCACATTCACCGACGTCGTTTCACAGGGGAGTCTGGCGGCTCATCTTCCCGACAGCGCGCGTTGCCCCCTCCTCCCCAGATTCCAGAAGAGGATGAATGCCCCATCTGCCATTTGGAGCTTCCATCACGGGAGCTGCCCAATTTCGAGGCTCTGCGGGAGTCGCACATCACGGCCTGCATCCAATCGCACAGCACGTACGGTAGCCCTCGTGTAGCAGCAGATGGCAATACACCACCGCCCCCTCCTAGACGCACCGGCATGTACACATATGCCGCCACGGAAAAAGACTGCATTGACGACGCAGAGTGTACCATTTGCTTGGAGGAGTTTACCGTTGGAATTCCCATGGCAAGACTTGAGTGCCTTTGCCGGTTCCACCGATCCTGTATTTCAGCCTGGTTTGTCAATCATCCGGGACGATGCCCTGTGCATCAACACGACGGTTTCGGGTATTAGATGGGAAGACGGGAGGAACGGCCAGCCGACGGCCTCTTTTTGTTCGAATGCTCTTTTTTACAGATCCGGTCCTTTGCATATTGGAGTATTTGGCGAACTTGGAGTCACATTTTGAAAGATTTTCTACAGCCTACCTGCCCAGGCATATACCAGGTTTCCCTCCTTTGATGATATCACTTATTTCGTACAGCGTGTCGACTCTGGGGCCCGACGAGGCTGTCGGCGCTTGACAGCCTTTGTCTAGTTGGAACGAATCTAACGAGTTAACAAACGGATGGTAGCGTTGAAATCAATATACAGACAGACTCTCTTCTTCCAGTACGGCCATGACTTGTAAAAATGCTTGCGTGTGTGATAGGGTCATGTTGTGATACCACAGCTATATTGCGGTTGATGAAAACCAGGCTTCTTCATGTCTCACAGCCGCACCCGGTTTTTGAAGCTTTTACCCCGCAGCCCCGACCAACGGCATCGTAGTTTCTGCTTTTGTAGATGAAGCTAGTTTGTGATTGCCCGGGCTAATATCTTTCGTCTTGACACATCTGAAACAGGTGGTTTTATCAGCGGTTACGCATCACCACAAAACTCTCTCCGACTTTGTGTGCTTTCATGTGCCACCACTCCTTGATGATGAGGGAAAGGGCAGATGAAAATTTTGAATGTGTGGAAGGATATGGAGAAGGCCGTTTTTCCTCCTCTTCCATGACTTCATTTCGTTGCAGATCGCTGAGCGAGATGACGAGGATCTTCAATGTTCTGTTTGAGCCCGAGCGATCGGGGCAGGGAAAGACGCTAGGCCGGGGTGTGGTTTATACGGGTACTACATACATGTAGTGAAGAGCTGCGGGATCCCTGTTTTGTTGCGTCTTTGATGGAAAGGCTGGACATCTTTGATTTAATTTTGATATCTCATGCATGGCAAACCCGGTTGATGCGGTGTTTGTGATGGAAGTTTGGAAAACGTGTGTTTGTTACGTCGTGGTGGTTGTCGTTGTTGTTGTTCATCACTACCTCGGCATCTCATCGCCTCCAAACCCCTCCGACTTCAATATCGTCAAATCGTCTCTCACATTGACTGAAAACAAAAGATTGTTGCCGAGTCCCGTCTCCACAAACAAAAACTTCTAGTGCTTCTGCCAGACCCGCGGATATTTCGATCCGAAATGAGCAACTTGAATTTCACTCACTCACCCACCGAATTGTCGCTCCACAAAGAAACGATTTCCGGACTTTGCTTTTCCAAAAGGGTTGCCACAAAGTTTCTGCAAGCAGCCATCACCACCGGACGGACGGGACGGTGGACAAGCAAAGCTGTGGCACCCCAAATTTAAGCATCCCTTTTTTTTGCACGGCCTGATGAGATGACGGCCAATTTCATTCACTCGGCATCAATGCCCGCAATCACGTCTCTCTTTTCCTCTCTCTCTCTCTCTCCTCTCTTTGCATCGTCACAGTTTGTCGTCTGCTGTGATCTCAACGTAAGGTATGGTATCAAAGTGTCTGCGTGTGCGTGGTGCGTGTTCAATGCAAGTGCTTCGTCACGCAGCCGAACCCAACGGTGGATGTGGAAGCAAACGAGTTCTTTTCTTAATGCAGTAAGCGCCCAATGGCTCACTTGAATGTCTCCTTCTCATATGTGCATGGTAGAATCATTCACAATGTTGTCTGCAATCAATCAATCCTTGTTCGGTGGGATTGACGTCGGGTCGAGGCCTCCTGTTGCCGAGCTTCCACCTCCAGCTGCTGTCTAACTACTAGTAGTGGGCGAGATAGCGCTAACCACCGCCGCCTGCATCCACTGCACGGGGCCCCGAGAAGGCTCTAGAGCACGACACCCCCCTCCAACTGCTCTTACCATTAGGCGCTACCACCTGCAGCAGCGGCCCCTTGGCAAGAGGCGCCAACCGCGACTGGGCTCAAGCCGGGCTGGGAGCTCGAGCTGACTGGCCGGGCCCTTGCCTGCAATTACGTCGTCGCCACGCTTTCAGCAGAGCAGGGGAGGGCCAGCGAAGCTACGGTGGGGACGCAGCCGCCAAGCTCAGCACTTCTCGCTCCACTGTAGCTCCTGTCCGGCAGCCTGCGGTGCGACCAGCCAGAGAATATTGATCCCCGCCGCGCTGAGCTCAGACACCCGTGGACAGCAGTACTATTTGATAGCAGCAGAGCGTCTTCGGACGGGTTTGTGTGTGTGTGCACCACTGCAGCAAATCATACATCTGGATGCTCCCCGGCATCGTAGATGCGTACATGTACAGGTGCCACTCACACGCACACGCACACACAGGATCCTGGTTGTTCCCTGATACATACCTGGCCGTGCATCGGCACCTCAGGCTTGCTCTGCGCCACGGACAACGAACGACCTGTCCAAGTCGTCAGCTCCACTGCACCAACTTTCCAAGACTTCTTCACTGCTTCTCGTCCTTCCTTGTCCCTGTCCTTGATTTCAGCTTTGCGCGTCGTCTCGCTGCCGAGCCACACGTGCATTAGCTTGTGGCTTTGTCCCAGACAATCAAAAGGTGGGAGTCGCTTCTGTCACTGCGTAATCATACTAAGCTGTCCTCTTTCTCCCCGTTGGCCTTGCTTCCGTTTCCCTCCCTCTTTCTTTGCAGCCTTGATTTCTTTTGTTCGCCTTTGGTCGTCGATTCAGCTGAAGCAGGCCTTTGTTAATTGTGCTGACCGTAAAGGACAAGAGTCTCGATAGATAGAAGCCGTTTTTCTTTCTTCAACTTCTTCCCCTTTCATACCGCTGCTACGACACATATCTGGCCACTGCCCCTCCAACAAGCTACCGGCCCTTCGAATGACGACATCGCAAAGCTACCAGATCAATTAATCGGCCCAGTTGGCGCACACGAACAATAGCTGTAACAGCGCCTACAGCTGGCCATCATGTCGATTCCCCAGGAGGCGCGCGAGCTCAAGGTGCAGGGAGCCATTGAGGCTGCCGAAGACCCCCGGACGGCGGTATCGCCTGACGACGCCGAGAGGCTCTTGGTCGACCAGGCCCGGAATGCTGGTGCTCCCGCCTTTATCTTCGACCCGAATGCTTCAGTAGAGGAAAAGCGGGCTCAAGTTGCTGCTGTATGACATATCCATATCCCCCTTGGGCCAAGGTGGCTCTTGTGTGTGCAGAGTGCGCAGAAATGCTGACGATGCGTCTCGTGCCAGGCTATCCCTCCCGAGCTTCAGCAGATACGACGAAACAAGGCTACGGCCATCGCAACCGACGTCGACGACGGCACTGGGCCGGACGAAGAGCTCCCGGAACCGACGAAAGAAGGCGCCCTCGATGCTGCCGGCAAAGACCAACCTCTTGCCAACGGGGACGCAGGCGACGCAGAGGTTCCGTACTCGCGGACGGGCTGGGCTCCTCAGATTGGATGGCCCGTCGAGAGCACGCTCGAGGGCGAGAGCCTGCTTGATCACACTACATGGGTCGAGAGCCAGCTGCCGGATCATCTGTACGGAGGTAAGGTCGCACCGGCCCAACAGAAACGATGTTATTGTCTAACAAGGATAAAACAGATTGGTACCACAACACCGGCGTCATCATCTTCGCCTGCATTGCCTCCTGGCTCGTAGCGGTTCTCGGCGGCGGTCTCGGCTGGGTCATCATGGTCATGGCAATCTGCGGCACGTACTACCGGACGTCCCTGAGACGAGTGCGCCGCAACTTTCGTGATGACATCACCCGAGAGATGGCCCTCAAAAGGCTCGAGGCTGACCATGAGTCTCTGGAGTGGATCAATTCGTTCCTCGTCAAGTTCTGGCCCATCTACCAGCCTGTCCTCGCCCAGACCATTATCAACACCGTCGACCAAGTGCTGAGCTCCGCCACGCCAGGCTTCCTCGACAGCCTCAAGCTCAAGACGTTCACGCTGGGCACCAAGCCCCCACGCATGGAGCATGTCAAGACGTATCCGAACGTGGGAGACGACATTGTCCGAATGGATTGGAAGTTCAGCTTCACTCCCAACGACACTGCCGACATGACGGCGAAGCAGATCAAGAACAAGATCAATCCCAAGGTTGTGCTGGAAATCCGAGTTGGTAAGGCCATGATCAGCAAGGGCCTCGACGTGATTGTTGAGGACATGGCCTTCTCCGGCATCATGCGACTCAACATCAAGCTGCAGATTCCCTTCCCCCACATTGAAAAGATTGAAATGTGCTTCCTGGAGAAGCCGACCATTGACTATGTCTGCAAGCCCCTGGGTGGTGAAAACTTTGGTTTCGACATCAACTTCATTCCGGGTCTCGAAAAGTTTATCCTCGAACAGATCCACGGCAATCTGGCCCCCATGATGTATGCTCCCCACGTCTTCCCTATCGAGGTCGCCAAGATGCTTGCGGGATCGCCCGTCGACCAGGCCATCGGTGTGCTCGTCGTCACCCTCCATGGAGCGCATAACCTCAAGAACACTGACAACTTTGCGGGAACCGTTGATCCTTACGCCGTCCTTACGCTTAACCGCCGCCAGGAGCTTGCGCGAACCAAGACTATCGATGACAATGCCAACCCCCGGTGGAACGAGACCCATTACATCATTGTGACCTCTTTCAACGACACTTTGGACATTCAGGTGTTTGACAAGAACGGCTTCCGCAAGTCCAAGGAGTTGGGCGTGGCATCTTTCCCCTTGGAGAGAATCGAGGAGCTGCATGTGTATGAGAATGAGCGCCTCGAGGTGCAAGCAGCCGGCAAGAACCGCGGTGTGGTCTCTTGCGACCTCCGCTTCTTCCCTGTTCTTGAAGGCCAGAAAGGTGAAGACGGCAAGATCGAGCCCCCGCCTCCCTCCAACCAGGGTATCCTGCGCTTCACCGTCGAGCAGGCCAAAGATCTGGATGGCACCAAAAGCCTCGTCGGACTTCTCAACCCCTACGCAGTCATGTTCCTCAATGGTAAACTTATTCACCAGACTAAGAAGCTCAAGCGAACCAACAACCCCATTTGGGACAACGGCTCAAAGGAAATATTCATCACGGACCGCAAGAGGGCCAAGCTGGGCGTCACTATCAAGGATGATCGGGATCTTGCTTCTGATTTGACTCTCGGAAAGTATCAGATCAAGCTTGACGACTTGCTGGAATGCATGGAACAAGGCAAAGAATGGTATCACCTCTCAGGGGCTCAGACCGGCCGCGTCAAGATGACAGCGCAGTGGAAGCCAGTGGCCATTTCGGGCGTCGCTGGCACAGGCGGTTACATCACCCCCATCGGTGTCATGCGGCTTCATTTCAAGAAGGCAAACGACCTCCGCAACTTTGAGGCCTTTGGTAAATCCGACCCATACGTCCGAGTTCTCCTTTCTGGTATCGACAAGGCGCGCACGGTCACCTTCAAGAACGACCTGAATCCTGAATGGGACGAGGTCCTCTATGTTCCTGTCCACTCCGCTCGGGACAGACTGACGCTTGAGGTAATGGATGAGGAAAAGCTTGGCAAGGATCGTTCCCTCGGACTGTGCGAAGTTTCTGCCGCGGACTACATCCAGCAGGATGAAAACGGCGAGTATCTCGTGCACGATGAGAAGCGCGTACTTGAGAGCGATCTTAAACTTCACGGCAAGGGCATTCCCAAGGGTACACTGACGTACACTGTTGCTTTCTATCCCTGCCTCAACATTGCCGACCCCGAAGAAGAGGAGGAAGAGGCTGCGGAGGACGCCAATGCCGAAGAGGATGCCGACGCACCCAAGGCCTCTCTCGACCGACCACGAAGCTCCGCCTCTCCGTCCGTTCCTAAAGCTTCTCTCGACGTGTCCAGGAAATCGGTTGATGTGTCTAGGAAGTCAGTCGATACAGCCAAGCTGAGCGCCAGCACAGGCGAAGATGGCCGACCCATCTCACCGGCATCGATGCGATCATCGATGTCGGTAGAGAAAAGAGGACCGCCCAAGATTCGACTCAGCCCCGAAGAGCTTCTCAGGTACGAGAGCGGTGTTCTCATCTTCAGACTTCTGGAATCAGAAATGCCCGAAAAGGACAGCCACCTGGAGATTTTCGTGGACGACATGGCTTACCCGTCTTACACATCTACAACGGTGCAAACCAAATCGCACAAGTTTGACGAGATTGGCGACTGCGTCATCCGAGAACTTGACTTTTCTCGCCTGACGATCAAGGCGCGCAAGAAGGGCGATGATGCCGACGACACTCTGGCGTATCTGTCTGGCAATACGCTGGAGACGTTGAAACAATGCCTGGTAAGTCTGATAAAACACAACCCCCCCTGGCCATCTTGTCAAGCATCTAATGATTATCCAGAACAACCCCACCACGTTGAAGCTCAAGAGCGATGATGGCAAGTCCAGCTGGGTCAAGGTCAGCCTCAAGTATATTCCTCTCAAGATGGAGCTGGATGCGAGCGAGAGCATCAACAACATGGGCACCCTCCGTGTCGACGTCTTGAGCGGCACAGACTTGCCATCGGCAGACAGGAACGGCAAGAGTGATCCTTACTGCAAGTTTGAGTTGAATGATATGGAAGTGTACAAGACCAAGGTGCAGAAGAAGACGCTGTCGCCAGTTTGGAACGAATTCTTCGAGGTCACAGTGCCGTCGAGGACGGCGGCCCATTTTGTCTGCAACGTCTACGACTACGATTTTGCCGACAAGCCCGACTTCCTGGGTGCAGCCATCATCCCATTGGACACCCTCCAGCCCTTCAAGGCGATGGAGCAGAGCTACCCGCTGGACGGCAAATCGGGAAGCATCAGGCTCCGAATGGTGTTCCGACCCGACTACATCACTCGATCCAGGCAAGGAACCTCGACCTTCCAGGGCACCTTTGGCGGCACTTCTCGTATCGTTACTGGAGTTGCTGGCGTGCCGTTCAAGGGAGGTGCTGCGGTGGCTGGTGCTGTCGGCCACGGCGTGGGCAGAGGTGCCTCGTTCTTGAAGCGCGGCATCCTTGGCAAGAAGGATAGGGATGACCCGAACGGTTCGCTGTCGGAGCTGGTCGAAGTTCCGACGGTGCCAAGCATCGTCACCAACGGCAACGATTTCGCCGTCGGCGGCGGCAATTCCAACAACAGCACCCGACCCACCACCAGCGCCGTCGACAGTTCCCGGGACTACCCTCCGCATCTGATGCCCGAGGGTTCTGGTCATAACAGGACCAGGAGCTTTGGCAGCTCGTCCGTGCACAGCGCCGTCGGCTTCGGGGCTCCGACCGGAACAGCAACGTTCACCGTCGTCGGGGCTTCTGGATATCCTCACTCGACGGATCTGTACATTCTCATTACCCAAATCTCACCCAGAGAGAAGACTGTTGGCAAGACGAAGCATCACAAGTCTTCCAGTGGGCAGTGGACTTTTGACGAGACATTCCGGTTCAGCTGCACGCCGGACGCACAGTTCAAAGTTGAAGCTAGAGGCGAGCACTTGTTTGGCAGTGATGACTACCTGGGAGAGCACGTCTACTTTGTCGACGAGACGGGTTCCGGAGCTGCCAAGGAGATTGCCGTCGGGACTGGTACGGTGACCATCAAGAGCCACTTCCAACCTACGGAGGATAAGTACCCCGACAGCCCCAAGTCCTTCTCGCGACGCGGCTTCCTGAGTAAGCGAGAGGCGCGGAGCAGGGACCCAACGCCCAATCCCTGAGCAGCTGGCGAGGATGATGCTCCTTTTGCCTCTGGGGTGATGCCAACAGTCGGCGGGGTCGGCGGACGAGCTGTGATTTTTTGTGGAATGGCTATCGACGTAACGCAACGGCCGCCTTGTCTCTTTGTTATTCTGTTTTAATCGCTTTGTGGTTTGTTCTAGGTCTCATGCTCCTCTGTTCAAGGTTGCAGTTCTATAATCGTTACAGTGTATTTGTTTGGAGTCTCGGGGGGGCGACGGGATGGGAACGGATTCGGGGGTCAAATGTATATACTATAGGCAGTGTGGGACCGGCGAGGTTCACATCTGCCAATGGAACAGCGATTTCACCTTAACTTCAGTGCTTGTGAATATTCCCACTAATCAGCATCTCATGAATTCCGCGTTTGATGTTCTCCTGCGTTGTGAATGACTTGATGATAATTTGAACTTTGGTACCTAGTGAGCCGTCTTTGGTGTAAGCCATCCCGTCAGGCAACAAGGCAGAAAACTGGCCACAGCTTAGCTTAGTCATTCGACGCCAGGCGTGGCCAATCAGAAGCTCGAGCTGTGTCGAAAAGAACGGCAGTGACGCGCGAGACGGAAGCTGCCTGAGATACTCCGTAGTAGTAACAACCAACGAGGGGCGTCCTTTAGGCCTTGAAGCTACAACCTGCACCACCAACCGCCGACATACGCAACAACTCACCAGCTCGACACCTGCAGCTGCGCCGTACTGTCTACATCGACTCTCTCACTCGAGGACTCGGAGAAGAACTGAGCGGGCATTGACTGATCGCCGACCCGGCTTACGAAGCTTGAACTTGGAGGGGTCGAACTCTACCGTAACCATCATCACCACCATGGATTCCCTCGTGGCCAAGTACAGCCGGCCGGCGTATGCGCAGAATGAGCCTCTGGAGGACGAGGAGCTTAGCCATGAGCTGATGGACCCGGCGGCGCACCTGTCGCTCAACTTTGCCATGCCGCCCATTGCCCAGGTATGTTTGGGGTTCTGTTTCCTTGTTGAGCTGCTCTGTCGCTCCGGCTGTCGTTCTGTATATCCATAACGAGGAGAGAGCAAGGATGAAAACACCATAGAAGAAGAAGAGAAGGAAAATGCTGACCCTCCCATCAACCCAGCCCTCTGCCTGGCTCCGCGCCGCCACAGACGACCGCTCCAACCCCGACTGCCCCATCAAGATCGCCCACGGCACGACGACGCTGGCCTTCCGCTTCCAGGGCGGCATCATCGTGGCGACGGACTCGCGCGCGACGGCGGGCAACTGGATCGCCTCGCAGACGGTCAAGAAGGTGATTGAGATCAACAGCGTGCTGCTGGGCACCATGGCGGGCGGCGCGGCGGACTGCCAGTACTGGCTGGCGTGGCTGGGCATGCAGTGCCGGCTGCACGAGCTCCGCCACAAGCGCCGCATCAGCGTCGCCGCCGCCAGCAAGATCCTGGCCAACCTCATCTACAGCTACAAGGGCATGGGGCTCAGCATGGGCACCATGTGCGCGGGCGTGACCAAGGAGGAAGGGCCCGCGCTGTACTACGTCGACAGCGACGGCACGCGGCTGGCGGGCAACCTGTTTTGCGTGGGCAGCGGGCAGACGTTTGCCTACGGCGTGCTGGACTCGGAGTACAGGCACGAGATGAGCGACGAGGAGGCGCTCGAGCTGGGCAAGAGGAGCATCCTGGCGGCGACGCACCGCGACGCCTACTCTGGTGGCTACATCAACCTGTACCACGTCAAGGAGGCGGGCTGGGTCAAGCACGGCTTCCTCGACACGAATCCCATCTTTTGGCAGACGAAGCTGGACAAGGGCGAGTTTTCAAACGTCACGAGTGCGTTGGAGTAGAAGCATCGAGGGGGTTTTTGAAAGCATGAGACGAATTAGGAGGTGTATGGGAAGACAGTAGATCAAATACGAAGCAATGATTTTTCCGTCTTGACAACCTGGTAGAGAAAGAAATACTGGTGGGTTGTGTGTGCAGCGTGTCAATCATATGTGCCACTGGTCTACTATACATGGCCATCCTCTGACCTTTTAATCGCACAGGGCAGATACAGACTATCTCCAGAGACCTCAACATCGAACAAAGGGGGTATCATCACATCCATCTCACATCTTCTTCTCCTCGTCCCTGCCCTCTCTACCCTCTGCTGCTGCGTCCTCCTCCACATTCAACCCACCCCCCGGCCCCCAATATGCCCCCTCCCACATCATCCGGATCCATCGGCCACCTCGCAATCGGCCTCACGGAGAGCTCGCTCCTGAAGCCGGCCTCGAACATCTCCATGCCCGCCCAGGCGATCATGGCCGCGTTATCGGTGCACAGCTCCAGCGGGGGCGCGACGATGCGCATGTCGGGGAAACCCCGGGCGGCGAGGGTCGTGCGCAGGACGTGCATGAGGAAGCGGTTGCTTGCTACGCCGCCTGCTACGACGAGGGTTTTGATTTTTGGACATGATGATGATGCTGCTGCTGATGATGAAGGAGTAGTCTGTGATGATGATGGTGATGGTGATGGCTGCTGCTGGAGAGAGGGCGAGTCCTGCAGGGCGAGGACGAGCCGGCTGGCGAGGTGCTGGAAGGCTGCGCGGAGGGTATGCCGTGCGAGCGCTCTGCGTTCTTCGAGCGGGAATCTTCTGTCGTCGCCGCCGTCGTCTGCTTGATGATCCTCGACGTTGCTGTTGTCGTCGTCGACTGCTGTCCGAGCGTTTGCTGCGGCGGCAATGTTGTGGACGTGCGTGTATATGCTCGAAAACGAATAGGCCAGCTTCCGCGAGCCCTTCAACGGCACCGGCACGGTCCATCCGTATTTGGTCTCGACATCACGGATCTCGTCGCCCCTGGACCTCGCCGGCTGGAAAAACGCCTCGTAATCCGCAACGTTGTCGTTGTTTCTTCCAGTAGGAGGGGGGAAGGCGAATGCTTCGAGGAGCCGGCCGTAGCTCACGTCCGGGCTGGAGGCGAGGATGGAAGGAGGGAGGATGACGCGGGCGGTCTGGTCGAGGAGGTTGCCGATGGCGACGTCGGCGGTGGAGGCGAGCGTCTTGTGCGCGGTGAGGCTTGTGGAGAGGATGAGCTGGGTGTGGCCGCCGGAGACGAGGAGGGAGAGGAAGGGGAAGGACGGGGATGGTGAGGATGAGGATGATGAGTTCAGGGCGTCGACGAGCCGCGGCGTCAACGCGTGAGCCTGCATGTGGTGGACGCCTACAAAGGGAACGCCCCAGGCAAGCGCCAGCCCCTTTGCGACGTTCAATCCCACTGCCAGGTTGGCCATGATGCCCGGTCCGCGGGTTGCGCAGACGAAATCCGGCACCTTCATCTTCATCTTCCTCCTCTTGTCCATCCCCATCTTCTCCGTCTTCACATGCTCATCATCCTCGTGCCGTCGCAAAACCTGCAAAGCCTCCTCCACCAACGGCGCCAGTGAAGCGTTGTGCCCCTGCACCGTAACCATGGGGTTGATCCCCTGAAAGGCGCGGTTGTCAGAAGACACCCGCTCGTTGAAGATCAGCCTTGTCTTGCCGGTGGAGCAAGACTTGGAGAGGACCGCGACGGCGGTGTCGTCGCACGAGGTTTCGATGGCGAGCGTCACCAGCGCACGACGTCTGCATGCAATTTGGCCGACGACATGTTTATGATGCAGTGCTGCTGCCGTCCTACTACTTCTTCTGACTGTAGTGAGGATGCATGAGATGCGCTGCTGCTGCTGCTGCTGCTGTGAAAAGAAGAGACGGTGGGGGGTCGATAGGCATTGCGGTGGAAGAAGCATGGGAGCTGTTTGTCTCTCTCTTTCTTGATTCTTCCTCTCTTTTAGTATTCACAATTTGCATTTAACTTCCAATGAATATCCTTCTCTTGTTATTGTTATTGCAGTTAAGGAGCGGCGACTTGGTAAATGTGATGGGTGTAAGCTGATGCGTTTTGGTGGCCTCTCAAAGACGTTGAATTTCCCGGACCGATTTTTCCTCTTTCCGCTTCGGAGTCCGGCGGAGTGGAGCCTCTACTTTATCCAATCCCGCTCTTAGTCTCCGTTCGACTTCATCCAAGCTACGAAGATGCCACAAAACACAGCTTAACACCTGGAATTGCTTGAACAAATCGATATTTATTTCATTTCAAATGTTCTTAATTCCGTATGGCTCTAGATAAGCCAGGTATCTCAGCCAGCAATGCAATCATAATGCACCTTTACCTTGTGTGCAAATATGCCAATATCCCATAATCCAGCCAGTTCTATACACACCACCCTTATTATAATAAGTCAAAGAAAAGTTTGAACAGAAAAGAGGGGTAAAAAAAAGAGAGCGGTTCATGAGCACATTCCCATGGTATCGTGATAGACACCTCACTCCATAGCATCACGTCCAGTTCACCCACTGACACTTACACCCGCCAGTCCCTCCGTCGAACCCCCCAAACTTGGCATCCCCGCTGCCCCGGTGGTTGATCCACGTCCCCCCAACGTCCATCTTGTTCGTCAGCAGCTCCGGAGCGCTCGTGTTCAGCTTCTGGCGGTCGTCCATGGGCCACTCCCACACAACTTTGTGGTCGGGATCGCCGCCGTGCGTGTCCAGAGTCACAGTCACGGGGTACGGCATCGTCCCCGGCTTGACCAGCTCCCTCGAGTCACCAACGCGCTCGTCATCGCCTCCCTCCAGCAACGACGCCGTGCTGTTCAGTTTCCGCGTCCAGATTTGCACAAGCATGCGCGTCTCGGCCCACGTCACCAGGTGGTTAGCCTCGGTCTCGCTGCAGCCGCCGTCCTCGTCCGCGGGCACGTTTCCCTCGCTCGAGTTGCTGAGAACAGTGACAGACTTGAGGAAAATGGTCCGTTGGAAGTACGTGTAAAACCCGTAATGCTCAGTCGGCAGGCCGCGATCAAAGAGCCGAACCGGCTGCTGAACCGGAGTTGGCAGCATCACGGCAGGCGCGGGAGTGCCGTCCGCCTCCAGATCTGGCGGGAAAATAATGTCCGAGATGTTGAGGGCCGAAGCAGTAGTAGCACGACGACTCAGAGACGGCGTGCCGACTGTGTCGTTCAAGGAGGGGAGAAGGCTGATGAAGAAGGGGGTCGGCTCGCCCGCCTTTTGGCTCGACTGGATGTTGTCCGTAGTCTCACCCAGGAACCACATTTCGTCGAAAGTCGGCGGACTCGGGTCTGGCTTGAATCCATCGATTGAAGAGCTATTGCTGCTCCCGTCTCTCTTCGAGATGGTCGTGGGAGCAGCACCGTTGGGAATGTTCCACTCCCTCTCCGTGCTGTTGTCCCACTGGATTTGAAAGATCATGGTCGGCTGGTTTGGCTCGAAGGGAGACACAGATGCCTGGGCATCTTTCGGCAGAGCACAGCTCCAGAGGGTGGTTGGCGCAGTGCAGTCGCTCTTGGCAATGGTGTTGTTGGGCCCCACAAACGTCAAGACACCGGTTGGCATGGCAGGATAGTCTGTGAGGTTGACCCATATCGAGGACGGCACTGAGGAGGATGGCGTCGAGGGAGATGTCGAGGATGGCGGGTCCTGTCCAGGGGCTGGAGTCTCGTTGTTGCCCGAGCCGTGATGCCTGCTAAGAACAACGCCCAGCACAACGCCCAAAGCAATGAGGAGAAGGAGAAGAAGAAGAAGAAGAAGCAATAGCCAGATTCTCCTCTTCTTGCGACCCTCGGGCCCAGCGCGGCCAAAACAGCCCTTTTTCGGTATGCAACCTCGGCCCCTCCAGAGGCCGCCGGCTCGTCTTGCTGCTTTATCTTCCTTTTCATGCCGCTGTCGTTGTCTCTCAATCTTGTGCTCTTTGCCCGACAGTTGATTGTCATGTGCTTGTGATCCAGACGTTCCCGCGGGGCGAGGAGGCAGCGGCTCCGTATATCCACGCTCCATATCGAGAGAGCCGACTCTTGTCCAACTGCCTCTATGGGGGTCAGCGCCAAAGGTCAGGTATGCTCTTTGTGGGCTCGCCGGCATTGTCTCGGGAGCTCTCTGCTCTTCCAGAACAATCTCGATCGGCTGCACGCCGCGATTGTCGCCACCACGGCTTTGGTCCACCGGAGAGCGCTGCCGAGACAAGACTGAAGACACAAAGTTGCTTGCCGCACGTACGTGGCGCGGCGCTCGCGAGCCTCTCTCCGCGTCAGGCGATTTCGACGAGGTCGGTGAGACGGAGAAACGGCTCTGTTGCTCTGAGACATTGCGTGCATGAGCCGCAGTGGAAGCTTGTCGCTGGAGTCCTGCGGTTCGGGACGTATGGCCTGAGAAGTCCTCGATATTGCGCGAGGAACAGCTGGTATTTCCATTGCGGAAAGATGCAGACGCTTCGTGTGCAGCGCCGTGGGCCTCCCTTGTGGAATTCTGCACCTGCTCACGATGCGAGTCGTGCGAGGACAGTATGCTGGCGCCAGTGATAGTGGTGGCGGCAGCTATACTCGTCTCTTGAACAGCTGCTCGTGAGTTTGACGCTGCGTCTCTCGTTGCTGTCGTAGACGTCGTTCCATCCGACGCAGCTGCGGTCGTGGCCGCTGCCCTATTCGTCGTCGCTGCAAAAGGCGGCGCAACAGGGGAGACTGGGGAAACGGTTGGCGATGAGGTTGACGCCGCAGCTTCTCTGGCCTTTGTTGACGTCGACGTAGCCAGGTGAGCTTCCCTCTCAAAGCTCTGAGAGAACTGGCTATTCAAATGATGGTCTGGTGGAAAGACTGCTTGGTACTTGACGGTGTCCCCATCCCCAGCCTGCTTCTTTAATCGAGCCAGAGGCGAAGAGGTAGTAGGAAAATGAGTTATGCCCAGGCCTTGCACTCTCTCGCGAGAGGCTGATCTATCCCGTTCCAGAGCATTTCGCGTCACTTCAGGCACAGCCTCAGGACGAGATACCTGCCCTCGGGGTGATGGTGTCCGCCGAGGAGTGGGGATTTTTATAGTCGGCGTTGAATCCACCGCGACACGCTCAACAAGAAGTCTTTGCTGCTGCTGCTGCTGCTGCTGCTGTTGCTCCCCAGTGTTGACATGGATATGGACTACAATCGGTCTTTCTGAGACTTCCCGCACCACCTCTCTTGGAGGCGGAGTCTGACGCGGTGTGGGCACCCTGATAATTGGCGCCTGGGCTTCTTTCCATTGAGATCTGGGTGGCGGAGTGAGATCGCGCTTCGCTTCGCGCTTCGGCTCATACTTTTGCTGAGATGCGGCAGACTGAGACCGATGATCTCTTACTTCGACGGAAGTAGAAGTCAAGTTGTATGCATGGGCTTCCTTGGATATTGAGGTCTTCAAGGAAGTGGCTTCCTGGCTCTCCGAGGATGTCTGCTGATAGTTACCGGTCCGGGATGTAAAGTTGGCGCTCGCGTCCGCAGCACTGGGCTTTACGGGCGATTGATTCTTGTCATCCGCCGTAAAGGTGAAGAGAATGTCAGAATTATCCATGCCGGCAACGTGCGATGGACTGTCCGTGGCCTTCCCCTTGACACCCCTTGGCAAAGAGGGTGTAGAAGAGGACGAAAACGAGCCTCGATCTTTTTTCAGCATCGACAGTCCCAGGATCGCGCGGCCACCGTCAAGGTTGGCAGCTGGAGAGTCTGTTTGGTCTCCTTGGCTTTCCATAGGTGAGAAAGACTGCCTTGCCTCCGTACCTGACCTGGCAGTTTTCCATGACTGCCGGTCCGCCGCGAGCTTGGGAGTCAGCAATAAACTTTGATCCCCCTTGTCCGCAGCTCTAGCCAGATGGTGCCCTCTCTCCTCCATGGGTGACTCCAACTGGGTTCGCCGGCTCGCAAAAGACATTGTCCTGTCCAGGAACGGCGTAACCAAGTGGTGGTCCCACCAGCCACGGATGCTCTGAGGAGTAAGTGCAGACAGTTTGCTGGCAGGGGACTTCAAAGGTGTGACACCGTCCTCTTCAAACAGTGTGCAAGGCGTCCCGGACTCGTCTTCTTCTTGGGCGTTCTTGAGTCGTTCGATGCCGACAGGGCGCTGGGGCGCTACTGTCATCCCCTGGTAATTGGCCGGAACAGCTGGAACAGGAGGGACTTCGTTGTCCCTTGGTCCGAGCCCCATCACTGGTGCCACAGATGCTTGCGAGTACACGCTTGAAGGGTATCTTATTGTGCTAAACGAGCTCGCAGTTTCGGGTGTATCCGGAGACCAGACGGACTGGAGCTGACGAGGCTCCTCGGCAGGCGCAATAGCCCGGCCATTAGCTCGGTCATTGGTTGTCTGAAACGTAAAGGGAAACGGATTTTTCGTGCCGCTGGGGGTATCGATGTTGTTGACAGTTGCCGTGAGGGGGTCAATCCCTCGGCTCGTCACCTCATCGGAAGGAAGAGTAATTCCAATGACAATCGGTCTGTCTTCCGGCGAGAGCTGCTCGGCGGGCGAGCGAGCGGCTGGATGGGGAGAGGCAGCTTCTCGTTCTGCGCCGTCATTGTTCTTCAACCAGTTCCAATTGCCAACGGATTGCGGGTTCGGAGATCCCTCCAGAGCCCTCAGAGCAGCCGCGTCCACAAACTTGGGGGCACGTCTTGCGGGTGACTTTGCTTGGAATTGCCGCCTCATCATTGGCATGTCCGTAATCAGCTTGATTCCAAACTTTGCGTTTCGCGCCTTGAGAGGCTTCTTTGACACTGGACGGTTGGCCGCTGAGCGTCTTGCAGATATCCTGGCGCTTGTCGACTTGGTCGTACTCGTTATGATATAAGCTGGAGTGGGTGGTGGAGCAAGGAGGCCGGGCTCGACCGCGCTGTCGATGGGCGTGATATCCTCGTTGGAGCTGATGGAGACGCTGTCGCTGTCCAGTGGAGATGGGCTGCGGGTATTGGCAGCAGAACTGCTTGCGCTCGTTTCCAGAAAGGCGCCACTGAGGAGGAGCTTCTTGTCAGAGTGCTCGGCAGACGGGGTCTCTCCAACGTCTATTAGCGTAACCACATCGTCGTCCTCCCAGTCTTCCCAGTCGTCCGCTCGATAGCTCTTTGATGATGTGTAAGAGGTCTGGCGAGGCATCACAGCTCGGCTAGCCCGTGATGACAGCCTGCTGCCATTCACAGGCTCAGCTCTTTTGCCGTAGTTGAAAGACATGTTGGGTCGGGTGAAGCGCTGATGTTCGGCGCAAGCGCGTGATCGTGACGTTGTCGTGTATCTCGTTATTACTCGTCATATGCGAAAATAGCAGCAGCAGCGAAGAATGAAGAATCAGAAAAGAAGCATCACGAGCTCCAGGCCATGTGATGTGGGAAATTCTTCAAGGAATCAGTGACAAAGAAGCCGAATGGGGTATGAATAGACTTGAACACACACAAGTACCGTGGAGCAAATAGAAACGCAACGCCTACTCCAACAATCAACAACCAACAATGAACGACAGTCAGGTCCGTCCAGGCAAATAATGAGAGTGAAAGTAACAAGAGAGAAAGTGACGATCAGCTGAATGGTGGAAGAGAAACAATCCGTGAACAATAAGACCTTGGCGGCAGACAATAAGAGCAGTGGACGAGGGCAGCGCTCATCCTCCCTCCCGCGGCCTGGATCCGCCCTCGCAGCTCCGAACCTGGCCAGTCCATCGCCTGCTCCATCTCGTCGTGCGTCTTCCGTCTCTCGTCGACCCGACAAAAGGGCTCTCTTCCCTGGCCGGTGGCGCGTTTGGGTCGTCCTTGAGGCCGCCTTGAGCTCGAGATTGGCTGGTCGAGGTGCAGGTCGCAGGTCTGGAATAGACGCCGTGCGAGCGGCTATGCGCAGGCTGATTGGCTGTGTGCAATTTGCGCTACGGCACCGGGGCCGCTGATTGGCCGCTTATCGCCAGTCGGGCGGCTAAGGCTTGGCCAGCTGCGCAACACACCCGCTGTGGGCCTCGGGTTTTCAGGGGTGTCGAGCCGCTGTTCGGCGTTCGCATCAACTGGACGTTTGCGATCTCGATACCCTGGAGTTGCATGCACGACAATGGTGCGATGGATGCAACACCGCGAAGATGCATCAAGATGATAGCTGCCTGGCGGGATTACAGATGATTGATACGCCCTACACAACTAGTTAAAGAGTGCCTGAAGCATGCGATTAGTGGCTTGTTGAGAGACCTGATGCTCTCAAAACGAACATAAGTCGAGCCACAGACACACGACAGTATCAAGCACAAAGTAGCATATCGAGCAACATACCAGGTGAACTAGGTAGTGGATCTACAGAAATGACATGCATCGAGATGCTAATGAAAGAAACAGCAACGATCATACTACTGGTCTTCGGTGCTACCACACCAGCATGTCCGAAACCAAGCTTGCCAAGGCAGAGCAGAACTGGCAGGCCAAGGCGAGGTTTGATACAGTCTCAGCCATCCTGCGCGACTCCCAGCGTTCGGAGCTACTCTGTCTTGTGTAAGGTACGTGATGCACCAACCACGGGGCTTTAGGAGTGCAGCTAGTGAGCATCTTCTCGTCTGATCATCAATGACGTACAAACATCGTTGTCCGGCAGTTCATTATACGGATTTCGATGATATACGAAGAGCGGTGGCTTGGCTCTGGTCGCAATAAGCACATGCAGTTTAGCCAAAGGCGGGGAAAGGCTTGACGCCACGGACGGCCATGACGAGGCTGAACTTTGTTCGAGATGCATGATCTAGCGTACCTGACAGGCTATCTTGAAGTTTAACCATCTGCGTCTGGTTCGTGTAGTGCTTCGTATCGCCCAATCTCTCGCATCAAGCGCGGCAATTGGCTGCCGCTGATGGCGCAGCACGAAGCCGACGACATGACCTGTCAGCTGATTCTCGGTATAGTTCAGCTGGTTCCTCAAGGCTCCATGTATTCGAGGCTCAATGCCATGAAAAGGTACGAGATGGATCAATCGTCGCTCACGTCGTCACCGTGACTAATGACGAGCACATGTCAAGAGCAGGGGATGTTCGTTTTCTCTCGAAGCTACGCTGCCGCCAGCTCATTGGACCAACATTGTTCTCCTCGACGTCAAATTAACGCCATGCGACTAGCCCCCAATAGGAGAAGCTTGGCCATCACGACTCGGGCTTCTCCGAACGCTTCTTCACGGCCATGGATGGAGGCTCTTCACCGTCGCCAGCAATGTCTCCGGTCCGGTACGAGCACCACCGGCAACGTGGAAGAGCGCGCTACAATGTGCACTTAGAAAGCAAGACGCGTCGCAGTGAGTTTGGAAGGTCGAGAGCTGTACAAGCGACTGCCCGCCAGCGCGAAGCAAGGCCGGGCACATACGAGCCTTTGGATACGATGCCATTGGCCCTGCACGAACCAAAAAGTACGAAATGCTCCGCACGACTATTGGCCGCCGGAGAAAATCTCGCAATCCGGCCGCGATTGAGTTCATGGATTGGACTCGCTGGTTGGGTCGCCCCTGAACGAAGCAGCAGGTCTAGGAACCACCGGCGATGGTTCTCCGTAAGGTAGCATTAGAAGATGCTATATTACTACTACTAGTACTGCTCGTGTGAGCAGCCAGCTAGTCACCGCTGCCGAACAGTGCCATCGCAAGGACCACGGTTCCAAACTCTTCAATCTTAAAATCTCCTCATTCCCTGTAGCGGCCAGTAAAATTCTCCTTATCGCGCCGTTTGCCAGGCACCAGGTACAAATCGCAGCTACGGATACAGCTGCAGGTCAGAGGGGACTTCGTATTACAAGGCACGAGGCACGAGGTTCGAGTCTTGTGTGACCGTCTCACGGCGATTGTGCGGGCTCGAGATATGCCGCTGTCCTTGCTTTTTTTCGTGGTTCCATCCCGTCACCGTCGTACTTGAGACGGTTCGTGGTGGCCGCTTGCAGCTGTGCGTCCCAACACGCGAGAACGAGATTTGTGCCATTTGCTTCCACCGACACGAGAGTGAAATTTGCAATATGAAATTCCCCAATCATTCTTACAGCCGTAAGACGCAAGAGAGGCAGAACAATAAGCCATGCATGCATGATACTACCGTGTCTGGTTAATGACAGGTATTACAGGCGCTTCCAGTGCTCGCAACTTGTCTGCCAATAGACGTTGATACGAGATGTTCTAAGCCAAAGGCGTGCGGCCCCCTTTTTCTCGGCGTGGAAGATGCATCTCGATCCGCCCGCTTTGGCACCGTGTCATCTGCAAAACAAGCCGCCGGGGAGTTCCAGAACATCCTGAGGGGCCGTGCGTGGGAAGAGAACATGACCGTAGAAACGGGCGTTGCTTGCAGCAAAACATACAGTACCCGAACAGCCGAAAATGGGGAGAGAAAGAGAAGAGACAGCAGAGATTACAACACTGGCCGACTCTCTATAGCAGCAGCATCGTCTTCGCCAGTATAGTAGTACCTTAGACCCCAAGACAGCCTCTGATGCCATAGCTGAGAAGGCCAGATAATGGCTTCAACATTCCCCTGACACCTTCAAGTCGGTCGTTAAAAATCTTTCCTTAGCTCAAGACACTAAAGTCGTATCTGTACCTGCTGGGTACTGTGCGACAGCGTCCATTCGCCGGTTGCTACGCGCCGTCGACCTTCGTCCCATCGTATCCGTCAAGTATACGGTACGCGCTTGGCCTTATCAAGCATCGTCAGCACCGCGCCGCCTTGGTTGCAGCAAGTAGCCCCATCCTTCTGCTACCACCCAAACCGGCTCGCTGCGGTACCCCGGCGCTTTCAGCCACGCACAGAGCAGCCTGTCTTCTGCGGCACGGGGAAGACAGGGGCTCTCCGCGGTACCTTGCTCTCAGCCGCCGCCAAGTACCGCAGCAGTGCCAGTACAAACCCAAGCCCGAAGCGACCTGGCCCTACGGGGACCCTTGGCAGGATTCGGGATGCCAGAACGTGCCAATAATCAACCGCCTCTTTTTTCCCTTGGACCCCCATCCGACTGCCATTATTGCTCCAGCACTTCCAGCCGTAATATCTCATACCGACTTCTGGCCACAACGCGAATTTGCTCCTCGCCTAGCGCCTGCTCTGGCCTGTTGTCTCTCTCCGGCCGGGCTCGATCTCTGCTTCTTGCGATTTGATCTCTTCTGTCCTCCAGGGCTGTCAGGATCCGGTCCAGCGTCGAGACCCCCCCCCGAAGCAACCCCCCCCTCCCACTTCTGGAGCCCGTGTGTTCGCTCTCTGTACGAGGGCATCGTCTCTGTCTCTCGCTCTGCTTCTGCATTAAGCTGCCTGCATAGATTTATTATTATTATCTTTTATCATCACACACTCTTTTTTTTTTTCTTACCCCTTCTCTTCTAGCTCTGGTGGCGCCTTCGTATTGGGAAAGCCCACGCCCGCCCGCTTTCTGCTGCCAACGCCCGACTCCGTATTTCGACCACCTGTCGAATCGAGAGCTGCTCGAAGCCTCTCCCTCCCTCCGCCGGGTCAGCATCACCAAAGCTATTCATCCTGGCGTCCCAAAGGCTTCCGGCCGGCTCCTCGAGCTCCTTCAACGACCGGCCTGTGCCGTCCCATCACCGGCGGCGCTCCTCGGTTGGCAACCAGACAATAAGCGAGGCGCGCGCTGGCAGCCTGCTGTCCATCCATCCTCGCGCAGCCAACCAGGCCCAGCTGTCCCCCATCGTCGGTACGTCCTCTTGTCTCCGTCTCTCCGTCGCTGCTGTCGGCATCCTCCCCTCGCCCGCCCGGCTTCCCCTTGCAGGCCTTCCCGCGCCCGCCTGGCCCTGCGTCATCTTGTGTCGCGCAAACTTGAGGTCGCTCGCTGGGCTAATCTCTGTGCTCCCCTGGCTCGTTCGCTGTCACAGGCACGCCCGCCGACCCAATGTCTCTGTCCCGAAGCCCGTCGCCTGTCCCGGGTGGGGGCTGGTCGAGTCCTGGCTTGAATATCAACAGCGGTCGCTCGAGTCCTTCCAATGCCGCTGGCAGCTCCGTGTCTTGGGAATCCGCCAAGATGAGGAAGCAAGGTGCCAATGGCTACCCGTCCTTCTCGACCCAGAACCAGGGCTTCTTCACCCGCCACATGCGCCGCATATCCAGCAGCCTGCCACGATTCGCCTCCGGCCCGGGCAATACCTATGCAGAGAGGGAAAAGTATGAGCGAGGAGGACACAGCCCGCACGTCGGCGGCGGGAGGTTACGATCCTTCTTTGCTCGCATTGGCAGAAGGCTGAAGTGGAGGATTCTGCTTCCGCTCATCATCTTTTGCACCATTGTGGCGTACTATGGCACTCGTGAGCAGAAACCCCCCATTGCTACATGCACAATTGAGAATGGGCTCTTTTTTACTGACAAGGGAAACAGACGAGGCTCCCGGCTTCGTTCACTGGTGGCGACGGACTTCGATGGGTGGTGGCGGCGAAAAGTTTGTCATTATCCTGGGGGCCAACGTGGGCGGAGGTGTCATGGAGTGGAAGGGAGCTCGAGAGTGGGCCATTGAGCGAGACAGCGTTCGTAACAAGCGGAAATATGCCACGAGATGGGGCTACGACTTGGAAATCGTCGACATGAAGACCAAGAAGCGGTACGCCCACGAGTGGCGAGAGAGCTGGGAAAAGGTCGACTTTATCCGCACCGCGATGCGGAAGTACCCCAACGCTGAATGGTGAGCAGACCTCACAAGGCGGTTGTCCCTTGTGGCAACTTGGCTAACACGACCGACCTAGGTTCTGGTGGCTGGATCTCAACACCTACATCATGGAGCCGTCGTACTCGCTACAGCGTCACATGTTCAACCACCTCGATCGACACGTATACCGAGACATCAACGACTTCAACCCTCTCAACATCACTCACCCCCCTACGGAGGAATACCTGGATGCAGAGGCGCGAAGCCCCGTTGGCGATGGCAACATCAACTCGGTGAACCTCATGCTCACCCAAGACTGCTCTGGATTCAACTTGGGGTCCTTCTTTATTCGACGCAGCGCCTGGACGGAGCAACTTTTGGATATCTGGTGGGACCCGGTGCTGTATGAGCAGAAGCACATGGAATGGGAGCACAAGGAGCAGGACGCACTTGAGCAACTGTACCGGAACCAGCCCTGGATTCGACAGCACACGGGCTTCCTGCCGCAGCGATTGATCAACAGCTTCCCCCCGGCTGCGTGCGCGGACGAATCAGGTCTCAACAACACCAGGATACACTACAACGAAAAGGATCGCGACTTCGTAGTCAATATGGCTGGCTGCGAATGGGGTCGCGATTGCTGGGGCGAGATGTATCACTACCGCGAGTTCAGCTACTGGCTCAATCGAAACCCTTGGGAGCTGTTCAAGGAGGAAATTGTGGCTGTCATCTGGTACAAGCTCACGGGCCAGCGAGTCAAGCTATAATCTGGGCTTCACACTGCACACAAAATGGGTTTGCATATTTTCACACCTTGTGCCAGCGCAAGCCGTCGTTTCTCCCCATGGGCTAGACACAGCGCTTTTCTCGTTGTCAGCTCCAATTTCTAGCACAGAGCATTCTGAGGCATCATTTTCTTGTTTTCTTTAATATTGATTTTGCTTGTTGCATAGATGTTGGTTTTTAATTGTTTCTTGATTGTACCAAGGCAGCAAAATGCTCCCCCCTTTTCTTTTCCTGCACGGCTGGACGAATATAATTGACAATGACTGGGAGGGTTACCATTTGACGAGGCGACGAACCACAGGCATCTGTCTTGAACGGCTGAAGCATCCGACGCATCCAGTGGTCAATGGCAGTACGCCGAGAAAACAGAATGTCCAAAAAAGGAGGGGGAAGACGGAAACGAGAAAGATTCGCTTTCCATGTCGGATACATATGGGGTTTTTTGGGGTCAACAAATTGGAGAGGCCATCTAAAAGGAAAGAAGGGATGTTAGGGAAAGGAAGGGCGCACGATGCATTGGGGTGTGTCATTGCGTTGGCAGTCTCCTGGGCGTTGGGCACTCTCACTTACATATTCGATGATGCTTTCTTTGTTTCTTCTTCTTGATTGGGAAAGGGAAGCGATGGAAGGTATGAGAAGAGAATCTTGAGGCGGACGTCTGTCTATCAGAAGGCTTATGATTGGGTATATATTGTGAAAAAAATTAATCATAGACTTGTTTTCTTTCATGTATATTGTGTATTGTATATTTTTTCTTCTCTTCAACTCATTTTGTTGTTATCGAGGGGTGATGGTTTGAAGATGCTGTGTCTGGGGTGATGATCCTGCGGTGTGCTGATTTGCCGTGAGGAGTGAATGCGATGACTTCGTGAATAAGGTTATTAACGCACCCATGTTGGTAAGAGGGGGCCCCTTCAAGACTAGAAAATCGTTGAAGCAGCAGATAAGCGAACTCATGAAGAAGAAAAAAAAAGGGGGTCGACTCTCCCAACAGTATTACTGCAGTACTAGTATATAAGTTCAAAGTTCGGTGAATTTTGTCCTGCCGCAGATAAAAAAAGGCAAAAAGCAAACATGATCGGCAAGTGGGAAAACAGCCGTGGACCGGGGAAAAGGTTTCATGATGTTTCTGCGTTGTTGAAAAGCGAGGAGCGCTGGATATAGGGCCGAAAAGAGAGGGGGGGATCTTTTGGGTGGGATGGTTGGGATTGATATAGGTGGTAATTATGTATATGCCGTGTCTCTGTGGAAGATGCTGCGTTCCCGTTGTATGAAGCTCTGGGGTTGTTAAAGTGCCGATGGTCATTTTACGAGGTATGCATCTTGAGGGGGGGCATGACGCTTGTTCTCCTAGATGTGTGAAGGACGAAGATACCTATAGAAGTGCCCAAGGTAGGTACCTTTAACAGGATACACAGGTAGGTAAACTACAGAATAATGTACTTTGAAGAAGTGAACAAAGAGACACCTTTTGTGCATCTCTCCCAGCGCTGAAAGAGTCGGCGTGCTTCAAGGGTTCAGTATTGTGACTCGTGTCTTGATGAGGTTCCCATGAATCTGAATATAAGGCAGGAGAGTAGCCAGCAAACGAATTGTCCCGGGTGAAGTAAAGGTTGCCATGTCTGAAGTTGGATAAAGCATGCGCCCAAGGTCGAGCTTCCATTGTGACTGTCCTTCGGCGGATGTGCATTTCCTCACTCTTGGCTGCAGAAGCCGTTTGGCATTCATACCTCAGGTATCCCTGCACTCATTTCCTCTCGACTGTTCACGGGAGATTCTACATACGCCTATCAACCACCAAAGCCCGGACAAACGCCCGTCATATGACAGCACAGATTAGCCGCCAATCTACGCGCTGATCAAGGATCGCCGCAACCCCCTGTCAGCCAACCATCGATTGGCCCCCGATGCGCCTCCAGCTCGTCTCAACTTCCATCCTCTTGTGCCCAGACATCCGCCCCCCCTTTGGCGCCCGCATACCGAGTCCCCGGATCCTCGCCTGGGAAGCAGAAACCGGGGGGTAGTATAACAAGTATCATCGTGTTCACATGCGACGTTTCGCGCAGGGCGTTGCTCGTCGCTGGGACGCTCCTTGGCTAATCTGCGCTGTTGCAGCACGTCTGGAGGTTCCGGCCGCCCCATGACTTTGTTCGGTCCCGGCTGTGGAAACGGCTTGAGGAAAGAGATTTTGGACAAGGAGGACGGGCCTGTATTTAGATGGCCCAGCGGCCTCAAACTGCCAGCCCTGCAAAGGACTGTACTGCTTTCGCTTCGCTTTTCTCTCACTTTGTGTGCTTCGCTTCTCGGTGGGCTCAGCTTGGGCCGTTCAATCCTTTCGACGGCTGGTGTTGTCATTGGAGACCTGATGACGGGCTGTTGCTGTTACAAACGATCCATGTTCACGCACAATTCACTTCTGTCAATAGGCTCTGGTTGGCTTTGACTTTATAAGAAGGTATTCACGATTGTCTTCGGCCTGGTTTCTTTCTCACGCATACTCATCTTCTTCCAAGCATCCAGTTACCTACTTTCATTTGTGTAGGTAATTACATCAAGCCTCTTACTATATCAACATTTGTTCTTTGAAACGTCTATATCCTGACCCTGGTGGTTACCGAACAATCCACGTCTTTCACCCGACTATCACGCCTGCTAGACGCAGCTCCGGTCTCTGTTGCTCTTCGTGACTGGCTCACGCTGCAACTTGCGACAACTTCAAGAAGACAATTCGCTCTCAGGCACCTTCTGACCTTTTCTATCCCCCAAACCCTCATCATGTACGCCCCTCGGAGTCTTGCCCTGTGTCTCGGCGCTCTTTTTGCCTGCAAAGTTGCCCATGCTCAAGGTACTCAGTACACTCTGAACGTCGTCTATGACCAGACCAACTTCTTTTCCAGCTTCGACTTCTTCAGCGAGGCCGATCCCACACACGGCTTCGTCCAATACGTCGATGCCCAGACGGCCAACTCCCTGGGCCTCGCCGGAACCTCTTCGGGAGGCATCTTCATGGGCACCGACTCCACGACGCAAAACCCGCCCGGCGGCCGCAAGTCAGTCCGCGTGACTTCGCAGCAACAGTTCACCCACGGCCTCTTCGTTGCCGACATCGCCCACATGCCGGGCAGCATCTGCGGAGTCTGGCCTGCCTTTTGGATGGTCGGCCCCGACTGGCCGAACTCGGGCGAAATCGACATCATCGAGGGCTTCAGCACGCAGACGACCAACTCAATCACCCTCCACACGTCCGCAGGCCTCACCGTCAACAACGAGGGATCCGACCCGTCCACCAGCCTGCTGGGGAGCGACTGTGGCCCCAGCAGCACCAACGCCGGATGCGGCCAGAAGACAACGGACAACCAGAACTACGGCGATGGCTTCAATGCCATCGGCGGAGGCGTCTATGCCACCGAGTGGACGTCCGACCACATTGCCGTCTGGTTCTTCCCGCGAACAAACATCCCCGCCGACGTCAAGTCCAGCGCACCGAACCCCGACAACTGGGGCGCTCCACTGGCCAAGTTCTCCGGCGGCAACATCGACGGCTTCTTCAAGAACAACCAGATTGTCTTCAACACGGCCTTGTGCGGCGACCTGGCTGGCAATCTATGGACGTCGGACCCGGAGTGTTCCGCCTTGGCGCCTACGTGCGAAGACTATGTTGCCAACAATGCGGCGGCCTTTGAGGAGGCTTTCTGGATTGTCAACTCGGTCAGCGTTTACAATCAGGCTCAATAAGCTACGAAAGAGGGCCACCGCATAGTGCAGGCTGGAATCGGACACTTGGGGGGAAAAGAATATGAAAAGAAGGGAGAGAAAAGAAGGACGTCGGTTGGAATAGAGGTGGAGATACCCAGGGGTTTTTACGCTGAATGTTCCCATTTGGGCGAAGGGGGGACAAGGTCTGACGGAGGCTTCACGTTTTTTTTTCCCCTTTCCTCTGCTATTTAAAGCTGTACATTTCTTTTCGCACTCGCTTGTTACATAGATGATCTGGTAGACTTGAGCAATCTAAGCATTCTTATCCCATCACCGTGGACAAAACTTGCAACCCCCCCTTTCTTGTAGGTAGCATAAAGTATGTGGCGTAGCGGGCCGGATCTTGATCGCCCTCTCACACACCCATCATGTTCATGGCACCTTGGTCCCAACACGGAGAATCTGGGGCCAAGCAGCCTTATACAGCCAATGTCTACAGAGCCTGGGCCACAACAGTCTGCGTAGACCATCCACCTCGTCCACACGGCAGAGTACACGTATAAGAATACGCGTAGATCCTTCGCTTGGGACGTCGCCCCATCGGTCAGGCGATCTTCGTCCGAGCTTGCATTTCGAGGCTCCCCCCACCACGCTTTTTCTGACCGAAAAAAAAGTATGACCATTGCCCCTTCTTTCGAGCAAATTGCCCAGTACAACCAGGGGATCCAAAATATGCTTGATAATATGGAAATCGAATAGGCTATCAAGCCCTGGCTGCCGGGGGGCAGTTACGCGTATGGGCGGTGTGTTGGTGTTTTGCTGGTGATGATTAGTATGATAGAGTTGGATGGATCGGGGGGTTTGTGTAACTGTATAAAGGCATGTTTGTCCTCTATTCTTTCAAACATCTTTCCAAAGACGCAAGATACAGTTTAGAAAAGGAAACAAGCCAATTCGAAAAGTCTCAGTTGTCTCTCTTCTTCACCAACCTGCTTGTTAATTCCTTCTTCAGACCAAAGTCTTATAAGCCGTTCGTCAAGATGAGCTTCATCTCGGGCCTAGATCTCACCAGAAACTACTCCCTCTTCACAGTAAGAATCCTACACCATCACACACAACCATCATCACAAACAAGTTTGACTGATACTAATACTAATATATACTTCAGGTCCCCGTGGCATGGGTGATATGCATGCTCCCCGGCACATGGGCCACCAGCGTGGCAGGCTCGTCCTATGACCTCGCCAACCCACGCCAGTACCTGACAACACTCAGCTCCGACAACAAGATAGACAAAGCCGTATGTCCCTCCCTCACCACGTCAAAGAAATGACAATTCCAATAACACTAATCGTGGGTTTTAACAACAGCGCCTCCAACGCCTCATGCGCGCCCAAAGCGCCATGGAAAACGGCTTCGAAACGCTCGGCCTCTACGCCGCCTCCGTCGCGGCCGCGAACCACGCCCGCGTCGACCCGTGGTGGCTCAACGTGCTCACCGTGGGCTACCTCGCGTCCCGCGTGGCCTACATCTACGCCTACATCGTGCTGTGCCAGAACCGAAAGCTGGCGCCGGTGAGGTCGGGCATCTGGGCGGTGGGGGCCGGGGCCATCACGGCGTTGTATGTCATGGCTGGGTGGAATCTGATGTGAAGTTTTTTTCCGATCTAGAATTCATTTGAGGCTGCAATGTAATGGATGCCTTTTCCTTCTTCTTGTCGTTTTGTTGTTGCTCGTTGAGAGTCGTGTTTGAGAATGAAGGGGTTTTTGGGGAGGGTGCTGGTAAGGGGGGAGGGGAGGTGACGGACCATGTGGCCTCATATCTTGAAAGACGGGAAACACGAGAGCAATTCGTTTTAGTTGCCTCTTTACCTCCCTTTGGATGCCACATGGGATTGCCCGGATGCTTGTTCCTGTGGGATCTTGTGTGACGGGTTGAGCATGGGCAAACAATTGCTCGCACCAAGGGAAGCTGAAAAAGAGGCGCACAAAGCTTGAATCAAAATCCTCCGACGCAACTTGCCGTCCAGAAGAGCGGTCATCCTTCTGAAATACTCAACTTCAAACCCCCTTTGAGTCTCTGAATCACAGCTCCAGTCTAAGAACTTATGCAGCGTATATCCAAATTGTCCCTGAATCACCATCTCCCCACCGGTGAGAGCTGTCCTCCCGTTTACTTCACACAAGATGAGAAGTCCGGAACTCAAGTCAGCATAAAGACGCCTGAACGCTGTCTCTTTCGCCTCCCCTATGCTTCCTCCTCGTGACACTCTCGTAGAACACAAACACCGCCCTTACTGTCGACTCCGAAAAACAGTGTTTGCTTCTACGCCTCTTCCCCGGTCTTGCATATATACAAGATCGTTGAAATCCCAGAGCAGGAACCTATCGAGCTCTTTCCACCAAACAGCAAATCACACACCACAGACAGACAGAACCAAGACGACAAAAACAGCTTCGCAAACCGAATACAAGACCCAGAAACCGACTCCTCACAAACACCTACTACCTATACTCAAACCAAACTCCTCAAACAACACGCAAACACATCTACCTCAACATACCTACCTACCCACCTACCTATCTATCTATACAACAACAATCATATCAGAGCAGAAAATAAAAATAATAAGCCCTACCATGCTCCTCAAGTCCCTCCTCCCAACCCTCTCCCTCCTCCTCCTCTCAACCCACGCAACCATCACCCCTCCCTCCTCGTTTCCCTTCTCCAACAGCAGCACCACCACCAACGCCACCACACAACAACAACAACAGCAACAACCACCAGCCCACGCAGCCTCCACCACCCCGGCGCCCACCGCCACGCCCGCCGTCCTGCACTGCGACATCACCTACTGCGTCAACGGCACCTCGTACTGCCACTTCTGGGGCGGCGTCACCACGTGGCAGAAGGAGGGCCCGTCGCCGGGCGAGCTCGTCACCACGCTGGGGGTGTGTAAGCTCGGGAGGGCGAGGACGACGACGACGGCTGCGTGAAAAAGGACGGAATGCCTCTTCCAAAGGAAGGGACGCTGTTGTTGCCTCGCTCCTTTTGAGGCGCTCTTCTAAAGGGGATGTGAACCTGGAGTTTGGGAAATACGTCACGAAATGGGGATGGGAGTTGTCTGAAGGACTCGGATGCTGTGAAGGGAGAGAAGGGGAATGAACGGGGGCTCTTGTGGATGTGCTTCATTCAGGCATGGGCAAGAAAAGATCGAGGGAGCTGGGCAAACGCTTTCTTTATGCATTGGAACAGAAAATGTTTAGGTACAATAACAAACTGCGCTATAATACAAATATTCAACCATGCTTGTCCACCCCATGACAGTATCAAACTATTACACTCTCGTGGTTCGCCTTGGTCAATCTACAATCATATACACTAAAAGATCTCTACGTCTACTTCCAAAAACACTGGAGGGCTTGCAGTATGCCACGTGAACAAGAGAACATGTCGCCCTCCTAATATCAGATCACCTCATCTATCAGAACCAGACGCCACTTCCATTCCCCCAAAGCTTCCGCTCCTCGCCAGCTTTGGAGCCTCCGTTTCTGCTGTCGGCACCGCAGAGTAGCCGGGCTTCGTGTTCCCAGAGTAATCCCCAGCAGACGACATCTCGTCATCATCTTGGTCGGCACCATGCTCCTCGTCAGCCAGTGTCTCAGGTGGAATAGACACATCGTCCTTGATCTTGAGCACAAAAAAGGCCGCAACCAGCGCAAAGAGTCCTCCGAGCGCCAAAACAATAGCAATGCTGTGGTCGCCTGGTGTTCCCCTTGGCTTCTGCCATATCCTAAAGATCAAGCTCGATCCTATGTTGGCAATGATCTGAGGACAGGAGACGGACATGTTGTGGATGCCCATGATGACACCGGCTTGATCGACTTCCTCCTCCTTTGATGCTTCGACCAGTTCCATCGGGGACGTATGTCCAGTAGCAGACGGGGTCAAGGGAGGGGGGGCCGGAGGAGCGCCACGGTTGTCTCGTCGGGGGCGTCTGGCGCGGGCGAGGGCATCGCGACGACTGATCTCAGCGCTGATGATGGCGAATGGAGCCCACAGGGTAATGGCCCAGGTGATTCCAGCGATTCCTATCAAGGTCGTTGCACCGCCGACAGACCTGACGAACAAGGTGCAGACCATGACAATGGCGAAGAGAATGAGAGACCCGAACCAGGCCCGTCTAAGGGTGAAGCCGGGTATCCTCAGGTGGTGCAGGAAGGGTTTTTTAGGGTCAGGCTCCGAACTGTTTAATTCAGGATGATTATCGTAGGTCGGGACAACGAGAAAGGGTAGAAACACATTGACCAGCAGGCTGACGATGGAGTTGATGAGCAGGGCAAAGGAGCCCATGCGAGTTGCTTGCTCGTACAGCTTGTCAATCTCTTGAGGAGTCATGTGCGGGTTCTTCTCCAGAAAAGGCTGGACATAGATCTCGCCAATGTACGAAGACGTGTAAAACAGAAGAGGGAAGAAGCCGACCCAGCCAAAGAATTGCACCTGGCACACCCGTTTGATCTGAGGTGGCAGTCGCTTGATTGATTTGAGAAGAGTGAAGAAGAAGAGAAAGATGCTGTGCTTCTTGCGCGGCGGGCCCTCCAACCGGGGATCTCTCTCCTTGATCACTGCAGCGCTCAGAAGGACCGTCGACCCGAGCGAAAGGCTTGCGATTGCGCAGAGGATCTTGAACTGGGTATCGCCGAGAAACCAGAGCGGCTTGGTCAGGTTAACGTATCCCGCGATGAATCCGATAATGTTTCCAATGCCCGTCATGCGACTGGCCATGGAATTCGCAGCTTCCTGCTGATGGGCAGGCCCGCAATCAACGATAAAGGCGCGGAGGGCGGCCTGGACTGTGTTGATAGCAAAGTCCAGCAGGTAAACGCCAATCACCGCCGTGACAATGACGGTGATCTTGACGCCGTGCGATGCGGGATCGGCCCCGAAGATGCTCAACACACCACCGACAATCTCCTTTGTCCAAGCCAAGAAGAGCAGCCCTACAATGGTGGCAGCAGCGCCGCCGAGCATAAACGGCTTTCTCTTGCCCCATGGCAGGCGGCAGTTATCACTGAGCATGCCGACATATGGCTGCACCAAGGTTCCGGTCAGGGGGCCCGCAATCCAGACCAAAGCCATCAGAGACTTGCTGAGACCTAGGGACAGCAGATATGGCGAGCCATTGGAGAGCTCGACGGACCATGCGATTTGGAGACCTCCGATGCCGATGGTCAAGATGGTCAGGTACCACAAGCTCTTGGTTGTCTGGCTGTCGTCGGTCTGGCTATCGCGTCGTCCGGAATCAAATACATCGTAGTCGGTTGGAGGCAATAGCGGCGAGTGTTCATCGTTTGTCGGTTGTTGGCCGTGCTCATGCCGCTCGTCGATGGAGCGGTTGCGGGGAGAGGCGGCGCCCGGAGTCGACGATGTGCTGGCGCTCGGCGTAAACTGCTGCTGACGAGGAGTAGGCGTCTCGCCGTGGTCGGACTCGCGGGGGGATGATGCCGTCATGGTCGATGACCGGATGGGATATACAAGTCCCGTAGAGCAGAGAGGGGATGCGAATGCGGATGCGGCAGCGCCGGCAAACTCGATCAGCGGAGAAGCATGCGATACCTTCTTATCCAAGCAGAATGCTGGGCGAAGACGGACGATGATATAGAGCGATGGCGGCTACAGAATGGTATTGTAGCTTCACGAGAAGGCCATGACCGGTTGAAGCGAGTGTTGGAAGCCGGCCCCGAAGAATGTTCTCTTCAGCTGGGCAGCAAGCCTGGTGGTCAAGGCGAATCAGGCGCCTCGCTCGAAGCAGACGAATCACGCGGCGAGGCTGAGTGAGGATGGATGCTTGGATGAAACGAGACCACGCGATCAAAACAGCTGGCACTGCATGTACTGTCGAAACGGGCGATCGGTAGAGGCAGTGGAACCGTCGCACAGATGCAGGTGCGGACTCGTGGGACACACAGCCAGAAGCCTTTGGAGCAGCTGAGGAGAAGACGGATGGATGGGATAGAGCCTTTCTGGTACGCCGCGGTGACGGGCAAGAGTCGAGGTGCTTCCATCACGAGCTTCAGGGAGTCGGTTGGGGGGCATCGTGATGCGTCAGGTGGGCACGAGCCAATCAGAATGCGCCGGTTGCTGACGCATGGCGCTGATGTTCAGGCACGAAGAATCGCGGAGAAGAGCTGAAGGGGCAGTGACATCACCGAGGCAGTGGGCAGTTAAGGTACTGTACCAAATAAAGTAGGCAGTTGACCATCTGCTCCGGGGAAGGCTGGAGCCGTTGCATTTATATTTCGGATGAAGTAGTCTTCTTTGTTTCTTGTGGGATCATTTTACCCCAGATCATTCCTCGATATTGACGTCCAGTGACATCCGATCTGATGCTGGACATGGACTATTGCAGGCCATACCTTGACTCTAAAGAAGTCACGTTGTGGAGCTGGAACAATGGCTCGGCGAAACTCTTGAGACATCAACCAGGCCGATGAGACTCCAGTCACCTTGCGTAAGCTGGATGCTGGGGAGTCATGAAGTGCCCAACATGGACTACTACTACATACACAGACACGTTACGTCAAGTTATATGGGTCAGCGTTGTTTTCTGGGAGAAGCATCTTGACACGATTCCCCAGCAACCCAGTTTTGTTTCCATGTCCGGCAGTTCCCCCACGCAATGGTGTAAACACTCCCCTGACGACATCCTGCATTATGAACAAGTCCGTTATTCTGGGGTTAATGGTGTCAAGTACGTAGTAGTATGCGTCTGCTGCTGGCATCGAACCAAAACAGGTCGTCGGCTCGTCGTGACATGTCTGTTGTTGGCTGATACCTGGACTACCAACGTGTATTACGGCAGATTTGGTGTTCCTCATTGCGGTAATGAACGAGAGCTAAAGTGCTTCAAAGCATCTGTTGTTCCAGATCAAAATAGTGGGCTTCGACCGTGGGTTGTTGCTCCAAGATGCACATGAGTTGCTTCGTCTGTATGACTGCCAAACTGTCAAATCTGCACGCAAGTTGATCTTCGGAGCGGCCCTTACTTTATTCTCTCATGGGGACGGCCAACTTGGTGCAGATCAAGCCTTGAGCCGATTCTGACAGGTGATGATGTCGCACCAGCATTTCAGAATTACCTTAGCAGATCCGTACAGTAATACTGTATGTACATACAACGTTGCGGTAAAGGACGAGTCCTTCGTGCACATTTCGGATGACCCGCGAGCGTCAGGATCGCCGTGCCTTGGGCACATGGTAGTCGAGGCGTAGCAACGACACCGATGTCTCAGCTCCACCCATTGTGTCAACACTTCTTCGTCTCTTCCTTTCTCCCCGTCGTTGGTCTTCTGCCCGCTCAGCAAACAGATGCACGTTGGTGAAATTTTTCTTTCGTAAATGGATCCTGCTGTATTACTTCTCCCGAACAACGCATACATACGCTTGGATACGCAAATACGGCACACCACTCCGCCTCACCCCCTCACCAACAAAAGGAGGCGAAGTTTGCAGTCAACACTAGTGCCGCCACCAGTGCAAGATGCCGTGGCTGACACCTTCAGAAACCCGTCCCAGACATCCAAAAAAGACCTGAGGCGCCTGCACCGGAGAGCACGAGCGATAACCCGTCCATTATCGCCGGCTCTTTACGGGACGGCTCAACCGAGAGGGTGTCCTGGGCGGCTCCTGTAAGTACAGTATGTAGATGGTGGCACCGACCAAACCCGCCACAGCCGCTGTAGACCCGAAGTCGAACACCCTCCAACAGAAGCGTTAGGCGCCTGGCAACTGATCGCCAACGTTCGAGAAAAGTCACGGTCCACGCCGGGATCAGTGAGCAAGCTCGCTAGCGGTCTGATGGCGCAATGGGAGAAGTCATCTTGGCGGAACCGCCGAGGACGCTCCAAGAACCATGTCATATGTGCATAATATTGGACTTTGAGCAGTGCATAGGCCAACCCGACCAGGTCAATTCAGCTGAACCGGACTTGGCCCTCAAGCCCTGTTCGAGGCTCTGTAGGCGAAATCTTGTCCGCTGCCCAGATCCGTGGCCGATCGACGGCGACAACTGACATCCATGTCGGCTCCCGTTTGCGACTCTCACGGACCTTTGCAGCGTCGCAGTGCGCTAACGTGGCGTGCGACGGGCCAGCGAGTCAGCCCTTTGGGTTGAGTGCCGACGCGCACACAAAAGACTCTGAATCTGCGCGGTTTTCCTCGGCCACTCGGGATGCGTGTCAGTGCCGTCTTCTTGGCTGTATCGCTGCGTCTGTGCAAAGGCTGGAATGGAGTATTGATGGCCAAACATCAAACGCCACATCAAACGGTGTGCGAGGACATGGTGGTTTCACCCCAGATACCCAAAGACTCCTCGGAAGAGGCGACAAAGTCATCATGAAAACAATGGGACAAATAATCATCCAAAGTCACGAGCTCGTGAGAAGACGGGGCGCGAGAGACAGTGTCCCACCGTCCGCGGCCTTGTTCCGAGTCCTTGGACGCGTCCGGCTTATTGTACCAGACAGACTGTCTCGCCGTCTCCGCTTTCTCCTCTCACCTGCTACAGTACGAGAGACACTCTCATCAGCGTCGGACAGAAAATTCGGATGCGGTGGCGGACGGACGGACAGGAGAGCGACAAGAAGATCTAATTAAACATGCATATTCGTGCATGCAATGTTCCAGCATGGGCTGCTGCAGCTGTCTCTCTCGGCGTGGCGTCCCAAGGTTCTGGGTTCCGACAAGTGCATCTTTTCTTCCGTTTCCTTATTGCCGTTGTCCGCTCAATCGTGGTTGCAAGGCCAAGGAAATTAAAATCTCGGACGATGTGAGGCTTCAACTGTTAGCGGCGCCTCCGCAATCTGGGACCTGCGCCTGTGCACCACTGGCGAGGCGATGGAGGGCGCTTTTCGGGGATAATGGGCTCGTGGTTGGCCTGCGATTTATTCCGCCGGGGGTGTGTGAACGGTGGGTGATGTGGGCAAGGCCAAATGGATGGAAGGGAGGGAGAATCAGGAGGTCGCTAAAAAATCACCGAGCCAGACGCCAGAACCAGCGCCCCCCCTTCTGGAGCAGGCCGCTAAGATTTGCTCCCAATGCCGTCGCCGCAAACAAGCCCCAGCAGCTCCATACTGACTTCATTGCTGGTGGGGGCTGCGGGAACCCCGGCTGGGGAATTTGGCAGCGTTGCGACGAATTCCTGGAGATTCTGGAGCCGGCTGGACTCGGTGGACTGGTGCTGGGCCAATGGCAGCCGCAAGCAGCTCGGGGGGCCGGTCCCCTGGTCGCTCTTTTCGCTGGTGCCTTGGATGGCTGCTGCTCCGCTTGCGCCTGAGAAAGGCCGAGTGCTGGAGAGTCGCCACTTGGGGAACACGGACATTGCCTGTCCAGATCCATGGATACTGTCTATTCGCTCTTGTGAAGGCACGAGTGCAAGAATATGTGGCCCTGACTAGCAGCAGTTCGCAGACAATCGCCCTTCCCTGTCCCGGCACTGATTGACTCGATCCTTGAGCGCTTTTCGACGGTCTCCTTTTAATAAGTAGCCGTCGATCTGCTCCCGACGCGCCTGCGTCTGCTTCTACCTTTTGTTCCTTTTCTCTTTCAAGTGTTGGCTTTCTAACCGTCAAGCCTTGGCCTCAAAGCTACTTCAGCCATCTCCGCGCCATCTTCAGCCATCGCCAGCAACTGTGCAAACTCTAAGCCTTGTAGGCTTTCTTTATCGACAGACTTGACACCCGTACCAAGGTACCTTTCGCTTTGAGGCCCTTGCTGGTCCTGTTATAAAGCGTTTGCTTCCGCTCCCACGAAGGATCTGTCCATACATACACCGGAACAGCTCCCGACAATCCCCGTCCTCGGCGTCTAGTTTGTGATACAAACATTCAAACCATCGGCACTCCTGCATAACAATTCGAGTACTCGTCGCACGGGTATATAAAACATCGTCGCTGCACTCGAGACCTGCTCGCCTTCCACCTACCACTACGACAAGCCACAACCCAGCTTCACAATGGCTATCCGGGAGCGATTCCGCCGCGCCCTGCGCAGATCTGACGACTCAGACACCATCTCCCAGACAGACTCCAACGCGACGACAGCGTCGTCGGCCCGACAAAGCTCCAGCTCCGAATCCGCTCCCCAACTGTCGCTGAAAAAGACCAGCTCAACACTATCGAGAACGCTGGCCTCGCTCGGTATTCGCGACAAGGAAAAGGACAAGGACAAGGAGGCGGCGAAGCGCGAGGAAAAGGACCGCAGGAGAAACAGGGGCCGGACGTACAAGCACCCGAGCGAAAAGCCCCTGACGGAGCAGAACCTGAAGCACCAGGAGATGCTCAGCCATTTCAAGATGGAGTTTGGCGCCTCCGACCCGAGCCAGGTCCTCCAGGACCTCGACTTTGACGGCATCAGCCCGTGTTGCACGCGCGTCAACAGCCTCGACCTGGGGCCTGAGGATGTCTGAGTTGTGTGTCTTCGAAAATCAGACACATGCACGATTGCAGGCATTGCCGGCAACCGAGAGCCGGAGCGACGCGATGCCTGCTTAGCATGCGAATTGCGACCGGGGATTTTCCTCATTTGCCAGATCGCCAAACCACCACCGGCTAGATCTGGCTATATGCACGCAGCCCTTCTCAATTGACGACGACCACATGACCAAGTGCATACTGTTTGCTACAAGCAGCATCAAAGAGGAAATCCCATGTGGCAATTCCTCGGCGAATTTTTACAACCTTTGCCTCTTTTTCAACACCAAATTTGGACACCCTTTTTCAACTTTCAGCTATTTTAATGCCCTACCTACCACCCACACTACGATGCTGCGGAGGGCGCCACCCCCGCCGGCGGCAATTGTTCCTGCATAGCATGAGGGGACAGATCTAGATCTCCCCAGATCGCCGACGACCTTTATGCGACCGCAGCTATTCTCTCTTCTTTTCTCGCAACCTTGCTTCTTCACTCTCCCGTGCAATCCGCATCTCAGCTGCGGTGCGAGATTCGCACATTCACCTTGTGCTATGTTCACCACGACGCAAATGGCTATGATGACGGAAGGCGGGCTTTCTACACATTTAGACGACGTGGGTTTCTGGCATCCTGCGCGCTCTCTATTTCCTTTGTCTATCCTATTACCTAAGTGTACTTTGAATCGGGATACATGGGAGTTCGGAAACAATTCTACAGAGGTTTAAAAAGATCTCGCTGTAGACGGATCACGGCGTTGGATGGCTGGGAACATTTTGGCATGACCTGAGCGATTGGGTTACACACATATACGGCACATAAGGTAAATCAGTTGCCCATATCTTGACATAGTTAGATGTCTTTTGAATAAATTCTTGATAATAATCCGTTTCCCTGCTTTTCATCTACGATAAATGCTATACTGTGACATTTGGGCCAAAGGCTGAAGCAGGGTTGAGAAAAAGGTGAGGTTTTATCTTGGTAGACTGCGCTCTCTCGTGGTTTGGTCTTCTCACAGAAGCCTCGACGTGATATCAGTTTCGATAACTCTGCAAGCGTTTCTCTCCTTTGCGCATTCTCGCGCTTCTCATTCTTACATCGACTCAACTTGCACCCCTTCTTTGCGCCGTCAACTGCAGCATCATCGCCGCTCAGGCTCTACTGTCACGACTTTATGCTTTCCGCGGCTGCTCCTGAAGTCTGCCTCATTGACTCCCGAGTCTCTTCTAGGCACAGATCCCTCACCAACGGTCACCGCTCAGGCCTTGCCCGCCAGGCAGCTGGCAGACGGCAGAATGGCGACCACTATCAGGGCCGGCAGGTGCCCTCTCGCGCCTTCCCGCTGGGCGCCCCGGGTACTCGTCACTACCTCGAGCCTGGCCAACTGTCGACCAAACTCTGTCACCTCAAGCAAACTCTTAGCGGCAGCAGCCTTATGCGTAGGACTCTGACCTTGCATCACCAACAACACGGTCTTCGAAGTGACAAACAGCCCCTCCCAGAGCCAGCATCCAGCGGCCCGCCTCCAGAGATGGCCAAGTCCTTCTTCGTCCTCAAGCTCAAGGCGGTGCCGGCCAGGTATGGCCTGTCGAAGAACATCCAGGACCTGTTCATGGCCCTGGATCACTTTCACAGTGGCTCCATCGACGCCGTGGAGCTGGGCAGACTCGTGCGCCTGAGCCCGAATCGCAGGTCGGCTATTGCCAACACCATTACGAAATGCGCGGGCATCATTAAGAAGCAGCCTGAGGAACTCACAACGTGCGTCGATGTCATCGAGATGTGCACAGAGCTCCTCGAGATCGCAGGTAAGTCAAGAGTAGGAGGCGAGTTCCCTCACGGCGTGCTCTCGACCTGATGCGGCCTTGCTATGGTTGTATTGATGGGTATGCCCGCAGATAGGAAGCCATCCACCGATGGATTCCCTTTCATGAGGCTCCCGGCAGAGATACGGCGGAAAGTCTTTAGCCTCATTATAGACAACATTTTCCGAACCCAGGCAATCTTGCCGGCGGGTAACAAGACTGCAGGCTGCAAGTGCCCTCGGTTCGAACGAGATAACACGTTTCAGACGATTCAAATGAGAGACCTGCCATGCCTCTTCGGCTCGAATGCGATGACTGCCGAGTTTTTCCGAGTCTTTTACCGCGAAAAGACGTTTCGATTCAGATGCCCCTGCGAACTACAGTCGCATTTGAACCGCAACGACATGTTCCGCCAGAACGTGAGGAGTGTCCTGGTTTCATGGGGTGGCCCAGAGGCGGCAAAGACGTTCAAGCTGTTGAACAAGCTTCCCAAGCTTGACAGTCTCGGCATCATCCTCTCCAAGCTGACATACATTCACCTTAACGAGCGAGCAACCATTATGAAGTCTTACTTCCCTTTGTCGTTCAAGGTTACCAGGATAGCAGATGTTCTCGGCCTGGACGAACTCTTAGAGATACGTGGACTTTCTCGGGTTGGAGTAATGCTTGCGCCACCCTCCAGAGGCGGTTCCCAGTCGCACGAGATGGACCGAGCAAATCTCTTGGAACTTTTGACCAGCAGATTGACGGGGCCCAAGGAGGTGAGTTTGCAGCCCTTCCGCTTCGTCCCTTGGGGCAGTACCTAACGTCATTCAGGAGGACGAAGATATGAACCAGGAGTGAAAGCAGAGTGAAGCAGTGATGAGGATGCTCAAGGGATACTAATAAGGGTATGGCGAGCGAGTTGCTGGGTATTTTGCTTCTTCGATGGGACAGTTGATATTCTGGGATGTATTGAGCTTTGGGTGTGTTGAGGGCGAGGTGGCTGAAACTGGTTGAACAAAGTTACAACAGAAATCAAATGCGGTCTAATGGATAAGGTAGAAAAGACAAAATGAGGGACTACGAGATATGTAACAACAGATAAATTACGAAAGCCTCCACACAAATAAAGGTCCCGTACTCAAAGAACGTTGTGGTTGCTCTTGTCTTGTACCCATACAGGAGAGTATGGGCATCCGGCTCAAGATCAGCAGGCGAGGACACGCTGACCGAGCGATGGAAAAAGACGGGGTCTCTATCTACTCTAAGAGTCTACGAGCACCTACCGTTTGAGCATAACATGTATCTATTCTGGCCTGGAAGTGTGAGGCTCTCTTATGTTCTTGGCTCCAGGTATGCTGTTGGTCATGGAAGCAAGCCCTCGAGGAGATCAGTTCGGCCAAGAGAAAATCTTTTGTCAATCTCAACATGGGAGGTCGGCCGGGGGTGCAAAAGCAAGTTACGCACGGCCTGCACACACTGTCCGGAGATTTGCCAAGTCAGCGGATCACGTGTGCCAGCTGCACGTGATTGCTTACGTTGGCAGGCTTTGTGTTTGCCCTACTTTGTGCCCCCACAAGGGCCGAAAATTCCACCATGTTTAGCGAGTCCTGTGAAATCCTCCGCCCTCTTCTCTTCAACCCCGAACAATCGAACTTAACGAGCAGCACGGCAACGACCGATACAGTTGCCCAGCATGTCGCTCGTCACGGGAGAGAAGACGAACTTCCAGTTCGTAAGTGATTCCAATTCACCCTGAATGGAAAGGAGAGCATCTGTTCCAGTTGCTGCCGAGTTGCATGCGGTGGTGGAGTGTCATCGTCGCGATGAACCAGGAAGAAAACTTGGGGGAGCAACTGGGGGATGCGTCTCGAGGCGCGCCTGGAAGGATGGTGGAAGGGGTATTTCTTTGGCAAAACAATCGATTTGGGCTAACAGCTGCCGTGTCCTCTAGATTCTGCGTCTTCTTAACACCAACGTCGATGGAAAGCAGAAGGTTATGTACGCCTTGACCAAGATCAAGGGTGTCGGTCGCCGATACTCCAACTTGGTCTGCAAGAAGGCCGATGTCGACCTGAACAAGCGGTACGCGAATATTCCGAATCCTGAGATTTTGGTTTGATGATTTTGCTGGCTGTCGGAAGCCACAATGGAAACCATCAAAAACTTGGAAGAATTTGGAAATTTGGAGACTAACGAATCCGTCAACTGCAGCGCTGGTGAGCTTACCTCCGAAGAGCTCGAGCGTATCGTCACCATCATCCAAAACCCCACCCAGTACAAGATCCCCGCCTGGTTCCTGAACAGACAACGCGACATCGTCGACGGCAAGGACTCCCACATCCTGGCCAACGGCGTCGACTCCAAGCTCCGTGAGGATCTGGAGCGCCTCAAGAAGATCCGCGCCCACCGTGGTCTCCGACACTACTGGGGCCTCCGTGTCCGCGGTCAGCACACCAAGACCACCGGTCGTCGCGGCCGGACCGTCGGTGTCTCCAAGAAGAAGGGTGGCTAATGGTTTTACTGTTTTCGGTCTGGGGTGGACAGGCGTGACGGCTGGGTTTTTCATCTTTGTGATGAGCATTTCCTTGGGATTGCTTTCTGGCATACGCAGCTGGTGCTGTACTCTAGATCAGAGTCGAATGAATTAAAAGCATTTTCAAAGCGTTATCTGTAATGTGCTCAACTGCATCATGGCCATTCTTGATTGTGCAGAATTCAAAAAGTGAAACTGTCCCAGACGCCGTGCGGATTCTGCTTCAAATTAAACATACAATGGGAGGGTATACAATACGAGAGGAGACTCAACTACCAACCCAGTACACTCGTGGCATTCCTTCAGGAGTCAGACTTTTCGGGGTATCATTTTATTCATTTTTTTGGGGTGGTTCTATCTCCATTTATGTGCCTCAATCCTCATGCGTGACCGCCATATCCAAAACCTCGACTCTTCCTTGTCCCTTGGTATCATTGCCAATGAAATCAGACAAGGCCTTGAAAGCACCCGGCTCAACAAAGCCCACAACCTCCCACTCTGAGCCCATGACATCCTGGCTCTCCACCTGCTCAACGTATCCCAGAATACGATCCTTGACCGTCCCGGGCGCCTTGGCCTCGCCGCCGTCATCCTCCTCCTTCGCCGCGGCTTTGGGCGCCTTGACAGCCTGCTTGAGAACGTTGGTAGGGCACGTAACCCGGAGCTTCATCCTGGCCCGCGCGACGGGGATGGGCTGATGCGCGATGAGGGCCTTCATCGCGTCCAGGGCCTGGCTCTTTGCGCTCTTGGTCGTGGTCACACCCGTCCACGTGTGCTCCTTGGTCTTGGGCTTGGCCTCGCCAGCCTCCCCCGTTGTGGGCGTCGCGGCGCCCGAGTCCGTCGATTTCTCCGTGTTATTGTTGTTGTTGTGAGCCTGCGAGCTCAGCATGTCGAGCGCCTTCTCAATCATGCCCGGCGTGTACACCCTCTTCGTCCGCGGATCGACCAGTTTACTGACGACGATGCTAATGACCTCATTATGCACCCTCTCGAGCTGCGCCGCGCGCTCTTTATCCCCGACCTGTAGCTCCCCCTTTTTCAAGATCTCGAGGACGATGTCGTCGGTGGACTTGCCCTTGCCAAAGGCCTTTTCCAGGTCCTCCTTGGGCGCCGTCTGGCCCTTGGAGACGTTGAGGAAGACGTTTGGGATCTGGAGGACGTTGTCGAGGTCCGTCTCGATGCCGGAGCGCCACTCGAGGACCTTGTTCTTGTAGCAGGCGATTTCGAAGCGCTTCTTGCCCTTTTTCAGGCGCACGAGGGAGACGTTTGTGAGCTTGATCTGGTTGGAGGGGAGGTTGATTTGGCGGGACATGTTGTCGGTTTTTGCTTGCGAGGGATCGCGAAGCTTTGTGGGGAGGGGAGAAAAGGAGCGAGAGAAAGAGAAGTTTGGACAGAAGAACAGAGCAGTGCTTTAAAAAGTAATCAGGCGCTGCTTGAGTATTTTGTAGTCGGACAAAGGTATGAAAGGAAGAGGGCTGACGTCGACGAGCAGAGAATGTAAATAAATCGTAAGGCTATGACGGCTTGGCGGGATAGACGTTGGGCTTACAAATATGAACGTGGTCTAGACTGAAATGGGACGGTGACGGGTTTACCGTTGCTTTCTTGGTAGTAACGGGCGTCATGGAGACGCATGTTACCATTGAGAACAAGATCCTGCAATTTCCAGTATCGCCCTTTTATGTTTCTTTCTTACTCGAAAGTAACTTATAGGTTATTCTTGTCGCAGAGTCAATAGTCCAGACCGTCTCCAAGAAAGAGGCAACGAAGCGGCACCGTGAGAGATGGCCCAATACAGTTTAGCCGTGGGTGTAGATCTCCTCAGCCTGTGATTCTCATGCTTATGCACACACTTGAACTTTTTTCTACCCCACCAAGAATGCGAACCAGCCTTGCCCAACACCCTGGCCTTTGAATTCTTCCTCTGCTGATATCCTGCTGCCATTGCCCCGCCTTTGAGTGTGTTGAGTCACAAGGAGTCACAGTCGCCAGAAGGGTTCCGAGTCATACGGATTGACATAAGCACTCGCCGTGTTGGTACCGCTTGTGTCAGGATCTGAACCATCAGTCCAGCCGAGATACGCTCACTTCGTATTCCCTGCTTCCAAGGATATAGCACGAAATGGCCGACGCTACGATTGCCCCGGCCGTCGAGGACAAGACGGTCGATGCCCCTCCGGCATCCGGCAAGCAGGACATCAACCCATGGTCCGTCTCTGGAGAAGTCGGCGAGGACGGAAAGGTCAAGGCCATTGACTACCGGAAGCTCATTGACGAGTTCGGCACCAGTCTGATTGACGATGCGCTGCTGGAGCGCTGGGAGAAGGTTACCGGCAGCAAGCCCCATCGATTCATGCGCCGAGGGATTGTGTTCAGCCACAGAGATTTGAATTTGATTCTGGATCGTTATGAGAAGGTAGAGACGAATCACTACTGACACGAATGGGGTATTTGTTTCTGACGCGGGTTTGACAGAATGAGCCCTTCTATCTTTATACTGGACGAGGCCCCAGTAGCGACAGCATGCACATTGGACACACCCAAGTGTTTGACTTTGTCAAGTATGATGAGTGTTCATGGAGACGATGACTTGGGCAAGTGTTCTAATGTGTTGCCGCAGGTGGCTCCAAGATGTGCTTGACGCTCCCCTGATTATCATGTTGACAGATGGTTGGTAATCTCCGTATCAGCTGAGATTCCTCCATGATCACTAACGCTCATCAATAACTGTACAGATGAAAAGTTCCTCTTTTCGGAGAAGCGAACAATTGAGGAGGTCATGAGCTACACTCAGACCAACGCCAAGGATATCATCGCGGCTGGATTCGACCCGAAGAAGACGTTCATCTTCTCAGACTACGAATTCATTGGCGGTGCCTTTTACAGAAACATCTCCAGGTTCTCAAAAAGAGTCACATTCAATGTGGCCAAGGCCGTGTTTGGCTTCGACGGAAGGTAAGTGGCAGGGAGAGTGCTGGCTTTACGCCCTACGCTGCAATAACCAGCGTTGTCACTAACCTCTGCCTTTCAACTCCTAGCTCGAACATCGGCAAGATTCACTTCCCTAGTATCCAGGGCGCCACAGCCTTTGCCTCGTCGTTCCCTCACATCTTCGGCGATGACGAGACGAAGTCGGCCAAGATCCCCTGTCTGATCCCTTGCGCCATTGACCAAGACCCCTACTTCCGTCTGACTCGCGACTGCGCCACGAGCCTTCGCTACGCCAAGCCCTCGCTGGTGCACATGAGATTTCTGGATGCCCTGCAGGGCCCAGGCTCTAAAATGTCGGCCAGTGACGACACCTCTGCCATTTTCATGAAGGACACGGCCAAGGAGATCAAGAACAAGGTCAACAGATACGCCTTCTCAGGAGGCCGTGAGACTGTTGAGGAGCATCGCGAGAAGGGAGGCAACCCGGATGTTGATGTGTCCTACCAGTATCTGCAATTCTTCTTGGAAGATGATGAGGTACGAAGATGCAATCTCATAACGAAAGACCTTCGCTGATAGTATGGGCATAGGAACTGGCCAAGATCAAGGCGGACTACTTGAGTGGAAGCCTCTTGACTGGCGATGTAAGTACTACACATCACTGTATTGACCGCTGATGATACTGACGGAAACCGAACAGCTCAAGGCGATTTGCATTGCGAAACTGCAAGAGTACGTCGGCGCCTTCCAGGAGAGGAGAGCCAAGGTGACGGACGAGGTTGTGAAGCAATTCATGGCCGTCCGCCCGCTGGAGTGGCAAGGCAACCCCAAGGTCCCCCGTGCGGATCTCGTCGTGCCCGAGATCAAGGCGGATGAGGCCGCAGCGCCGACCGAGGGCGGACCGGAGAAGATGACCAAGAACCAGCTGAAGAAGCTGCTCAAGGAGCAGCAGATTGCGGCCAAGAAGGCTGAGAAGGCGAAGCAGAAGGAAGAGGAAGCGGCCAAGGCTGCGGAGAGCAAATAGATGTTGCTGTTGGAGCATATCTGCTATCAAGAGAGAAATAGATCTCCCAAAGAAGCTTCCGAAATTTCTTTCATGGTGTGATGATGATATGGGCAAGCCCCAAGTTTGTTCTCCCCTGCGTAGGTCGACAGTTTACTTCGTACACATGCATCTAGGGTAATCTCGAAGTTGCCACGACATGGAGCCATTGCTGCACATGTGACAAGACGAGTCCTGCTTTGCATCTAACTGTAACCGTTCTGATTCTTACTTCACCGAAAGTCCACCCATGGCTCATCAATCTCAGGCCTCAATGACCCCCTATTTGAAGCCAAACGTTGAGTATTTCCTGCAGCGTAATCGCTGCTGCTCTGTCGCTTCTGAAGATTGAGTGCTGATTGGGGCCACGTGAACGGTACGTGCCGGGGCCTTGAGACTGTCTAGACCCAAAGCGGCATTATGTGGGGTTTATCTGTATCTGTATCCTGGGGGAACCTTTGCTGTCGCCTGGACACCACGGAGTGAGTTGGGTGCCTCAGCAAGCAGCTGGAATGAGGACCTGAAGACAGTCAGCAATAGGAGGCGAGAGAGAGGTGAGTCAATGTCCCAGACAAGCTCGTGAGAGCGATCATTGTCCATTTGCAGCATATCCAGGTATCCGTGTACTGCATGTATCCCCTGATTGTCGCTGATGCTCGCCCGTGGCTGCGGCCATCAAGGGACCCAAACAGTGCCGGGTACGGGATCCGCCCACCGGACACAGCCAATCGCCACTAACAGGCGGCCACCCTCATCGCGACGGTTATCTGTTATCCGGCCGGACCCTGCAGCGAGGGGGGCGATGGGCAGCTACCAATCTGGCAGTGACAAACACGGGGAGGGGGCGACAGGTACCTCGCATGGTTATCGGAGCGCTAACAGCAGCCAGCGTGACCGCGACCGTTGATATGCGGTGGATGCGGTTAGGCAAAAGGCACAAGGTCTCGGCTCAGCGTTGGTTTTGGCTTGCGTTTTGGAAGAGGTTGGGCTTCTGCCTTGCCTTGCTCGCATACGTAATGACCGCCAGTCTCGCGGCCAGCCACGCCCTTTATTAGCCGCGCCTGTGTTTGTCTCTTTTCCTCCCCTTCCATCCTCATCCTCCAAACCATCCCTCTTCATCATCCCAATCTCTATCCTCCATCATCGCATTCATCCCCATCGTCATCATCATCATCATCCTCACAGCCTAAGCCGTCACCATGCGGTTGTCCACCTCCGCCCTCGTGCTGGGCGCCGCCTCCTCGGCCATGGCCTTCCAGGACCAAAAGGTCCTCGGCGACCCCTCGTCCAAGCCGGCGGTCAAGTTCGGCTCCGACTTCGAGTCGCTGGCCGCGTCCCTCAAGGACTCGTTTGGCGAGCTGACGGCCGACGCAAAGGCCCTCTGGGAGGAGGTCTCCCTGCTGGCCCCCGACGCCGTGGACGCCTTCCTGGCCAACGCCAAGAGCATCAAGCCCAAGAAGCACGACCGCAAGCCCGACGGCGACTGGGACCACGTCGTCAAGGGCGCCGACGTCCAGAAGCTGTGGGTGGAGGACGAGTCGGGCGAGCCGCGCCGGCTGGTCGGCGGCAAGCTGTCCAACTACAGCCTGCGCGCCAAGAAGGTCAATCCCGAGAAGCTCGGCGTCGACAAGGTGAAGCAGTTTAGCGGATACCTTGACGATGATGAGAAGGACAAGCACTTGTTCTACTGTGAGTTTCCCTCTTGACGATCTAATTGTCGTGGTCCTATTGCCTGTCAGACCAATGGCTAACCACGCTCTTTCTCCGCAGGGTTCTTCGAGTCCCGCAACGACCCCAAGAACGACCCCGTCATCCTGTGGCTCAATGGCGGCCCTGGCTGCTCCTCCCTCACAGGTCTCTTCTTCGAGCTGGGACCGGCTTCCATCAACAAGAAGATTGAGGTTGTCCACAACCCTCACGCGTGGAACAACAATGCCTCCGTCATCTTCCTCGACCAGCCGGTCAACGTCGGCTACTCATACGGTGGCGGCTCGGTCAGCGACACTGTTGCTGCCGGCAAGGACGTTTACGCCCTCATGACCCTCTTCTTCCACCAGTTCCCCGAGTACTCCCACCAGGACTTCCACATTGCCGGAGAGTCCTATGGCGGACACTACGTCCCCACCTTTGCCTCCGAGATCCTCTCCCACGAGGACCGCAACATCAACCTCAAGAGCATTGCCGTCGGCAATGGCTTGACTGATGAGTTCACCCAGTATGCCTACTACCGCCCCATGGCCTGTGGTGAGGGTGGCTACCCTGCCGTGCTGAGCGAGAGCCAGTGCAACGCCATGGACAACGCCCTGCCCCGCTGCCAGAGCCTCATCAAGAACTGCTACGACTCCGAGAGCGCGTGGCTCTGTGTCCCCGCTGCCATCTACTGCAACAACGCCTTCATTGGACCGTACCAGCAGACCGGCTACAACCCTTACGACATCCGCTCCAAGTGCGAGGACTCTGGCAACCTGTGCTACGAGGGCCTTGGCTACATCTCCGAGTACCTGAACAAGCCTGAGGTCATGGAGGCCCTGGGCGCCGAGGTCTCCAGCTACGAGAGCTGCAACTTCCAGATCAACCGTGACTTCTTGCTCCATGGTGACTGGATGAAGCCTATCTACCGCCTCGTCCCCGACCTCCTGCAGAAGATCCCCGTCCTCATCTACGCCGGTGACGCCGACTTCATCTGCAACTGGCTCGGCAACAAGGCCTGGGTCAACCAGCTCGAGTGGCAGCACGGCGACAAGTTCCGCTCTACCGAGGCCAAGGACCTCACCGTCGGCGACAAGACCTACGGCAACGTCCAGTCCTCGCACAACCTCACCTGGATCCAGGTCTACGGCGCAGGCCACATGACGCCCACGGACGAGCCCGAGGGCAGCATCAACTTTATCAACCGCTGGATCGCCGGCGAGTGGGTTGCTAAATAAGTGGCACCTTCATGATTATAAGATATCCAAGATTGGGTTTTTGGCTTAAGTCGCACAGGGAATGATATATGAACGCGACCTGCATGTTTGTGTTTTGTGTTATGGAATGATTTAGAACAGAATCAATGACTTGCGAATATGAAGAGATTCCTTTGATGGAAAGATTTTCCGTCTCAACTTTGTATTATCCCACCTGTTCCTCAATTGCAGATTGGTAGCAAGAGTTGCTGTCACATTCATGAATCAGGAGCCTCGGCTGACGGTCAAGGGGGGGTTTATTTCCGAGGACGATGTTGCATCTCCGCAAATGCTTTGACCATCCCCTGACAGCAATTGCCTTGCAAGGCATATGCTCCGATGCGGAGACGTATGTACTTGTATGAGGAGGTCAGGAGTTGTGTTTTCCTGGTCCTCGGAGATAATCTACGCATTTTTCATACATCTAACGTCCATGAGAACAACCTATACATTGCATCTTCATGCGAGCTACGGAGTACAGGGTACCTGATGAGGCGGTAGTACGGAGGGCGAAGTGGACTGATGTTGCTGTTGCTCAACCTCTCCCGACTTCTCCGAGTTGCCCGCTCGTCTCGTCTTCGGTATGATTGTCTAGCTCTTGTGCATGCAACTCAGCCAACATGCTGCAAGGACTCAACTGTTATCATTAGTAGCATCTCGATGCTATAGCCACGAGCTATGTGCCGCCCAATCTTCCCAATTGGTTCAAGGCCGAGATGGCGCATTTCCCCATGTGTTGTTGGACGTGAAAGCCCACGAGTCTTCACAGGGACTGTGCCGGCCGCTAAGAGTTAGTTTGCCTGCATCGTCGATTAGTGGAAGAAAACGTCGCCGTTATCTTCAGTAGCAACTCCAGAGAATATGAGTTGAAAACAGGGAATTGCTATAGACACCAGAGATACCAAGGTGTGATGGTAGTACTATCAGGGTCAGTGAGAGGGTAGATTTCAGCCGAGGAAGTTCCACGGCTAAAGCAATTGGACATCCATTCGTTATCCAATACTATATCGTGCGGGGAGCCCCGTTAATAATGATCGAGCAAGTGCGTCGTAGTCGACAAAATATACCACTGCCAAGGGACGTGGTGGTATCCCAGTGATGCGGCGCTAACAATTGCCTCTCCCCCCAACAAAAAAAGTTTTCCTCTGACTGGAGGGTTTGGTGAGAGCTGAAGATGGCCGCATCCGGCTCCGCATCGCGGCCACGGAGAGACGGGTACTAGATGCAACCACTCCGTAGTAGTAGGGGCGGCTGGCCGGAGGGCATTGGTGGGCGGCTAGCATGGGCTCGAGAGCTTCGAGAGGCTCGTTTGGTGCCATCTCTAGGTTTCGGTATCGCGTGGTTCCTGGAATGAGGACGTGAGACATCAGACGCTGTGGGTTGCAGACTGTTGCTATCAAACAAGCTTTTGTAAATCGTTATCTTACAAACTAGTATTCTGCGATGAGCATGCAAGGCATGGCCATCAACTGATACCGAGGAGATTCGCCGTATGCGTGTTATTGGATGCGAGTGGCAATCTGCCGGCCTCCTTACCATTGCCACCACCCCCGGAGCGGCGCAGAAAAGGCAATGGAGTAGCAGTAGCCCATTACTCGTAACTCGTACAGGCAGGTGTTGGCATGTAGTGCATATCCGGTATTTGCCTCGTAGATGGCATCAGAGGCACCTCATGTTCGCATACTGCAGTACAAAGTACTTGTTGCAGGGGAATGGAATGGCAAAAGAAGAGGGCAGCATTTGTCGCATTCTCGTCATTTCTGGCCTAGAGCCGATATGTTGAGCTTTGATGTGGAGATGCAGGGGTGGGACAAGCAGCGGCCGGCATCAAGAAGCAACCAATCAGCATGCCTGACGATTGTCGAAAGAGGGCTGTAAGTCGGGGACGGTTCGAGGTGCATTTATTACTTGTATGTACATACTACCTGGGCGAACGGGACGAAGCAAGCTGTAGACATGCAGATGGCGGAGAGGCTGCGGCATTGTCGCGAAACGATGGTTTTCCTCGGTCTATATCATGCGCCTGCACTTCGTCCAGCTGTAGACTGAGGCGGACTCGTATGATTTCTAGAGGTTGATAGTGATACCGCTCGATCCGCTCCGGCTTGTACGGCTGGTACGGCTCCCTGAAGCGGGATAGGGCGCAATTCGGGATAGCTAGGCGAGAGCTGCAATCGTGGAGAGACGCGACAAAATCCGATGCTAGTAGTTCAATGACGGGGTCGAAGGAGAAGGCGAGGAGGGGAATGAGGATGGGGATGAAGAGGAGGAGAGAGATGAGAGAAGAGAAGAAGCAGAGGGTTGAAGCACTTGAGGTACCGTAGGTAGGACAAGCATCAGCTGTAATCGATAACCAATCTGCAACATGAAAACATCGCTCCTTCCCCCGTGCATGTACCAAATCCTGACCTCAGAGTCATCTTCAACCTTCAACGTTGAGTCCCCAATTCCCTTCTCTTCCATCTCTCGCCTTTTAGCTCCTTGAAGCTATCGAGACGACATCGATCGACGTGCTGGTCCGCGGGCTCCGAAGTGACAGGGATGCGTGCGGCTTTTGACTTTGGCCCCTGGCTTGCCGGGCGGCCGCAACACCAAGAACAAGAACAAGGGCGACGGGACGGCAATTCAAGCTTGAGTGAAATTGAGCCCACCGGGGCTAGAAAGATGTGATGGCTTCTATTCGGCATGCCAGGCTGTATCAGCTCTCAGCATTATTGTTACTGTTGCTGCTAAGTGGCTTGGCGATGCCCCGAAATGAAGGCGTACGAGTATAAACTCCGTCTGCCTCCCTCGAGCTCTGGCCGAGCTTCACCTTGTCCGGCAAGCCAGACATCTCTTATCTCTCTCACGACTATTCGATTCTCCCTCGCCAGCCGGTCTTACCGTCCGCCCTGGGAGAAATAATAACCACCTGCTTCATGTTTACGAAATAAACTATCTCCATCGAGTGATACACCCCAAACACGCACAACTGCTGCTGCTCTCGAAGTTACTTTGACGACTTCGAGCAAAAGCAGCCGACAAAGTTACTGCACCTCCTCTGCTCAGCAAACCGCCAATCAACGACAAGTCGGCCGCAATCTCTGCCACCATCTGCATCTGGACGGTTCAGTTGCTCTGTTCCATTCCCATATTTGTTGCATCACTGACATCTTGGTCGACCTCCGTTGACCCGCCTTGTGCCCCAACAAATTCGCCAGGCGTGTCGGTTGGCTCTTTTTCTCACCCCTCCCTTGGAACGAGCCTCGGCGCCAGCGGGTATCTAATACATCGCATTTTGTCTTTGCTATTTTGCTTCCTCGCTTTCCATATCTTTGCGACAAGCAACAATTCGTTTGGGTCTTTGCTTCCCTCTTTTGTCTTTTTCATATTTGCTGTTTGGCTCTCCCTGCATTGGCCGAAAGACCCCGATTTCCATCTGTTTTGGGGCGCAAACACAGGATCAAGACTGCCGTGTTTGTTAGCGGGCCAACAAAGACCTTAAGAGCTTCCCAGCTTGGACGACGACTTACAAGCGGCCAAGAGGAAAACAGAGACAGAGCTTCTCTTTCACCACCACAACCTCGCATAATTACTCGTCCATACGATTCGAGCGGTTTTACTTCAGTCGAAAAGCATCATCATCTTCAGCATCATATCATCCATCAGTCGTTCAACATGTCTAATATTCAAGTCTGGGGCTCCTTGCCCGATGCCAGTCTCTTCAACTTTCCTCCCGCCAACCCCCCAGCGCCAATCCCGCCTGCACATGTTCCGACCTCTATTCTGAGGCCCTTCAACATCCCAGATAACCTCTATGTATCTGCCCTGGATGCCCGAGTCCCCATAACCATTGCGGTGGCCTATGCCATCACGGCGAAGCTGCTCAACAAGTACAACAAGGCACGAAAGAACAAGCCTTGGGGCATCAGCAAGACACGCCCGTTCTTCTGGTTTGTCGTTCTGCACAACATCTTCCTGGCCGTCTACTCTGCGTGGACTTTCTGGGGCATGGTGGGCGTCATGAAGAGGAGCTTTGTCAGTCCCTTTGGACCCGGCGGCGTTGCGGCGACGGCCGATGCCTTCTGCCGTCCTCAGGGCCCTCGAGGGCTGGGCAACTCCATCTACTTCAACGACACCACTGGTAGCTGGGATACTGCCTCGCAGAGCACTGCCGCGTTTCTGCTGTCCAACAACGGCGTGCCCAGCACCACCGAGCCCGGCCGCATGTGGAACGAGGGCCTCAACTACTACGGCTGGATCTTCTACCTGAGCAAGTTCTACGAGGTCCTCGACACCTTCATCATCCTGGCCAAGGGCAAATACAGCTCGACCCTGCAGACGTACCACCACGCCGGCGCCATGATGTGCATGTGGGCGGGCATGCGGTACATGGCTGTCCCCATCTGGATCTTCTGCCTCTTCAACTCGTTTATCCACTCATTGATGGTGAGTCCTCCTCGTCTCCAGACGGCGACCTGAGGTCGGAATATCGGCCTCATTTGATGACCTTTGCTAACCCCAACTGCTAGTACACCTACTACACTCTCACGGCCTTCTCCATCCGAATCCCTACCTTCATGAAGCGTCTCCTGACGAGCATGCAAATCACCCAATTCATCATCGGTGCCTCGTTCGCCATGGTCCACTCCTTCATCACCTACGTCGTTCCCATCACCGTCACCCACGTCGTTACCGAAGAGACTCCCGCCACCCAGAGTGCGCCGATCGACTACATCATCCCGACCGCCGTCAGCGCCCTGGATTCGCTCAAGCAGCTCATCTTTGGAGCTGGCGAGGTTGCCGGTAAAGCTGCGGCGGCTGCCCCCAACCTCAGCAAGACCACCACCGTCACGAAGACGTATGATCTTGTGCAGCCCTGCATCCTCACCACCAGCGAGACGTTTGCCATCTGGATCAACGTTGTCTACCTGGCTCCTCTGACGTACCTCTTTGTCAGCTTCTTCATCGCGAGCTACGTGAAGCGTAGCAACGCTGCCCAGAAGCTGAGCGGCCAGGCTGCTCGGGGCATGAGTGACGAGGTTACGCTGGCTGAAAAGGCCGGCTGGGAAGCTGCCCGCAATGTCGAGAGGGAGGTTTATGGCGGCGAGCAGAATGAAGATGGAGCAAGCGGCAGCACCTCCGGTACGAGGAGCAAGCGGAGGGCTTAGAAGCGCCACCGCAAGCAAGCTGCGAAAGGGAGAATTCTTCGTAAAAGGTCGGAGAGGATTGCGCAACTCAATCTGACTTCATCTGGGGAGTAAGAATTTGGGATGGTTTATTGATTTATGGGCATGGCAAACAAAGTCGAAAAGGTTTTTGGATTGCCCAAGGCGCGGCGTTGTTTGACATCTTGACCGTACAGGTTGTGGGAGTCATGGGTTGACATTGGCATCTACCTTACGTGGATAGGGGATGTACTTTCTTTTACTCGTCTTATTGGAAAACCGAAAAGCGAATAGAATCTGTCTGACCGAGGTTTCGGATCAGAAGCGACATGTTGACTTGCATTGCTGACAGCTGTGAAGAAGAGATGAAATTGTGTAGGAGAGGTAAGCTGAAGAAGCCCCTTTCTGCCTTTAGAAGGTGGTATATCCTCTCCTTTTCATGCACTTCGATATCTCGCGAGTATGCATGAGACTTTAGAAATTTACCCTTCTGTGCTGAGGAAAGGACAACTGTATTCAGAGACCGCAAAAAGGAGTCAATCGTGTGTCCAAAGAAGGGAAAGGATTCTGAGAAGCCCCGTGTGCTCGACAACTGCAACTCCGTTAATAAGCCCCCCTTTTCTTGCTGTGTTGAAGTCAGAAAAATGTGACCTGTTCCTTTTTCTGAACTGCCGTATGTAAGTGACATATCTCGTATGGGATATGTAACATGTAACTTTCTTCCGAGGCAAACTCGACAGGTATGCCAAGCGAAGTGTAAACTTCCGACTTCATATTCAGCATCCTGAATTATTAGGGAAAATGCCATGAAAGGCTTATGAGACTTGCTGGGAAGTAGCTTCTCCCAAATGAATTTCAGTGTTTATGGCAAACTTTTGAGAATGATGGGAGAAAAGCATGAGAACTCACATTTATAACCAAGTATCGCAACATAAAATCAAGTTTCATGGCAAATGTAAACAAGAACTATTATAAAAGATCGTGGGGACGCAGATTTACAAGCAAGTGTCACCAAAGATAATTACACTTTCATGGCAGATGTAATGAAGAATTAATTATCTGACTGCCCATCTATAAACTCCATCGCTCATAAAGAAAAAAAAAAAAGAAAGAAAAGAAAAGCCGGACAAAGCGGCTCGGCGGGTATTCCGCCATTGGGGTATTAACACCTCCTGAACAAACACCGTCCCATAACATTGGGAAACGGGGGTGAAAAGGGAGCAAGAAAAATGGACAAGAAGAATAGATGAAAGAGGAGGATATATCCCGCTTTAAAGAAACGCCTGCCTTTCCTGCAAGTCTAGTAGTGATTTCCCGTTCTGTTGTCGGTTGTGTGGAAGCGCCATGCAAGTATTGCCCAGAAAAATGAGAAAAAGAGGAGGTGGTGTTGATAAGGGGTTGGAGATGGGTAGATGAGATCTCTGAGTAGATAAACGAGAAGTAAGCAAAGGAAAAATCATCAATCTGGTCTAATGGTCTATCGTCATGGTTGAGTTGTTCGTAACTTCATGTGCTCGCTCTGGGTATCGAAGGTGCCGCCGGGTAATTAGGGAAAATATGTGCCTGCCCCTGAGATGGAAAGTCGTCCACCAACAGGGCCTCCATCGGCCGTTTGTATACGTGTTATGCGGCTCCACCGCCAGGCCCCTTCCTCTTAGAAGGTGCTCCAGTTCCAGTCGCGTGGCACGCTGGCTGGAATCTCAGGGCCCTGGGGCAGGCCAAACGGGGTCGCTGGCTGGGCGGCAATGGGCGTGGAGGGGACGGTGTGGTGGGCGTCCGAGGAGGCGGAGCTGGAGACCTGGCTGCCCTCGCGGCTGTGCCACGTCTTGAACTGCTCGAAGCAGTGGTTGCAGGTGCGCGAGGGGACGGCGCGCGGGTTGAAGTTTGCGTTCTGGTCGAGCGGCAGGGCGTAGCTGGAGTGCCAGTCGCAGAAGATGTTGCCACACTTGCGGCAGTGGTGGCGTCGGACAAAGTAGCTGAAGTTGCGTTTGCACGTCGGGTCGTCGCAGATGGTGGACTCGGTGTCGGGCTGGTTGGAGATGTGTTAGCAAACGAAAGTGCACCAGACAGGCTGGGAGTCTTAAAGTCAACATACCTTCCAGTGTTTGCGGGTGGGCGGCTCGGTGACGTCGGGGAAGAGGTCGAGATTCCACTCGCCGTCGATGCTGCTCTTGCCGCTCTCGCTGGCACGGCGGCCCAGGCGCTGGCCGACGATGCCGCCGAGGCTCATGAAGCCCGTGTTGGAGCGGCGCAGCGTCGTGTCGGAGCCCGAGTCGGAGCTCGAGTCGCCCGACGTCGACTTGGTCAGGGGCTGCGACGGGAACTCGTTGTTGGAGCGCAGGACGGCGGGCATGTAGACGGGACGCGCATGGCCGCCGTGGTGCGCAGCCTTGGGCGACGTCGGGGTCGAGACGGCGTGGTCGTAGAAGCCGTTGATGCTGTTGGGCGACAGCTGAGGGCCCGGCGGCAGCTGGAAGGACTGGGAGCGGCTGTGGCCGTGAGGCCGTCTGCTGGTGTTTGGCAGAAAGTGCCGCGACTGCTGCTGCGCACCCGGTGCGGAAGGCATGATGAGCTGGGCGGCCATTGTTTGTTTCTGGGTTGTTGTTTGTGTCTGATGGGTTTGCTGCTTCGTGATCGTGTCTTGTCGTGCTTTCTTTACAGTCCCGCCGAGTCTGTGGTGGTTGACGTAGGAGGACCAAAAGGAGGGCGGAGAAGTCGTGCCACGCTGACCGGTGAGTGGCTTGTGGTGTTGTTTGTGATTCGGTGATGGGGTGAGAAGGAATGCGTGTGAGAGCGTAAGAGTCCCCAAGGTTCGTGTTGCACCGCTCTGCTTTGGGGGAGGACGAGGTAATGAAGACGATGCTGATGATGAGTAGAGAGGGAGTAGATGAGGTCGAGGTTGTACGAAGAATGTACGAGTACAGAGGCTGGAGGTAACTGGATATAGCAGCTATGAGGATCGAGGGCGGACGAGGATATAAATGCGAGCAGCCAGGAAGAGAAGGTACCAGAGCGAGTACCGGCGGGTACTTGTCCGGCTTACTTGGACCGCCAAGTGACTCGGGTCTCGATTCGAAGCGTCGCAACCGCGCACTGGGTCCTCCTTACTCTGTGCTCTTTGGGATGTTCGGGGTGTGTCGGGGCGTGGCCGGATTGGTGCGATTTGGACAGGGGGCGGACTATCGCAGGGCGGCAATTGGACCGACGCGGATTGGTGGCGATGCGAGTCGCGGCATTCTGGTCGTGGTAGTTGTAGTGCTAGCAGTGCTAGCAGTGGTAGTACCTGGTAGTAATATGGAGGCGTGGAGGAGCGTGGAGTAGCGCTAGATGGAGGAAGAGATGAGGCAAGGAATACTGTGGTGATGCTGGAGTGAGTTCAGCGTTGGCAAAGAGAGTGAGGAGAAGAGGCAAACGATACCTTACACAACAGACAGACGGCTACCTAGACGAGGCGGCAGTTGAGTGAAATAATAGCCCTTCGTAATGCCACACTACCCAGTACCTAACCTGATGCTCCTCCGTACGGCCTGTGTGTTCCATGCAGCAGCAGCGCAGAGGAGCTAATGTACATGTACGAAGCTGCGTCAGGCTGCATGGGGGCTTTTGGTCCGTTCCATTGCGACGTGAGGCCTGGATGGACGCTGCCACTGCAACTGCAACTGCACAGTATCTACGGTCATACAAGCTGAAGCCGCGTGTAAGCTGTCCTGGCGTCCGACTTTTGGCGTGGCACGGAACTTTCCTGGGCTCTGGTGAATGGGTGGGCAGCTTCAATTCATTGGCCCGTTGCCGTTGCTCCTACGGTAACAACTGCCAACAGTAATAAGACGATCTTTATCTGGGAGCTGATGAAGCTGTGCTCGTTGACTTTTCACACTCACACACACACACACACGCTCTCTCTCTCTTTCCAAGTAACACAATGGCTGAGGCTGCTGTAGTACATACTAGTTGTAACCAATCCGCGTCCAATCCATGACATGTCAAAAACTGATGAAGAATTTTTGGGGTGCATCTCATTCGTCATGGGCACGGCAAGCCGTCCAGGGCCAGGGCCAAAAGAACCAGGGGTGGGCAGAGCAGGTGCCTCGTTTCCCTTTTGCGCTGCTGCGGGATCGAGAACTCGCAACTCCATCGACGGACGAGCACAACGTTGGAATTAGCGCGGGATGGGTTGATTACTGGGGCCCGCAGCGCAAACCGCGCGCCCCGTTTTCTCTTCTCTTCTTTCATTCTCTCTCTGCTCTCTCTCGGGGTCCAGCCCGTTCAGACGCAGTCCAGTGGCAGTGGGATTGAAAGCTGGAGGCCCGTGCCAGCGCCTACGGCCAGCGCGAGCATCTTCCAGCACAGAGCGCGCCAATCTCGCTGGGAAAGCGGAGCGCCACAGGCACCCAACCGCTGGGAAAAGAAACTGTGGACGCAACACCAACGATGGAGATGGTACTAGTAGTATGGAGAATGGCACAGCGCCATTGAGGTTGTTCTCTGTCAAGTCTGGCCGCCTTTTCCTCTGTCTATCAATAGCAATATGTAGCACGGTCCGGGCAAGCCACCACGACAACGTTGGGTCCGGTGTGCGTGTACTCCGTATCCCGCCCCGGTTTGCCATGTGCTTAGGTACCTAGCCAGATGCGAATGCTTACGGTAATAGGGGTCTTGCGAGCATCTGCACTCTGAGATGTTGAGGTGCTGAGGGTACTCGTACGTGTTGCGTTATTACCTACCTTACCATTGTATCGTGCTGTACAAGTATCGTACCAATGACTGTTCGATGGTTCTCAGCATCGTCAGGCACCTCTAGTAGGTCGGCCGGGCCACCGCCTGTGATCACGGACATTACCTGACATTAGTTAGGGCCTTCGCTTGTCGGCAGCGCTGGCTGCTGTCACTTGCGTCTAGCTTGCGCCTCTACCAACATTCACCTTCACATGCTCACTTGCCTACCTACGCTACGGAATCAAGGGAGCATCGTCTAGTCTCGTCCAGTTTCCCATCATGCATTTCCCATGCAAGTCCCTCTCCCTGTTGGGCATCAATGCCGGCGCGTGTTTCAATCTCTCAACCGCTCTCTCCATCCCTCTCCATCTTCCCCCGTCTTTTTGCACTCTCCCCTTGCTTGCGTACATTTTCTCCATAGCCGCCGCATGAACCAGTCTCGGAGATGCCATTCTCTTGGTCCCCAATGCTGCTACTAGTATGTACTTGCTCCTCCTCTCCCCCACCCCCAAAGAAGGGACCGAAAAGAAGACCCTCTTCAACCTCTTGGCACTAGGCCCACTGGAAAGGTCTGGGCGTGTTGATCATGTTGCCTGTACGAGTAGCTCTTCTTGGCTCTGCTGTCCCTGGACGGGGATCTTGAATTGAATTGAGCCTTTTTTCGGTTGTTGCTGATGTTGACTCTCATTTCGTGGACATGGTTGTTATGCGAGAAATTGCATTGGAGCCCATGCGAGTTCCGGAGCATGCAGATCCGAGAGCGTCCCGTGAGATGGGCCAGCCGGCATTTTACGAGGGATCGCTTCTTCCTGGGACGAAAGAGGTGTCCCATGTAACGGAGTATAGTAGGTTTCAACGAATTGGGGCTTCACAGCACATATGGATCATGTGTTTCCATCGGATAGTACCAAAAGTCGAAGTGGAAGTCATTCATGTATCGCTTTGTGAATTAGGTACTGCCAACAATTTGATCGTAGCAGATACCCGAGACATGGGTGGGTTGAATATACTCCTCCGTATTTGCCTCGGCCAGCGTCTACCGCGCCACAGGCGATATTTACAGGTTCCCGGCAAAGGCGTTTCAGAACTCCTACAACAGACATGGGTATATGCCCAAAACCTGCATGGTTGTTGCATCTCGTCTGGGAAAACGGAGTACCGAAATACTATTACTACAACCTTATTACACCACGAAACAGACAAGACGGGAGAGTTCCGATCTTACAAGGACGCCCTCGGTGAGACAGTTTCGGCTCGGCACTCCATCCTTTTGGGTTGTTTGTAATATTAACTACTACTACTACATACTGTTCGTGCCTTTCAGCTAGTAGCTACTCGTACGTGAATTGTTGCCTGCCATCCAGGCCGAGGCTTCTGAACAGAACAAACGCGGGCTCACCGCCTCACATTACGGGGAAATCATGTTGATAGGTTCACAAAAGTGCGGGCGGTGGCGAAAGAAGGGAAAGCTCTCGAGATTCCAAGTGCGGCTCTACTGCCTAAGATCTTGCATAAACAGGGTTCTTTGACTTGACAGGTCCGAGAAGCGGCAGTGGTTCTTTGGGCTTAGTAGCTGATTCGCCACATTGTCAGGTCAGGAACGAGGCGGTTTTACCGTATTTGCCGCCAATATACGGAGCAGTAGGTAATAGGAAACCAGTTGCCTTTGCCTTTTGGGTTTTTCCCACCAGAGAGGCCTCTTGTTGAACGGGAGAACGGATATACTAAGGAAAGCAGCAGCCAATCCGGGCCATCGGTTTGTCAATATCATGGAGTCCATCCCCGACCCTCGGTCCGGCCAAGAGGGCAAACGGCGCTAGTGGAATGGGCCGAAAAGAAGAACCAAGTGGGAAATCCACAACAAAAGAATGAGACGGCGGGAAAGGGCAAAAAAAAAAAAGGTAACGTAACGGAAAAGGGAAGCAAACTTACTCGCGCAAATGCTTCTTTTTGGCTTCGAAGAAGCTCACTAGAGGCGAAACTTGCCACACGGGCATCCCGTGCAGTGGAGTTGAGGAGCGGGAGAGCTTCCTGTGCTGTGTTAGTTTCTAGTTGGACAGCTTGTGATGGTTCTAGTAGTATGTAGTTGTAGTACGAGTACATAGGTAGTAATATATAGTAACGGTATTAGAGGCAGAAAGGCAGACGAGCAGTGGCCCAGCACGGAAAAAAGTGTGCTTTTGTCGTTCGATTTGGAGTCTGATGTGTTGTTGTTAACGCGGCCGGTGAGTGACGAGCGAAAATACTGTACCTTAGGTTTGGCGGGTGATTGCCCTCGCACACCTCGGTAATACCTGGGCTAGGTAGGCAAGCCTGTGGCTGGACACTTGCTTCGTCTTCCGGGACATTCTCTCCACGGACGGCTGCAGGGAGGTCCTTGACATGGACGCAAAGCATGGAAAACTACCCATCTACAAGTTTCTTTCTATCGCCTGCATATGCATGTATGCATGTATGTATGTATGGACATGCAGTCATACCTTACCGGTTGCGTGTTTCTTGTTCAAAACGATATTCCTACTGCAGAGCAAGCAAGCAAGCATATCTTGGGATTTGTATCCTGTCCGCGTGCCTCACACCATAAGGCTTTGCTCACGACCATCTTTCTCCATATCAGGATAAGTATCGACACAGAGGCCATTTAAATATCCTGCAGGTTAGGCTGCGGGGTTCTGAGATGGCACTCTGCAAGCTGCACTGCGCTGCACTGCAAGCTGCAAACTGCAAGTAACAGAAATACAAACCTGCGCAACTACTAGTAACATGCAACGGCTGCGGCGAATCGCCAGCCCGCTGGGCGGACGGGAGAAGCGGGCGAGCTGGGCTTCTTGACCCCCGCCTGGAGAGGGCTGTGTGGAAGCTGTGGGCTTTGGAAGCTTTTGTCCATCTTTTGCCGTCTTGTTTGCTGCTACTACAAGTAATGGTCCGTACGAGTAATGCTTTGGAACGTTTCTCTCATCAGCGAACAACAAACGGTGTAAGATGGCCACCACATTCCGTCTCATTTGCCCACAAGGTAGATAGGCAACAAGCTGAGGAAATGCTCCGTTAAGCATGAGATGGTGGTGTCGCGCTGCGTGCGGAACAACCTCCGACAGTGATCACATCTAATCTAAATCACAGTATCAGGTCCAGGTCCAGGGCCATGGCCACGGGAAGGGGATACAGAAATCGTACTGTATCTTATCTTGTGTCTGTACATAGTAGAGGGAGAGGAAGAAGGCTGGCGATGTGGTTGCAACTTGTCCGAACTCAATCTCATCCCGCTACTACTTCAAGGTACTTGTCCGGCACGCTGCGCCAGACGGAGATACTTGCGGCAACACAGTATTCACAGTCTGAAAGTGAAAGGCCCTCCAAAAGACAACAAGCCACATGCGTTGTGTTGCCCAGGCTGCTCGATCTTTTCCGCTTGGGGTAATCCGCCTGCAACGGCCTTTTTCTTTCGATGTGCTTCGTCTTTATCGCTGGGTTGTGATTGGATGGTTGTACGATATGTTGTGTGTTAATGAGTTTGGTGCTTCACATGCCGGAGAAAGATGCAGAGGGAATTTGATTGGTTGGTGAGGGCATGTATGTAACTCTCTGGCCACTGGAAGAAGTTGTTCGAATCAGACGGCGAGGTTTTTGGCTTGCTGAGTATGACTGCGAAGTGATGGGATTGATGAAGCTGATTGACTCGAACTGCCTTGCTATGCTGGTGCCTTGCTGGGAATAACATGAGCGGACCGAGGGGTTGATGAGGGGGGAGCGGATGGGTTTCTCCGCTGATTCGTGATTTCTCCCGCATTTTGCTGTAGCACTGCAGCGCGGAGGAGGGGCCATCTGCTGGAGGGGGGACTAAACTGGAGGAGAGAGGACGAGGCTGCTCTTGAATCGAACTGCATATTGTTTCTGCATGTGCTGCAAGATGGGGCTTCAATCTACACGGGTTCGGGTTGGGTCTTGACGACCCCCCCCTTTCTACTACATGTACTTTGCATTGCAAAAGGGTGTGCTTCTCGACGAGCATTTTCCTGATTCTCATCTTCTGGGCATGTTAGTTTGTTCCTTCACCGCTCAGATTTTGCATTGACACGTCGTTTTCTTGTTGAACTGCATTTACGGGCGTTTCCTGCAAGAAGTCATTCGGACACTTTAATTTTTTTTCCCTGTGTTGGTCCGTTTTGGGGTTGAAGCTGTGTGGTGTGGTGACCCAAGGCGCTTTGGTGTTTCTGCATTGTAAATTTTTTCTTTTTTTCCCCTTCGAGATGATATCTATGATTTCATGGGATTGACAAAGAAGGCGCATGGATCCCCTGATGTTCTTGATCAACACAAGCCCGGGGGACCTTGCTGCGCCTGAAGTCATAGTTCTGGGGGGGCGGCCTTGATGGGTTTCGAGTCAGTCAAGTGAGATCGATCGGTGAACTTAACTTTTGGGGGGGGGCAAGATGTGCGGAGAAGTTTTAACGTGTCTGGAGAAGGTTGAACGTTTTGTTCACCGACGCGGTGGACGCCAATCATCTAAACTTGTTGCAATGCTTTTGATCTGGCATATGGATGTCATAGGGAAAGGTAAAACACTGGAGACATTCGTTGTTTATCTTGATGATGTGCATTCCACATGGCGATGATCATTTTACATTGTTGACGGTTCATTTACGTAGCTGAAGCACGTTTCAGGGACTTTCAACGCCCTTACATCATGATAGTCCAAGGTAGTAGCTGAAAACGATTCAACACCATCCACGGGCCTTGCATCATAATGTCCAACCTTGCTGAGAACGACTCAAGGCACCCATCAAGGCCCCCCTTGCATCAATCCATCTCCCATCTCCCACTCTTGCCCCCGTCCTTGAGCACAACCCGCAGCCCCTCGATCCTCATCCCCTTGTCCACGGCCTTGCACATGTCGTACACCGTCAAGGCCGCCGATGACGCCGCCGTCAGCGCCTCCATCTCGACCCCCGTCTTCCCGTCGCACGTCACCGTCGCCCGGATCTCGATCTGCCGGCTCCCCGCGACGACGTCCAGGTCCACGCTGACGCGCGAGATGGCGATCGGGTGGCACAGCGGGATCAGGTCCGACGTCCGCTTGGCCGCCATGATGCCCGCGATGCGGGCCACGCCGAGCACGTCGCCCTTCTTCATCTGGTTGTCCTGGATGAGCTTGATGGCCGTGTCGCCGGAGAAGTGCACGGCGCAGGCGGCCGTGGCAACGCGCGACGTCACTTGCTTTTCGGCAATGTTGACCATGTGTGCTGAGCCTGACTCGGATACGTGCGTGAGGCGGACTTTGATCTCGTCTTCGTCCTCCTCCTTCCTGGCATTTCTCACAGCGCGGGAGAAAGACAGATGCCGCAGTTGCTGAATCTGTCGTCGTCCAGGATGGCGAAAGGAGGCCGCTGATGGTAGGCCGAAAGGCGGTAGTATGACACGGCCGATGAGCTGCTGCGCTCTCGGCGACATGGTGGTGAGTGTGGGCGGAGCAGGATCTGTCATGTCCTACTTAGCGTCTGAACCGCGAAGGTATTTCAAGAATTTCGTGATGCATGGGCGCACATGTTATCATACATTCGCATTCGCTTTTGCTTGACGCCCACCCGGATTACGAAACGACGTAAGAGTATGAACGAGGCAAACCGTTCGTTCGTGCCTTTTTGCCTTCAAAGGATGGTATGCAGTCTTGTTACCCACCTATCAGAATCATCGGCCGGTTCTTCATGTGCTCCAGCTCGCCAATGCCGGCGTGCTTTGCTTTCTTCCTTTTGACTGCCATCCCGATCACGTCGAGGAGCTCGGCTTCGTTTGGTGCCACTCCCAGGGGTGACTCAGTTCCGGCGAGGCCTTGCCGGCGGTTCATCTCGATCTGCTTCATGGCCTCGAACGCTTCTTCATCAATGGGTTCCCCGCTGTTGGACTTCCTAAGGATGTCCCGCAGCGATACCTCGGCGTTTCCGAAGAGGCACACCTTGAGGTTTCCATCGCTCGTGATACGAAGTCGGTTGCAGGTGCCGCAGAAGTTGTGCGTCATGCTCGTGATGAAACCGAGGCGGCCTGCAAAGCCAGGCACCTTCCAAGTCTTGCTTGTATCGTTCTTCTCGTCCTGGACTTTGTGCAAGTCGGGATACTGGGCCCGGATCACGTCCAGCATCTCGTCGTACGAGAACATTTTCCCCTTGTTCCATTTGTTGCCGTCAAAGGGCATGTACTCGATGAAGCGCACCTCGAGATCCTTCTCCCGGGTCAACTCGACAAATGGCAGGATCTCTCGATCGTTGAGACCTCTCATAACAACGCAGTTGATCTTTAACTTGACTCCGGCGCCCAGCGAGTTGAGTTCCAGGATGCGATCGATGCTCTTCTGGACAGCATCAAACCCCTTTCTCCTCGTCATGATTTGAAACTGCCAAGGGTCCAGGGTGTCGAGGCTCAGATTTACACCAGTAAGCCCAGACTCGATCATGGCATCCAGCTTTCGATGTAATGAGATGCCGTTGGTGGTTATGCACAGTTCCCGTAGCCCATATGGGCGAAGCGCGCCAAGCTGGTGCATGAGAGGCAAGATATCTCGCCTCACCGTGGGCTCCCCTCCAGTGAGGCGGATTTTGGACACACCCTGCGATACGAAGATGGATGACAGGAGAACGATCTCAGGGCTGGTGAGGAGGTCCTTGTTAGGGGACAGCGGAACACCCTCTTCCGGCATGCAGTACAGACAGCGCAGATTGCACCTTTCCGTGACGGAGATGCGCAGATAGTCATGCTGCCGGTGGAACGTATCCGTCAAGAAGTCTGAGAACGGCTTAGCATCGCGGATGCGTTCCCGGCGTGACATGACGCTTGGAGGCGGAGGAACTGTGTGAGCTGGCTGGGGCTCTGGACGTTCCGCAGCCGCAGCCGCCGAGCCTGATGCAACAGGTCGTCCAAAGGTAAGTGTACCAATGGCCGGCCGTGGAGCTGAGACGCTTGACGGCAGTCGAGCCGCAAGACGTCGGACGGGCCGCATCGCCAAAGCGCCGCGAGACATGTGTGAAGAGCTGTGTGAGGCGGATGGCCGGAGCCGGTGGCGAACTGCCACAGGAGCTGATATTCGGTGTATAGGAGAGCCTGGCGTATAGTACCCTGTCCGTGGAGCTATTCTCTGGCCATGTTGCTGAACAGATGACACAGTTGGCGGTAAGGGCAGGCAAGAGACACGGACGGAGTGAAGCTGAGCTGGAGAGCAAGCTGCTGGTTGATGGGTGTCCAAGGCGAGTCAAGTAAGACAGCCCCGTTCTTAGAGCGCTCGTAACTACTATATGGATGTAGAGGGGAGGAGAGCTGCAGCGGAAAGCCACAAGGGAGAGGACAGGCGAAGGATTGGCTTCCAAAAGCTGGTGATGTGAATTGTGAAGAGAGAAAAAGCGAGATTCGCCTCTTTGATAATGCAGCCGTGACGATAAAGCAGATGGCGCTTACATGTGCATGTGCGGGCTTCCATCGCTGAAAACGCCCAAATGAGGGGAACGGGCTGAACAGCTGGAGGCCACGTTTAGCGCACATGGCGGGCGCTAGCGGCAGGATTCAGCGCGCTGACGGAGCTCTCCAGCTACCTGTAGCAGCTGCTGAAGGGCCTGGAGCTGCGTGTACCTTGGAGCTTGGGCACAGCCGGCCGCTGCGACAGGTACCGGCGTTGATCGCGAAGCATCCACATCAAACCTCATCCCGCATCCACGCGCCCTTTCATTCATCCACGGATGAAAGCAACTTGCGATCTACCTCACAGCCACGCCCTTGTACCTCTGTATTGGGCCTCTAAGCACAGCAAGTCAGTTGAGGTGATACAGCCAAAGCAGCAACTTGTTGCGGTGGGCACCTTGCCGCTTGTTGGGTTCCCTCGCTCCGAGGAGAAGAAAAATTCAACCGTCAGGCTCGGCTCTTCTGTTTGGCAATAGCCCCGAACAGTCTGCGAGTGCAAGGCTCTGGAGAGATATAGGATTAACCGAGATACGAAAGTATTTCCGTGCACTCACGATAACGAGCATCCATTGTCGAGGCTGGAAGGGACACAGCCAGGCCCTTCTTTGCACATTTTCCCACCGTACGTCCAACGAGAGATCTCTTGAAGCTTCTGAACCGCTTTGATGCCTCCATCTGCAGCTCTGGACTGTATGTAAGCATTCCCATAGTCATCCCGATGATTGTCCGTCTCATATAAGCTTCTAACTGTCGGGCATCACAGCGTCGCCTCACTGCAGGCCGAGTCCAGATGGCCGCTTCATCGCAACCCTCAAATACTCTGAGCTCGTTGTCCGCTCAACCGAGACACTGCAAGTCACAAATGCCGTGAGACTGTCCTCTGGCTCTCGCTCTGGCTCCCCTCCCGCCTCTTCAGCCGCAGGTGGCTCAACGAGTCTGCCACCGCTGCTATGGGCTCCCTCATCCTCCAAGGTCCTCATCTGCTCTGCGGATCAACTGGACGTGTTTGGCACGCTTGAAAGCTCCAATTTTCACGCAACAGTGCGCCACTACACTTCTCTCATCGGTGGGAAGCCTTCTCTTGTCCAGTTTGGAGCCCGGGACACGGAGCTTCTGATATGGTCCGCGTCTGGCCTGAAGCTTGTAGTCGTTGATGTGTGTAGCTCTGCCGTCGTTGAGATTGCGGGCCCCAAGTTCCACCAAGCCACTTCTGCGCCACGAGGCCTGTCTGTCCATCCAGCCACGGGCCATCTGGCATTACTGGCTCGCTCCGGCGGCAGGGACATCATAAGCCTCCATAATCCGGTTGATCGACAAGTGGTCAGGTCTTGGTTCCCGGAGACGCTCGATGCTCAAGGTCTCTCCTGGACCCCTGATGGCAAGTGGCTTCTGCTCTGGGAGTCGGCTGTTTACGGTCATCGGCTCCTCATCCACACGCCCGATGGGCAGCATTTTCGTTCCCTTACGGCATCCAACCTGTTGAAAGGCCCAGATGCAGACCTGGAACTGGGCATCAGAATCTGTCAGCTGAGCCCGAATGCGGAGATCTGTGCAATCGGAGATTACAGCAGAGATGTATGCATTCTCCAAACACATTCATGGAGGGCACGAATGAGGCTATCTCATCCTGCCACCATAGTACCGAAAGATACTCTCCAGGTGAGCCACGTACACGGCGTGTCTATTATGAATCGTTTGCGATACTAAGTCCTCTCAGGTATGGCAAGAGAAGATTGGAACGGCATCTTTCCAAGCGCGAGCCAGCCACACTTTTCTCAAGGCCACGCAGGTATTGTCACCCCCTGGGCCCGCCGCCGATGCTCAGTCTGCGGCGGAACACAAGGCCGGCTGCTCCATGGCTGCCTTTGACGCATCCTCAACCCTCTTGGCAACACGATTGGACGACTCGCCATGCACTCTGTGGATCTGGGATGTTGTAGCCGCCGAGCTTCGAGCCGTCCTCATCTTCCACTCTGCCGTTTATTTTCAGTGGCATGCGAACTCCCGTGAGCTGCTTCTCATCACCTCGCAGGACCCGGCGCAGCAAGGTGTGTCTTTCATATGGGATCCTCTGTCTGATGGACCAACTCCGCTTGTGCCAGAGGATCACCTGCCTGCTGGAAGATCGGTGGGAAAAGCACAGGTTGCTTGGATCAACCGCGAGACCGAATTGCCGGTCGTGTTTGTTTCTGATGCGGAGCACTACCTTTTGCTGTCTCCGTCCAATAATGCTGGGCGGGACTCGAATCCCTGGCAGACTGCTGCGGAATACAGTGGTAGTGAGATGGCACTTGACAGCCCAACGTCAGCTCGCTATGCATCGGATGACGGAGATGGAGCATCAGTCGTGGACGATACATTTTCCTTTAGAAATGTCTAGATTGCATACAATGAGCACCAATGACCCTCAAGATGCAACTACGCGCCGTCACTAACGGGAGCTATTGGACGGCAAACGAGCAATCGGCGCACTCGCTACTGGCAAGCGGGCTGGGATACATGGGAACAAGACCTTACTACCCATGCAGTCCATGATGCCAGGCCCTAGTCGGCCAATTGATTGCATTTTGGCAGCCATGAGGGCCAGAGGAGACCTTGCAGGGATAACTCATGCAAGGGATACTCTGTGCATACATGGCGGGAAGACTATCAAAAGGAACACTACAAAGCCACTTCTTACTGTCCAGGGGCTTGGTGGTTACGAAAGCGATCCGAAACAAGCCACTCAGCAAATGGCTGACGGAAGGCAAGCTGAATATCATCTCCGAAGGGGGAGGTGTATGGCTTTCCAAGTGAATCGCTCTCCACCGTCGATAGCTGAGCAGCGTCCTCTCATACCGTCAACTATACGTACATAACCGTTGGAGCCAATGATTGCCATGGACGGGTGCCAACTGTCATTCACACCGCGCAAATATCGTACAATCTCTCTCAAGTCCCACTCTCCCGGCTCTTGCCCCTGTACGAGATCGCTGCCAGGGTGGAGGGTCCGCATTGTCTCATGAATGTGACGAGCCAAGATCGATACAAATGCTCCGCGTTGTGAGCGTATGGTGCTCCATAGTAGCTCCAGACCCATGTTCTCTTGTTAGGCCTGTGGTTGACTTGGACCATGGCATCTGTACGCAGCCGAGCGCAATCATTTGAGACACAGGCTGAAGCTTGATATTTACGGACCAGGTTATGGCATTGGAGTGCTAGGACAGTGTGCCGCCGGCTTGCCAGTCCCAATGGCAATCACATTACCCACAGGGTCCTGGCGAAGTCAAGCTGGTGCCTGGGACGGAGAGGGCGTCAGCGAGGCAGTAAGACTAGTGCTTGGGCAAACATATACCAAGCGGCTTCTTCCGGCCTAAGGCTTGGAGAGAGTCGAATGAACCCATCCTACCGCGGTGTTACCAGAGGTTCCATATATATGTAGGTGGGATTGCCGTCTATATAAATTCGCCATTCTCTGCCCCAAAGGAGACGTGCTTCGATACTCCCCTTTGGCTTCGTTCCGCCACAAAGGATCCATATGATTTCGCATCATGCCGAACAGACACATGTTTCCTACTTCGCTTAAAGATGTTCAACCGGGCAATGAAACTGGGGATTATCATATCACCTTTTGCAACGTAGGTCACGAAGCGAGAGAGCGCTCCCACCCACCCCTTCCACATCTCTCAAACAGCGACACTTGTCTAACGTGGCGGACAGTTGGCGTTCAACACAACTTGGCAAGAGATGAAGGACTGGATTTCAGCATCTTGTTCCGTCGATTACATCGAAGTGTTTCCCAGTAGCTGCTCGGGATGGATTCGTGTCAAGGGAAAGGATAACTTTGAGAAGGCCCTGGGTAGGTGTACCCCCAAATAGAAGAATCGAGTGGCCTATCCGTACACATTGGCCTGATTCGATGAATTATGGCGCTGACTTATGGACTGTCCTTAGCACACTTGCGGAGTGAACGTTTCAAGGACCGATCTCTGCTCTTCGACAGCAGGAACGAGATCGAAGCCATCAAGATCAAGTGCAAAGAGACCAGCCCGAAACCGAAGCATGCGAGGAGGAAACGCTCGACTCGGGGCCCGAAGATGCTGTGCGAAAAATCCCCCGCGCCAGAGGACCGTCGCGCTCAGAGTCCTCCTCCATACACCCACACATGGAGTCCAACCGACCATGTCCATGCCGCTGAAGTTGCGGAACGGCGGGCATACGAGGAGTATCTCGCGTTTGCATCTCTCATGTTTAGCACGACGAGCTTGCAGGGTGCTTTGCAAATACAGTATCCTCCTGTATCTGCCTTTCCGTATTACCAGGCGGAGTACTATAACGGCATGGGTATGGACTACTACGGCAATCCTTTTTCTGCCTACTCCTTTGGCGCAAGCCCGGATATTCATCCTGCGCAGGTAGGATCGGGGTCAGCCTTGCCTAGAGGTCTTGATGATATGCCTGACGTGCCGGTGAGCTGGTTGGAGTATCGGAGTTGGTGAGGGCGGCAAAGGAGGTGTAGACAGAGCGTGAGTCTTGCGTACGGGGCTTCGAACCTAGCATTTACGGAGCTTCAATTCTGGTTTTAGTAGTTTGATGTGGGAGTCTTCTTACCAATTTCATCTTTAATTTTCTCTTTCTAATCTTGGTTTGTCTGCCTGACATGGATCAAGTGATGAGTTCCATCGCCTTGTTCGAAACTGAAGAGGGACCGCAACCTTTCGCTTTTCAGCTCAATTCTCCTCTTCCTTGGCTTCAAGATGTTCTTCTTTTGCTTGTACGCTTTTGATACGTTTTTCTTTTTTTTACTGATTCATTTCATCGCCTCCACGCCGAGTCCCTTGACAGTCATGAACGCATGCGACTACTTTACCCTCCCTTTAGGAATGAAATGCGTTAAGCCGACAAAAGCCAGCTGTATGTCTGCTACCGCCAATGTCCTGCTTGCTGCATATGCACATCTATCGGGGCGGCATATCGGCGACAGCCCATTGTTTTGGCCATGCGGATGTCCCTGCACGTCGTCGGTACGAGTACGAATGTCAAGAACACGGCGTTCAAAATAGGTAGTAAGCAGCACGGAAACTCCTGAGTTGGTTGTGCCAGAGAAGCAGTTGTGTTTAAGCAGCCCAAATGTGAGAACTCGTAGGGGGACTGTTATTATTCAATATGACTGGTACGGGAACCGGGGACTCGGTATGCAGGGAGGGGAGACTGTATGAAGCTTTCGAGTAGTACACCACAAGCGTGTGCTCACCGTCATTTAGGGACACCCATCGCTAAGTCTTTCAGTCCATGCGGAGTGAATGGACGGCTGCATCTACATTGTACAAGATGCATAGTTTTGCCTGGATAGACTGTTAAAGCCTGTATGTAAGGATGCCTGCATTACAGTTGTGGCTTTGGGACATGCGTTATGCCTGCATTACAGTTGTGGCTTTGGGACATGCGTTATCACACATGGTTGGGGTTGTATGATTCGTGAATTATGCGTTGGAGGTTGTATCAGTTAGGGATAGAGACTTGAGTATTCGGTTAGGGATGTATCATGTTTACCTTATATTCTTGGGATTCATAGCGTCCTGATTGCTGGGGCTTTCGTTCTAGGTGTGTAATATATGGAGGATAATACTACGGGCTGAAGTGCGGCGTTCTCTTGTAGGTGCGCTTCGCAAGATGAGGTTGACAGACTCAAGTCTCTGGAGCATCACTGGCTGCAGCGACGCTGATGAATTACGTCGCTATTGGAAGGAAAGATGGCATGTATCACTCTTTGCTCTTGGCTCTGTTGCTTTCGGAGGGCTGGCCAGTTCATACATCGCGCGCCACAAAGTAAACATGGACCACCCATCTTTGGCACTTCGGAAAGCGTTGTTCTTCGAGCAGGCCATCTACGAAGTATAATTTCGCTTCTCAACATGTTGATGAGCCCCTCCATAGGCGTCAATAAGTTCAGATCATAGTTTGCAGGTCAAGCATGAGACAGGCTCATAGCATCAGAACCGTTCCATGACGCTCCACTGTACGGTACATATATGGCAACCATATACTTATCCAGAAGAGATGCATTTCTCCTTAGACCAAGTCATTGAAGGTGAGGTACAGGTGACCTTCTCCGTTTGAAGCAGTCTTTCTGAAGCCTTTTCTGATCTCGTTCGGGAAGAGATGATTCAATCTGCTCCATTGCTGCTGGGTTGCTGCTTGGCTCAGTAACTGGCTGCTTGCCACGTGCTAGATTTCTATTGAAATGTCAACGTAGGGTGAGAGACAATGGGTATCGCTCGACAGACTGCGGAGCTGGCGATCCACTGGCAGCGCTGCGATCTGATGCCAAAGTGAATCGACAGTGAAGTTCTCGACTGCCCACATCTCACTTTTTCACAAAGTCGTAAACTATATATATTCCCTTCCATAATCCAAAACTTGAAGCAACTCTTCTTCTTCATCGTATCGACATCGAGGCCAGTCTTGTCCAGTCTTGTTCAGACCATTCTCCCATTGTTCCATTCTCGCGTTACTTTCCATCCCATCATCATGTCGACGGGCCTTTCAGTGCGAGACAAGCTCCTTGCGGGCGTCGCTTTCAACCTTGCTGGAGGACGACAGTTGATGCAGCAGCAGCAGCACCCGCAGATGGAACAGGCGCCTCATAACAGGTACCAGATGTATGGTCCGGTGGCCAGCTTGCAGCAATCCATCGACGAGGCATTCCGTGTGGATCCAAGCATCCGCGAGAAGCTGGAAGACGCTCCGGATGCAGAGACGACCATCACCCTGAGGGAGGATGTGGAGGCCGATCTCTTGGAGATGACCTTGGCTCAGCGGAGGAAGATTCTGACGGAGCATTTCTGCCAAAGAGTGGATCAGAGGTGAGTGAACAATCATTGAGCGGAAATTGAGAAAGTGACTGACATGCTTTGTATGTCAGAGCGGATATGAGTCGACGCCTACAGGCCATTATGAGAATGCACAACGATAATCCCTTTGCCCCCAACGTCGAGAACCCAGTCGAGGAAGGCCAAGGCGAAGCGTTGCGCCTGTTTCTGCGCTCTGCATGCCGTGATAACGGCTATCGAAAGCTCGAGATGGATCTTTGCGGGTTCATGAGCATCTCCGTTGAGAACGACATGACCGGCGAACCCCTCGGATCGGTGCCTCCTGAGCCGACCGTGGATTGTGCAGATAATCCGTGTCTGAGATCGGATGGCGGAACCCTGACGCTGTTTGAGACGGACGTGTAGGTAGTCTTTCTGCCCATGAGAAGTGAACAGATTCGGCTGACATTTGTTTCATCCAGGCATGACCAGTTTGGCCGGACCACCACTTGGTTGTGGTGGAAGATCTGTAAGCCACTGGAGAGCCACGAGCCGAGCGACCACCACCATCCCGCGCCAGATGTCACTGAAGAGGAAGCAGCAGCAGCAAGAGAAGCCTGGGTCATAATCGCAATCCCAAAGGTCTAGGTGGAAGTCCTGGAAGAGTCCTGGCAGATGGACGCTATCCCTGGCGTCGAGACGACTGGCGACTACATGATGCAATGCGCGATACCCTGGCGCATGCGCGGCGAGGACAAGGCCATCACCCGGCGGAGGAAGGGCGTGGCATACCGGTACAGCCGGGATGGCGTTCCCTGTCTGGCCATGTCGAGGAAGACGGGAGAGCTCAAGGACGCGTGGTGGGGGTTCCGGGACCACGAGGTTGACGTTGTGTCGTGGCAGCTGACGGAGCGAGACATGTCGACCAATAGTTGTCTCGTGCATGGGCTTTCGGCGGTCGATGCCGAGTGGGTGCATGTGCCGCCGGAGGTGTCGGAGCAGGAGGAGGAGCAGCAGCCGCAGCAGCAGTAGCAGCAGCAGCAGCCGCAGCAGCAGCAGCAGCAGCAGCAGCAGGAGCAGGGAGAGCCCAGGAAGAGGCCAGCGGAGGGGACGCAGAGGCCTCGGGGGCCGAAGAGGGCGGGTGGTGAGCTGAGGCCGTCGGGACTGAGGAACGAAGTGCGCGAGGAAGACTGCTAGGTGAAGTTTGCTGTGGGCTTATTTGCCAGTTATTTCGTCTTTTGTCGTTTGATGAAGGAAGTTGGTTCTGTGCTCTGGACAATGTGATGTCGCTGAGGAGGTAGTGGTCGTTTCAGGGGGACCACGGCAGGCCAAGAATGATACATGGGATATATATTGAGCTTGATGAGTAACTATATGAGTGACAGGTGGGTGACTATATACTCTACGAGACTCCGAGACTCTCGTCGCTGTCTAGGTAGGCATGAAGTTGGAGTCATGGATCGAGGTGACGGGATGCATGTGCTCATGTGAAGGTTCTAGCAGACGTGTATCTCTATGGCGATGAAAACTGTAGGCATGTCGTCTAGAGCAATAAGAATGCGACGCCATGACTTCAGTCGCTCCTGATTGGTAGAGAATAGAGCTTTAATAGCTCACTCTATATGATGCTCGATAGGGCTCTGATGGATGAGAGAGGTGATATCGACAGGCTTGAGCTTCTGGGAATGCCTGGTTGGGCAAATGGATGAGCTGCTGTTGCTTCTGATTGGCTGGCGAGGCTCGAAACTTCGATGACAAATGGTCCGTTAGGGGGCTTCAAGTACCGGTACTTGTGTCTACTGCCTCAGAGGGGTTCAACCAAAGACGTCTATCAAAGTTGAGCAGCAGATATAGCAAGTCCTTGTGCTTTTGTAGTGCGAATTAACAAGTTCAAGTTCTTGAAGCGATATAACTCAATTCATTCTACGCTTCTTGGTGTAAATCTTGCCTCAGCCGCTGTAGCTTCAGGCATCAACTCGAACATGGCAAGCTGCGTGGGGCAGCATCACACACCCAGGCAAAGGTCCAAGTACCTGTACCCGCAACTCCCTTTGCGGGCCGGGTTAACATTGCACCAGCCTGGCATCTGATGGAAGCTCTCAACTGCTCCCCACCAAAAGCCCGCCAGGCATCGTGGGAACTTTTCTAGTGTGCGCCCCTCCAAACCTCCAGACCACCGCTTTGCACACTCTCGACTCCGACAAGCTGTCTGACCACCAGCTGCTTCTACGTGCTGCTCCTCTACCTGGTCTATTGAAGGCTTCCATCTTCCATCTCCCCACGAGCCGCCGAGTGCGAACAAGTCGCCCACCATGCAGGCCCCTGTGTTGGTTATGAGTGCGTATACCCAAAGCCCACCTTGCCGGTCGACGGAGAGAAAAGGAGAAGTGACTTCATCTCGAGTCACGCGGATAAGGGACAGATCTTGCTGCGTTTGAGATGGATCCAAGAGGTTGCATTGACAAGCTGACTGACGCATTGCTCGACAGACACCAATAGTGGTGAGAGACAGACCGGACGGAGAGCGCAGCTGTCCAACATTGCTGCCGCCAAAACGTGTGTTTGCTGCTCCCACGCCGCCGCCCGCTCGATCAATTCAAACAAGCTAACCCGTTTCTCCTGACGCAGCGTTGCCGACATCATTCGATCATGTCTCGGCCCCAAGGCCATGCTCAAGATGCTGCTCGACCCCATGGGCGGCATCGTCCTCACCAACGACGGCCACGCCATTCTCCGAGAAATCGAAGTTTCCCACCCCGCCGCCAAGAGCATGATCGAGCTCAGCCGGACACAAGATGAGGAAGTTGGCGATGGCACCACTACAGTCATCATCCTGGGTACGTTGCTCTTGATGTTTTACGCGTTGCACATGATGGAGAGCCCAACCATAGAGGGGCAACGGGGAAAAAAAAGGGGGAGGGGTCATATTTGAGAGACGAGAAAGACCTTGGTACTGACAGACTTTGATACAGCCGGTGAGATCCTGGCTCAGGCCCTCCCTCAGCTCGAGCGCAACATTCATCCCGTCGTCATCATTTCTGCTTTCAAGCGTGCCCTCAAGGATGCCATCGACATCATCGACGAAATCTCCCTACCCATCGATGTCCACGACGACAAGGCCATGTCCCAGCTCATCTCCTCCTCCATCGGCACCAAGTTCGTCTCTCGATGGATGGATCAGATGTGCAACCTTGCCCTCAAGGCGGTGCGAACCGTCACCTGGGAAGCCGGCAATGGCAAGACCGAAGTGGACATTAAGCGATATGCCCGTATCGAAAAGGTTCCCGGCGGCGAGATCGAGGATAGCAGGGTTTTGGACGGCCTCATGCTGAACAAGGATATCACGCACCCCAAGATGCGCCGACGCATCGAGAACCCCCGAATCGTCCTCCTTGACTGCCCCCTGGAGTACAAGAAGGGTGAATCACAGACCAACATTGAGATCACAAAGGAGGAGGACTGGAACCGAATTCTGCAGATCGAGGAGGAGCAGATCAAGATCATGTGCGATACCATCCTGAGCGTTCAGCCCGACCTGGTCATCACCGAAAAGGGTGTCTCTGGTAAGTGAGGTGGAGGATTATGGGTGGTTCACTGCAAGCCAAGAGAGTACAAGCTAACCTTTCGTTAGATTTGGCCCAGCACTACCTGATGAAGGCCAACGTCACAGCCCTTCGCCGGGTACGCAAGACGGACAACAACAGAATAGCCCGCGCCACGGGAGCCACCATTGTCAACCGAGTGGAGGATCTCCAGGAGTCGGACGTTGGCACTCGATGCGGCCTGTTCGAGATTGAGAAGATTGGCGACGAGTACTTCACCTTCCTCACAAAGTGCAAGGACCCCAAGGCCTGCACGATCTTGCTGCGCGGCCCCTCCAAGGACGTCCTCAACGAGATTGAGCGCAACCTCCAGGATGCCATGGGTGTTGCCCGAAATGTCATGTTCCAGCCCCGACTGTCCCCTGGCGGTGGCGCTACCGAGATGGCCGTCTCTGTCCGACTGGCCCAGAAGGCCAAGGGTGTCGAGGGTGTCCAGCAGTGGCCATACAAGGCGGTTGCCGATGCTCTGGAGGTGATTCCCAGGACGCTGGTGCAGAATGCCGGCAAGAGCCCGGTTCGCGTTCTGACGGAGCTTCGCGCCAAGCAAGCCGAGGGCAAGAGCTCATACGGTGTCAACGGCGATACGGGTGCTATTGCGGATATGACCGAGTACGGCGTGTGGGAGCCCGCGGCTATCAAGCTGCAGAGTCTCAAGACTGCGATCGAGGTATGTTTCCATGTCCATCAATATGATGCGGTAGAACCTGAACCTAACATGCTGTGCTTCTAGGCTGCCTGTTTGTTATTAAGAGTAGACGATATCTGCAGTGCCAAGAAGATGCAGCCCGGTTCCGCTCCTGGAGTGGGAGGCGGTGATGATTAAACGAGCTGGAGGAGTAGTGAGAGGGTTAGAAAGTGAAGAGATATTGATGCCCCGAGAAGCCACGGTCTGCGAGGCGCACAACGTCTTGGATGTACCTGAACGGGCCAAAGCCTGTTTCAACGCTGTCGGGGCGGATGTGGGAGCATCTCTAGACACATGTTGAGGCGGAAAGCCAAAAAATTATCTGAAATAGACAAATGTATTAAACCAAGGCTCGCCGAATGGGGCGGCACATGGAGCTATGAAATGGCATTCTATACGGGTATCACTGCTTCTACTTTTGGTAGAATGTTGTTAAATATGTCCCAGACTCTTCAAACAAGATTCCCTCTGACAGGCATTCCCTCTAACGACTTGCATGCTTTTTCTTTTGAGCGTCTCTCACGATCAGTCATCATCGTGAATGACGAGGCCAACCGCAGGTTCTGCAGAAGCAGTTGTCGGATTATCACTGCCATTCCTCCCGTTGTCGTCCGTTTCCGGCTTTCCTTTTTCTCGCGAGGCATCGTCCGATCCGGGGCCTGCTGATGTCGCCGTACCATTGCCATTCGCATTCGCATTCCCACTGGGCCCTTTTGTGTTGCCATTGCCGTTGCTATTGGCATCACCTCCTTTCCCCTTATTCGCCTTGCGCGCCTTGGCCTTCTCCCTCTTCTCGCGGTTCTTCCTCGTCTTCTCCTCGTCCCTGCGCAGCTTCTCGGCCCTGCTCTTCTCGAACTCGGCCTGCTCGCGCTCGCGCTTGACCTCCTCGTCCATCTCCCTCAGGCGCTCGTACTCGCGCCTGCGGGCGGCCTTGTAGACGTGGAACTCGCCGGAGCCGGCACCCGCGCTGGAGCCCTGGACGTTTGTGACGATTTCGGGCGGCGGGGGCCGTTTGCTTCCCGGAACGAGTGCGCTGGGGGGAGGCGGCAGGCGGATCTCTTGGTCGGGCTTTGCGAAGAGGGACTCGAGGGAGGCGGCTTGGGCGGAGGTCGGGGTGAGGGCGCGCTTCTTTGTGGGACGCTTGGAGCGGGGGTCCGCGGAGGTGGGGATTGCTTCGGGGCCTTCGGCGGACATTGTGGCGGTTTGCTTTGGTTTGTGTTTGTGTTTGGTTTGTACTTGGGTGGTGATGGTGGTTGGTTTGGTGGTGAGGTCTGGCGGTTTGCGATTGCGCTGCGATGCGTTTGAGAAGTAGAGATGGGATGACGAGGGGAGAGGGAGAGACGCTGGGATTGGGTTGAAGAGCTCGGCAACCTGAGACTATTTGTATTGTAGCCGCGACCGAGGGATGGGGGATGCGAGGTAGAGCCCAAGTGTTGTATTGCTGGTGTGAGATGGTAAAAGGAAGGAAGAAAAAGGAATCTCGAAGCACAAGCACGGCTTGAGGTGCAATGGCTTTGTCTCAATGCCGATGGATGGTGCTGGGGCGCTAAGCCTAGTACGGCGCCTTAGCTGGGCTGCAGCGTAAGGCTGAATCCTGACCTCCTCCTTCACGTAACAAACCAGTATCGAGCAGCCATCCATTGACCTTCTCTACCCGATGTTCAGGTCAATGATCACTAGACGGCCTCGGACACCGAGAAGATGAACATACTTACTGCTTCACGGACCTTTCAGCTGATCCATCATGGCTTTACCCGCGGTTGGAATCGACGTGTAATTGCCCTGTTTCCCGCACTCTGGCGACCTATCGTAGGAGCATGAACTTATGATTGCTGTCTGCCATATGGCGTACACGTACTCAAGATCTTAGCACATCTCGGGTCAGAAATATCATGAAGATGTGTATAACATCAAGGACTCGACTCGGCGTCGCTTCCCAGCCTCCAGAGTAGATTCAGCAAGCTTGGACTGGGCCTAGATGCTGCTTTACACTCGAAGGAATACAGAATCTCGTAAGGCAAGTGGAAAAGAGATCAACTTATGGCGAGTGGAAGGTACCAATGAAGAAACGTGGAGATTGGAAGTCGCGTGGAAGAAGCCGTTGGCATGTGTTCCTTACAGGACATGAGGCAGCAGGTAGGTACATGAGGTATGTAGGTGCCGTGCCGACCTGGCCAGAACTTGAAAGAAACAACATCAGTTGAGCCGCCCATATTATACATACCTATACATACCGATCTTTTTGATCCCTCTTCCTTCGCTACTCTGAGACTGTCTTTCATTCAATACCTTAGGCTTCAGCCCAGACAGAGTACAGTTTACCCCCTTTCCCGCAGTCCGCTGCTCTCCAACGAAATCCTGCGCCGACACGGATACTTCCTTGGCAGCTTCGAATCAACAGGCCGCGCACAATGAACACCCCCGGGTGGATGAACGATCCAACTCTCGATGCCGCCCTGGAGTTTTCTCCGCTGCAGGGCGGAGAGTCGCAAACTCCTCGAAGAGCGGATCAGACACGCACGACGTGTGGAGAGTGTCACGCCCGAAGGCTCGAATGTTACCCTTACGGGCCGACTTGTGTACATTGCCTGTTATGGGGGCTGGATTGTGTGATGCCCTCTGAGGAGGAACGGACTTTGAGCCCCGAGTCCGAGGTCATTTTGAAGATTGAGGATGGGCTCTCAGAAAACGAGGTGACTACAAAGGCAGAGGATTCGCCCAAGCTCCGAATATCCCAGGCTCAAGGTGCATCGGCTGGAAGCTCGACGGGGCCAAACAGCATCTATGTTACGGGCAACCACGCCATGAGTGCGCAAAGACATGCCCTTCGACATCGATACCTGGCCGGTGGACGACACAACTGCCGCTCTCTACAGATCGACTCGGCCAAAGTCCTCAGCTGGCCAGTCTTCGCCGGCCAGCTCGACCCGCAAGCCAAAGCCATGGCGGTCCTCCCGCAGAAGCCTCTCGAGCAACACCGGCCTCCCGGGCGACACCAGCCATCTGTTTCCGCACTGAACGAATTCCTCAGGGACCCCGCGTACGCTGATATGCTGGTAAGCAGCTTCATGCACAACGTCCACGTCAAGAACCCTATCCTGGATGTGCTCACCCTCAGTTACAGGGCAATTACTGTCTACGCAAAGGGTTTTGAGTAGAATCTCGAGTCTTGTTTGATACTGCTTGTATGGGCCCTGGGTGCTATCACGACCAAATTTCCTCATTCTCGAGGGGCTCGCGGAATCAGGGGTCTGGACTTGGGGGCAGCACTCTTCGGTATGGCTTACGAGCGGCTTGGAGCCGTCTTTGCTGAAGGCGGCATTCTACCTGCGCAGTGCTTCTTTTACGCCGGTGTATACCTCTTGTCCATTTTGCAGCCTGTCCCGGCGTGGAGACATTTCTTACAGGCCCTGGCCTACTGTCAGGAATTTGACGTCGTCGTACAGGCAGCAACGAGGACGCAAGCGCCAACGACGACCCCCGAAGCATCGCCTGCGGAGGTGAACTTGTACTGGTCTTGTTGGAAAGCCGAGGTGGACCTGCGCTTGTCTCTTGGGCTTTATGACTTTCAGACGCAGGGGCGTGTTTATATTGAGTCTCTTCCTGAGATACCGGTGAACCCATTAATGAACATCAAAGTCCGGCTCTTCTTTTTGGCCGAAATATCTCTCCTGAGGCTGGCTACCAGTGCACGCAACGATATTGAGCGGATTCTGTGGTTGTCGTCACGGGGAAATGATGAGGATCACGAAAGACTTTTGATAGAGACGGTTGAGACTTACAAGGCAAAGGCTCAAATTTGGCTTGTCTCCTTGCCCCAGGCAGTTTCCTTTTCTACGGAGGACTCTGAATTCAACATCTTCACGTTCACTCTCTGCTGGCGTCTCGTGGATTTTGGGGAGCTCATTTTCTGGCCTTTTCTCGAAGATGCAATCAACAGCGGCGAGGAGAGTCTTCCACAACACGTCTATCATTACGCTGGTCATGGGATTAGCACATGCGTGAATCACATCCGGATGGCACTCATAGCTCAGAAGTATCGTCATGAGGGGACGTGGATGCTATTGCAGTCTTGTGCTCGAAGCGTAATCGTCTTGATGGCGGCTTCCCTTTCGCACCACGCCCAGAGTCTCTTGCCGGAGAATTGGATAAGCCTTGTCGACTCTGGCATACATGTGCTGAGGCATTGGATCGGACATAATGCTGTGATTCTGAATCAGATACGGGCTTTGGAGCAGCTACGGGAGTTGGATGAGATTCGAAGAAAGCTTGGGTGTTGAACAAACGAGTGGGAGTATCAGGTTTTCGTGTAAGCGTATAGGTAAATAGCGTAGTATCAAATTACCTTGTTCCCTTTTGCTGATCTTAATCACCTTGTTCCCTTTTGCTCATCTTCGATGGTAATATGTAATGATTATGTGTCAAGTAATTGACCACCAGGCAGCATGGCAAACCTGTGGTAGGGCTATCAGGGCCATCAGGACGAAGCTCAGGACGATATCAACCCTATAGTCGCCGTTACTATATTTATCAAGCCAGCTACTAGTTTTCCGTAGTGCCATCGATATAGCTCGATCGACTATTTGGAATCTCAGATTGACATTGGATCAAATGCTTATAATCCGAGCAATAAGCGTCTGCATCCCATTCTCCAAATTCAAACGGCACCTCTCCGTTTTAACATATGGCCTCCCAACAGGACATGCGGGCCCTTGCCGGCGATGGTTTTGACGTCCAAGACCCTCACATGCTCTCCATGTATCCATCAGCAAGGGAGACCAGTCGTAGATCTCGGAGCAATCTGCAACCCCACCCGTGGACGATGACCCTTACTTGAGCTCGATAGTAGTAAGATGTCGTGAAAAGCTTATCAGAACCAGTCTCTGCATCGGAAATTTTCAATATCTGCTTGTCTCAGATCATGAGAAATTTCCCGTGGAGGGTCCATAAGGTTCCCTTCTCAGCTTACTGAGGGAAAACCACCTGAACAGCCGCATCGTCCGAGAACATGAAGATGATCAGTGTGTACAGCAAGTCCCCATGCCGTCAAGACTTCTCTGTGAGGGAGATTTTGAGGTTTCACAAGCAATGAGGCTGATGGACATGGTTTTCGTTCGGCCAGTTACTTGATCCGGACATTTCCAGCTACGGAGGAATAGGATTCTTTTGGGTGTTTTTGTGGCAATATGGTGTCTCTAGTCTTTGGCGAGTAGCGTCCCATTGTTTGCACAAGCCATCTCTCTCTGTAGTGAGCAGATGAGCAAGAATTCGGAACCATATCCGTTTTCTTTGCGCCTCCTTTGAGACTTGGGGCCCGAAAACAGGAAGCTCCCGTGGTTCGGTCAACTTGGCACTCCTTAGTCGCCTTCAGCTGAGAAGCCGGTCCGCATCCCTTTGGAATTGTGGCCGTGACGCTCCGTCGATCTTCGTGTGTGCACTAGGTCAAGCCCAAGCAAGCCTCGTCAAGGATATCCGGCCCTTTCTGCCTCTGCTGTAAGAGAAAGCAGCAGCAACTGGCATTCCTCAGATCTCACGATGAGACATTGCCACACTTTCGATCCAAAATGATAAAACTCAATTACTACGGACCTAACTGCTACACCAGTAAGTGTGTGTAGGAGCTTCTCCAAACCGCCTCCAAGCCCATCCGGACCCCAATGAAAGAGCGAGACTCCGCCTCCACCAAATGCGCATGGAAAATGGCGTCCACTAAGACACACGCCAATGCATCCGTACAGCCGTCTTACAGACACGAGGAAACCAAGACAGAATCGACGAGGAAGCGAGACAAGCAGAATGAGGCATCAAATGCAAAAATCCTGCAGGATCCGAAAGATCCAGTTTGAGACATTTCCGGCCGACAGACCGGGTGAGACAACGGGGAGTCGACTTGAACCTGTGAGGTAACCCTCCGACGACCCGTGCATCAATGCCTCTCGACTCTCCAGTTCATACGCCGTACTTTTGCGCACCAGCAATGGTGGACCGAAATCAGATCACACGACCCCAATTGCAGCAGGGTCCTCGTATAGGGCTGAGAGCAATCCATCACTGCTTTCATTCAGGCTCCGATGACACCAGGAAACGATCCTTCTCATCCCAATTGGACCGGCTGCACGTATGGCAAGACTATTCTCAAGCTTGTTGCTTTTTTTAGGCGTCCATCCAATCCTGAGCCGTCCCAGTGGCTTGACCCGTTCAGCCGCACCTCGCCCTGCGTGTCTAGCTGAGCGAATCCCGAGCAGTGGGACAGTTGGCATTTGTTTTTCCATTATGTTTTATCCTTGCTTCATAGTTCATTTATTCATTAATCATCTGCCCATGGGGAAAATATGGTGCTAAGACGAGAACTGATACATGCGTTGCTTGTGTGTGGGTGTAAGAAAGGATGAATCCAAGCCGAGGATCCGTCATGAAAAAAACAAACCACCACGACGCCCTTACACGATCCCGAAGCGGATGTCGCTCACCATGACGCCCATCTGCGTTTCTCACTGTCCATGTCGATCAATTCGTATTCGCAGGGTCCAAAACTCTCACCGGAATGCTATTCCTCCTCCATCATCTTCCCATTGCATGTAATAAGTGCTGATAATACAGTGCGTAAGCTTAAAAACAACAACACCAATCCAAAATTCAAAAACCAAAAATACTACATGTCAAATCGAGTATCCGGCCGGCATCCCGGGAACTCCAAGCTTTAGCTTCAACCTTCAATGAACAACTGGCACTGCCCCCCTCCCCTTTCCCCCCCAACCGGCCGAGACACACGTTTTTTGTGTGATTCTTGAAGCTATTTCATGTACGTCGTAGGTAGCGAGGACGGAAGCGTGGGCTGTAAGTGGTCCAGAGAGTAAGCGGCACTTCGTATTCAAGCAGGAGGCTTTTCGTATAGCGTCCACGATACGAAAGCCACCTACGTGCCCTTGCCTGAGACAACACATGATTCTCATGCTCTGTGATGATTCTATTAGGCATTGAATCCTAAGGCTTCACCGATAGTTGCTTGGTTCTTCCATCGAGAGAAGACATGTGTGTGTGTCAACTCCGGGGAGGAAGGAGGAGGAGGAGGGAGGGTAGAGGCAGATCTTGTGTGAGCTTCGGGGTATATAAAGACGAGGATATCTGCCCCGGATTCTCTCATTCAATTCTCATCACCAGCACACAAACAAAGCATCCGCCTCTCTCTAAAAACATCTCAGACGAGGACAACAAACACTTTGATCTTGCAAACAGAAAGCCTTCACAATGAAGTTCGCCGTTGCCTTTGCCGCTCTCGCCACCTTGGCCGCTGCCAGCCCTCACTCTCCTCCTCCTCCTCCGAAGGGCTGCAAGCCCGCTACCTACTCTTGCCTTCCTCACGACAACGGCTGGCAAGTCTGCAGCACTGCCGGACAATGGGTCGTAAGTATACACACTCCCATGTCTTTGAACAGACACAACAAAGAAACATCTCACGGCTGTCTTAACACGATTTATTTGATAGTTTGCCGGCAACTGCCCTCCCAAGACCGTCTGCAAGTTCGACAAGGAGAACGGCAGCCCCTACTGCGTTCCCCCCGGATTCACCATCCCATAAATCCATCAACATATGGGGAACAAGTAAAGGCTGAGAATTTGGACATACAGCCTGGCCGGATAAGCATGAGATATTAGAGAGCTTATGGGATGCTAAGGATGCTTTGTGGCTTGTCATTTGTCTTGCCAATCACATTCTGGACATACAAATTTCTACATACACAAACTTTATGGGTCACTCCTTTGATGAAAGCTAGCTAGCTATTTACTATTTTATGAAAAGCAATGAATTGTATAACCAAAAACAAATGCTTCTCATGTGTGGAACAGCTGGCTTATATATATCTCGTTTGCTCGGCGCTCCGTCCTTGCTACAGCATGCCTCTTCTCATTGCCATGCCGTGCTGATGAGATAAGATGTCTGAATACGAGGTTGTAAGCACGGGAGCTGGTGGTGCAGAAGCCGGTCAGCTGCAGTAGAGTTTGAAGGTGAAGACAAGCTCATGTCCATCTACAATACGCCATGTATGAGTTGAACCTCGGGGTTTACTCACTCTGCTATATAGCTTGGTATGAACAGGCTAGACGTACACTCACTTGTAGAGAGTTATGTATTATACAGATAGGTAGGCAGAATCAGACTTTCGAATCTGATGAGCCAACCCGTCATTTGGTGCTGACTTGTGGTGATATAGGGGTCTTGGTTCTTAAAATGTATACACTGCGAGTAACACAGTCTGACTGTTAATCAATTCTCCTGAACCAATCCAAGTCCCATGCCATGGGTCATAAGGCACGAGATTTATAAAATGACAGTAAACAAGGAACGGTGACTATAGCCCTATTTCTGGCCATAGATATACCAGCTCGATGAACAAATCTCCACTGGGCTCTATGTTCTATTCCTTTCATCTCATAATCAAAGCGACCGCTTCGAGAACCAATCAAAGCTCGGATATAATGCTATGGCTCCAAGGGGGGTTATTTTTTTTCTCGACTGAAATTCATCATGCTCTCATACGTTCAGCATCATGCTTCAGCTCAGTTCCAAAGCCAAGTCAGCAACTGTGCTGATCCGCCGGGTTTATTCAGCGCTGCATATCCTTCATTTGCACATGAACACATCTCTCATTCCGAGTCCTCTTCTAATGTAGCATGCTATCTTAGTAGTATTACTGTGACACTCCAGTAAGTTGTAGCTCAGAAACATATCGCGGACAATTTTTATTTCTGCAACGTCCAATAGCAAAAGAAACCAGCGTCACTCCCCCTGCCCCCCTTGTGCCTCCTCTATACCGACGGATGCTGTAGCAGGTAAACTGCCGATCCCTGGATTCATCACACACGGCAAAAACAAGGCACCAAAGGCGATAGCGGCCAATCAGTGCCATACTTCGGGATGTGCCTAATGTTGCGGATAAAAGCCTGAGTGAGTGAGTGAGTGAGTGAGTGGTTTAGCAGCAGAGTCGAGGTCACATCGTCGGTGGTCCCTTTTGCAAGGGAGAGTGACAGCAACCTTGATGCCGTATTGCGGGGAAAATCTGGGGAAGAAGCAAGGGTGAGTCCGTATGTAATAGTTTTCGCTCGCCCACCCACTTACTGTACAGTAGTCTCTCTCATATATTCGCAGTGCATCAACTGACTATTCCCTTGCTTCATCTTGCCCAGCTTTGACAAGAAGAGAAGAACGAGTGCCGTCAATTTATCCGTCGGCATCTTATCAGTCACGTTGCGATAAGTGAACATGTACTCTGTAGAGGCCTCTCTATGAGCCGAACCCAATTCAGCCGTCGCTTCAACCTCTTCTTCCTTCTTCCTCCCTCTCATGCTACGCCAGTTCTACAATCAATCGTTACCCAGGGACAAGTGACCTGCAATGTTACATTCCGCACCCCGCAGAAACGGCCCGTTACGAAATGAACGTGATCGATTTGGGTCGGGATTGACGCCAGTCTGATGCATTCGAAGCATCGCGAACCTCTTCATTGATGCTTTGAGATTCAGCGGTGGCGATCCCCAGCCCTGACACGCAGCAGCGCAGTTCGGATCGGGATTAACGTCGACTAATCGACAATGTGACGCTGCTGCCGTCAAATTTCCCGCCGGGAGAGACAAAGGGGACGACGATCATAACCCTTGAGGGAAGATGCGGATGAAACTCTGGGATTTGATCACCACTCAGTATATATAGGCCCTTCGTCTCCCAGCTCATCACGATGGCCTCTAGACATGCACAAGGGGTGACAAAGTTTCTGGCTCCACTAACAATCATGGCCAAGCTCAGCCTTCACGCCCTCCTCGTCGGGCTTTTGGCCTCGAGTGCTTCCGGCGCCCTAGACGGAAGCCGATATCTCTGGTACACCTCCCCGGCCACAGACTGGGAAACCGGCGTGCTGCCCATCGGAAACAGTCGCCTCGGAGGGGCCATCTTCGGAGGCGGCAATGAGGTCATCACCATCAACGAAGACACGCTCTGGGACGGACCGCTGCAGGACCGTATCCCCGCAAATGGGTTGGCGGCCTTGCCCAGGGTTCGCCAGATGCTGCTCGCGAACAATCTGACCGACGCTGGAAACCTCGTCCTGAGTCAGATGACGCCCGCAGTCTCCGGTGAGAGGCAGTTTAGCTACTTTGGCAACTTGAACCTCAACTTTGGCCATGGCAGCGGTATATCAAACTATGTTCGCTCGCTGGACACGCGCCAGGGCAATTCGAGCGTGTCGTACACGTACAACGGTGTCACTTACACGTAAGTTTCGCAGCGTTTAGTCTGTATGGTTGGCCACTTTGTTCTTACACACCGACTCTCGTCTAGCCGCGAATATGTTGCCAGTGCCCCTGTTGGTGTCATCGCGGCCCGGTTCACGGCAAGCAAGGCTGGAGCTCTCAGCGTGTCTGCCACGTTTTCACGAGTCTCAAATATCCTCAGCAATGTCGCTTCGGCATCTGGCGGCGTCAACAGCGTGACCTTGCAAGGAACCAGTGGCCAGTCGCAGAACCCAATTCTCTTCACTGGCAAAGCTCGTTTCGTGCCCCAAGGAGGTACCACTCTTCACTTCTCCTGTATATATGTTCAGTGCTTATTCATGACGATGTATAGGCTCCGTCAGCGCCTCTGGTGGCACGCTCACCATCACAGGCGCAACCACCATCGACGTCTTCATCGATGTCGAAACAAACTACCGCTATCCCACCGCCAGTGCCCTCGCTGCTGAAGTTGACAACAAGATCAACACGGCCGTATCTCAGGGCTTCCAGAAGGTTCACGACGACGCCATTGCCGACAGCAGCGCGCTTCTCGGTCGTGCCAACATCAATCTCGGCACGTCTCCCAATGGCATCGCCAACCAGCCCACGGACCAGCGTGTCAAGACTGCCCGCAGCGCATTCAACGACCCTCAGCTGATTGTACTTGCGTGGAACTACGGCCGCCATCTGCTGGTTGCCTCATCTCGAGACACTGCAGCTGCTATCGATATGCCTCCTAACCTGCAGGGCGTCTGGAACAATGCAACTTCGGCTCCCTGGGGCGGAAAGTTCACCATCAACATCAACACCGAGATGAACTTGTGGCCAGCCGGCCAGACGAATCTGATTGAGACACAACTACCGCTCTTTGACCTGCTCAAGGTTGCCCAGCCCCGCGGCCAGGAGATGGCCCAGAAGCTATACGGCTGCAACGGCACCGTCTTCCACCACAACCTGGACGTCTGGGGCGACCCTGCGCCTACTGATAACTTCACGTCCAGCACCATGTGGCCCATGGGAGCAACTTGGCTGGTCCAGCACATGATGGAGCAGTATCGCTTCACCGGCGATCTCGACTTTCTCCGCAACACGGCGTACCCGTATCTGCTCGACATCTCCAAGTTCCTGCAGTGCTATACCTTCACCTGGCAGGGCAACCGCGTCACCGGCCCGTCTCTGTCTCCCGAAAACACGTACGTTGTGCCTCAGGGAGCGAACGTCGCCGGCCAACAGGAGCCCATGGACATGGCACCCGAGATGGACAACCAGCTGATGCGAGACGTCATGTCTGCCATCATCGAGGCTGCTGCTGCCCTGGGCATCTCGAGCAGCGACGCCAACGTCAAGGCCGCCTCCGATTTCCTGCCTCTGATCTGCACTCCTCGCATTGGATCCTACGGCCAGATCCTCGAGTGGCGAGCCGAGTATGGCGAGACCGACCCGGGTCACCGCCATCTTTCGCCGCTTTACGGCCTTCACCCATCGAACCAATTCTCGCCCCTCGTCAACAGCACGCTCAGCGCTGCGGCTAAGGCTCTCCTAGACCATCGTGTCGCAAGCGGCTCTGGGAGCACCGGCTGGAGCCGCACGTGGCTGATGAACCAGTACGCCCGTCTCTTCTCAGGGGCTGACGTGTGGAAGCACATTGTCGCCTGGTTCGCCACCTATCCCACGCCCAACCTCTGGAACACCAACAGCGGCTCCACCTTTCAGATTGACGGCAACTTTGGCTTTACCAGCGGCGTCACCGAGATGCTGCTGCAGAGCCAGACCGGCACCGTCCACCTGCTGCCTGCTCTTCCCGGATCCAACCTCCCGACTGGAAATGTCAGGGGGTTGTTGGCCAGAGGAGGCTTCCAGGTCGACATCGACTGGCAGGGCGGCAGCTTCAAGAATGCTACTGTGACGTCGACGAGGGGAGGGCAGTTGAAGCTGAGGGTGGCGAACGGCCAGAGCTTCAACGTCAATGGGGCGAGTTACAACGGAGCAATCTCGACCACCGCGGGGGCCAAGTACTCCATTACTGTTTGATAGCGTTTGTGATATCTTTGGCTTGGGCCCTTTCTTTGTTTACATAGTCACGATAGGTTGTGCTGCTTGCACACTCTGCATATAGTCATTTTCTGAACTGAACTTGTACGAAGTCTTTTCCCAATGTGTAGCCGAAAAAGTAGAGTATATGCAAATATATCTATACATACGTCCCAAGTAACCAATCCATAATATCCAGAATCAAAACCGGGAAAGAAAAAAAAAAAACGCCCAGCTTCACCCATCTATATTCTGCGCCTCGCACATCTTCCTATACATGCCCCCCAAAGCAACCAGCTCATCATGCCTCCCCATCTCCACGATCCTCCCCCCGTAAAACACGCAAATGACATCCGCGTCCCGAATCGTCGACAACCGATGCGCCACCGCCACGGTGATGCGATCCCCTTCCTTGGCCGCTTCGGCAAGGGCGCTCTGCACAATCTTTTCGCTCTCGGTGTCGAGCGCGCTGGTGGCCTCGTCGAGGAGCAGCACCTTGGGGTTGCGGATGAGGGAGC